AAGATTAATTAGCCTAGCTATGCCAAGTATTCAGCCAAACTTTACAAATAGTTACACGCAAAAACTGTTTATTGGCAACAGACATTTGAACATATCACATAAAGTACCAATCTTGCCCCATGGACTCCCCCCCCCCCCCCCCCAATGAAATGACTAAATCGCACATCAGATACGCCAACACTGAAGATGAAATGACTAAATCGCACATCAGTTACGCCAACATTGAAGATGAAATGACTAAATCGCACATCAGTTACGCCAACATTGAAGATGAAATGACTAAATCGCACATCAGTTACGCCAACATTGAAGATGAAATGACTAAATCGCACATTAGTTACACCAACATTGAAAATGAAATGACTAAATCACACATTCTAACACTGAATCCTAAGTCCATAAACAACGCATTAGTCATAATACGCATCAATACAATGGTGATTGTTGGCATGCAAACAGACTATGTGAAATGTACATACATCGATTATTTGAAATCCTATTCACCTCTTCCCGGTAGAAAAAAACACAAATATTTCATAAATAAAATACATAAACAAAATGGTTCAGAACAAATGCAATTTCTGACTGGAAAAACATAATTTTCATAATTCTAAACAAAAATCATAACATGTTTCTGTCAAAGCAAGCCACCATACGTTGAATAACTATACAATTAGCTGCATGTCCTTTAGAGTATGTTGCAGAACCAATCCCAGCATTCTGTAGCTTCTGCGGTTTTTCTAGGCACATTTACATTCAGTAGTTTGTCATTTGAACTAAAACCAAGCATAACCTGGACCTTTTGTTCACCACTAGATTAGCAATTCTGCAGACTGTCAGTGACCGCCCTACATCATCACAGTCACGTAACACTGTGTCGTCGGGTCCCCAGTTGCCACTGAATGTCTCATCAGCTCCTTCTACCTCTCTCAGTGACCGCCCTACATCAGCAGTCACTTAACACTGTGTCATTGGGTCCACAGTTGCCAATGAATGTCTCATCAGCTCCTTCTACCTCTCTCAGTGACCGCCCTACATCATCACAGTCACTTAACACTGTGTCATTGGGTCCCCAGTTGCCAATGAATGTCTGATCAGCTCCTTCCACCTCTCAGTGACCGCCCTACATCATCACAGTCACGTAACACTGTGTCGTCGGGTCACCAGTTGCCAATGAATGTCTGATCAGCTCCTTCTACCTCTCTCAGTGACCGCCCTACATCATCACAGTCACTTAACACTGTGTCGTCGGGTCACCAGTTGCCAATGAATGCCTCATCAGCTCCTTCCACCTCTGCCAGTCGGCTGCAATGTTTGCATGTTTGAGGCCAGTGAAGTAAGCCACATTCAGTACCCAGATCTTTCTTTGTCTACTGAACCCTGCAGTACTTGATAGGTTGGTAGATCCTGCCGCTTGCTTGTTTGTCTTGTCACTGTTGTTAACACAGACTCACAGTTTGTCTTGAAAGGCTGGTAGATCCTGCCGCTTGCTTGTCTGTCTTGTCACTGTTGTTAACACAGACTCACAGTTTGTCTTGAAAGGCTGGTAGATCCTGCCGCTTGCTTGTCTGTCTTGTCACTGTTGTTAACACAGACTCACAGTTTGTCTTGAAAGGCTGGTAGATCCTGCTGCTTGCTTGTCTGTCTTGTCACTGTTGTTAACACAGACTCACAGTTTGTCTTGAAAGGCTGGTAGATCCTGCCGCTTGCTTGTCCGTCTGTCTTGTCACTGTTGTTAACACAGACTCACAGTTTGTCTTGAAAGGCTGGTAGATCCTGCCGCTTGCTTGTCTGTCTGTCTTGTCACTGTTGTTAACACAGACTCACAGTTTGTCTTGAAAGGCTGGTAGATCCTGCCGCTTGCTTGTCTGTCTGTCTTGTCACTGTTGTTAACACAGACTCACAGTTTGTTTTGAAAGGCTGGTAGATGCTACCTCTTGCTTGTCTGTCTTGTCACTGTTGTTAACACAGACTCACAGGTTGTCAATGTGCTCAGTGATGATCAGAAGATCATCATTCGTGAAGCAGCCTCTGTATCTAGTATCCTCCTTCTTTGTTCACCGGCTGTAAGCTCTAGCAGAAAGTCCTGGTTGTTCGTCTAGCTGAACTCTGGCTTCGTAGCTTTGTCCTGAGTTGTGCATGTATTTGAGTTTTAATGGCTTATTTGTGAGCAGCAGGTTGTTTCTTGCCTCTCGAGCAGATGCGACTGCGGAGGAAGCCCCCCAATTAGTCTACTCTAACAACATGCTTCTTGGGGAGGCAGTGGGTCTATTTTTGATGTCCTCAGAATGGGGGGGTCCGGGAAAGCTTCTTTCAAAAAGAGTTGTATTTTCCTTGCATGCTTGGCTATTTACCCTATATATCAGATACCTGGCTCAAGAGTCTGGAAAGTATTTTGCTACAGTAAAAGTTACACAGGTGTAAAAAAAAAAAAAATGTGGTTTGTTTGGCAGAGCACATGTCATGATAATAATAAGATATTTACATATACATGGACTGGGATAAGATCAACATAATATATTTAAAGACTGGCATGAAAATAATATCTGAAGACATAGACATAAACCATATCATTGATCAAAGGACTAACATTGATGGTACTAGCTAGTGCCAGTTTAAACTGTGAGAAGGCACTTTGTGTGACATGACAGACAGAAATGTTATGTTGGATTAGCACACTCCAGCCAGGCAAGTATAGGAATGCAAGTCTATGGTCATCGTCAAGCGTCCGAGATTGTTTGAGGTGTCCCGTTCTGTACGTCTAGCTAAAAGAAGGACAAATAGTTGAGGGCAGCAAAACTTTAGTAGCTCCTGATTGTCAAGGCAATGACAGTGCTAGAGATTGTGGTAGTAATGCATAGGAAGACTGTGAAATAACACAAGCATCAACAACTACTACACTACTTTGTTTTACTAGCAGGTGAGTAAATAGAGGGGGAACCCTTAAGGACATAGAAACATAATATACACGTATATATTGTTTCTTTGGCCTAAAAGTTTCATTTTCTCCTGTTTACTTATGTGTATTACGTGTAACACAACAGAACCAACCAATCAAATCTTTTTCTCAAATGCTTCTTGTTTTCTGGACACAGCATTATGGTCCTAGACGCTTATAATTGTTGTTGTGTTCGTTATTTGACCTATGCTTGGTTAATATCAATTTCTCTAACCTATGGTGCCATTTCAATGGTTTGAGACCAATTTTGTCCGTGTCCCGTAGCTGTAGATTTCAAGCTGTATGACAGACATGGCTATTTTTTTTTAAGGGTGCCTAGTTAGTCACGTATCTTAGTACACTTGTTTCCATAGCGAGTTGAGTTTCTCATCTGGAGGTGAAAGGTTCGAATACCAGCCCATTAACTATAGCTTTCTAATTTTATATTCCCTAGTGTGTGCTTCTATCTTTCTACTACTTTTTACAAGTTCCAGTCAATTCATTGTCAGTTTTGTTTAGTTTATATATATATATAATGCTAGTGGGTGACATAGGCATCACTAAGGATGAGTATTTAGTTTTCTATTCAAACAAATGGCAGTGATCTCAAGAAAAACATTCACAAATGTCACTAGAATCCAAGTGTCAATGCCCACTGTTTGGCAGCTTTGGTAGCACGGTGACTTGCAACACTGTCTGCCGGCCATGTGTTTGCATCTCCCACTGATGCAGACTGAAGATCCCACCAGATAATGGTAGGATCTAGACCGTGTAAAACTCCACCACATAATGATGTGATTTAGATTGTGTAACGCCCCTACTTCATAATGGTGTGATCTAGACTGTAAAGTCCCACCACCTAATGATGTGATCTAGCAGAAATGAAGACCAATCACCTTTGCAAAATCACCCTACAATGAATGATGGGATCTATGATCTAGTATGTGTGAAGCCCACTTCCTCCACATCCCTACAGCAGCATCCACTTTGTGATTATTACTCTACCACCTTCTGCTGTATTCACGTCAACAAAGAAGGGTCCGTACTTCAGTTATACAATGCACATATTTTATACACAAAGTTGTCTATGCATCAATGCAAGTTTATACAGCTGCAAATTTCTAACCTGCATTATTTTCCATCAAATCATTCAATATTCTTCTGTACATGTCTCCAAATACACAAAATGTTTACAAGCAGCAAAATCCTTAAGCTTTGTGTACATTTAGAACCAACTACACATTTCTATACGTCTCACTGGTTGTGAAAAATTTACCCCAGCTGCAAAGATTCTTTTTTTCGTTCACCTGAAGATGTGAAGCATTACAACATGGCTGCGCTGTTTGCGCTTTTCTGCCGACACATCCGACTTCTGCAGGCATTTACTGTCTGGGTTAGCCTTCCTGGACAATGATTGTATGTATGTAAGTACTACATAAAGATGGATAATTTTTAGCATGTTTTATACAAGTAGGTGTCTAATGAAAACCTTGAAAAGGTGTGATAGAAATTACAGTAGTGATGCCATTGTCTTGTAACCTGTTGATATTTTTGAGAATCTCAAGTGCGTTAAGTACGTAACATCACAGTGCATACGAACATGGTGACATCATAATGACAGTTTAAAGATGGCCACCACACTGTTGACATGCACTAAAGAGGAGAAGTGTTCTGATATATTCATTTTTGTATGGTGTAGAGGGTAAAACCTAAAGAAATTCATTGGTGAAGCTCCCTCATGCGTAAGACTAATCCATGAAACTGGAAATGTAATATATGCATCAATTTCATAATGCCATTTGGTTATATACATTCAGTGCAAGCTCTCCATGTGTGTACGCTGAAAAGTTGGAAACTTATTCTGTCCGCAAGTTTTGGTTATTCTAAGTACCTTTAAACTCACTATATGGATGCATTTTCGTAAAAATGTTTGGTCATACACATTCTGTGCAAGATCTCCAAAAGTCTACTCCACAAAGTTGCACTTATTTTATTCAAAAGTTTAATATATGTGAGTATTATTCCGGTGTTTCTACACAACAGCAGCCATTTCTGCACACTTCTATTCGGTAAAGTTTGTGAACATCCCAGAAAGATCTGTGAACTCAGTAGCCTGTGGACCCAGCATGCCGAACATGTCAGTGAACTCTTCTTGCTGCTGAGGATGTTGCTGTTGCTGCTGGGAGGAAGTGTCTGCAGTCTGCCACTGCTGTGACCACATTGTCCCTGAAGAAACAATTTTATCAACATTAGCCTTTCAGGAAGAAAAAAAACCTAGATATTCTCTCTCTCTTTCACACACACAGACACACAGAGACTGGGGTTACTTGTCTGCTGACAAGTTGGAGTTACAATTTTATCCTATTATAGATGAATGGTGTCTAGTTCGGATGAAATGTTTTTTTCATGGACTACATTTTTTTTTTAAATCTTGGCCATGTTAAAATCAGTCTCATTATTCAATGGTCAAACTGTGTGTGTGTGCGTGCATATGTGTGTGCGCCTGCACCCATGCACACTATGCAACATACTTAAGATAATATTGGAACTAAAAGAGTAGAGGACGACAGATTAAACAAGACATTAAGTTATCCCTACATCTGAGATTAGACAGGCCACATTGAATTCATGAATAATATTGCATATATATGTATTCTAAGATGACAGAAAGGTTAGGAGGAGTCCCCTAAGACCTGGGATGGAAGAGCACATTTGGAATGATATAAACCTAATCCTAGAATGAGGAAATGCTACCTAAAAACATAATATCACAGCAGGGCAGGCCAGGCCCTTAGCCTTGGCTGGCAGATGATCTACACGGAAGCTCTGGCAAGTGGTCAGACAAATCACTGTTCTTCTCATCTAGCAGCTTCTGCAGCAAACTGTTTTCCAAATGTATTTGTGTTACATTTTCTCTGGAGATAACAAAGCAGAAAGGTAGAGATGTGATCATGCTGCCTGGGAAACACATGGTCTCTGCAGTTCTGCCTTGGTTCTGTACTACAGAGAGGTGGGATTCAATCTCTGGCTTTAACTGGCATAGCCATGAGCTGTTATTCCCACAGCATACTGAACACTATCGTCTGAATTCCTGACCCCTCACACAAACACTGACCCTCAACTACAAAACAATTAGCCTACCTGCTGGGTTGGCTGCAGGACTGACTGTACTGTAATGCCCAATGCTGACAGCTGCTGCCCCATAGTCTGCACCATTCTGAAGACAGACAACATCATTACAGTGACAACATTTACTAAAAGACAATTTTTTTAATACAAACAAAAAAGGTTAATAATACATGGAACGAGTTAACCCTGTCGTCCCGAGAAGCTGCAAAACCGACATTTGCTGATAGGACAAAATCCCCATAAATGTCACAGTAAAGTGTTCACGGGACGCACAGTTAATACCACTGGCTGAGTGTGCACCTGCGCACACGAAGGTTTATGGCGTCAGGCTGTGAAACATATTAACTAAAAATAGCTTGGGGTATGTCTTTCAAACCAAATGGGTTTTTAAAGCCAAACTGAGGTCAGTTTTCCCGGAAACCTCAGTGCTAGAGGTTGTGGCGTAGGTCACCTGATTACTAATATTCTTTAGCCACCGGGGAAATGTATTCCATTTAATGCTTCAGTCGGTCTATGTTGATTGATTACTTCCTTTATATATCTTTATATATTTTGAGGGAGGAGGCAGGGGAGTATGTATGCAACAAACTTTTTTTAAATGTATTAGTGACCTGTGCAAAACTGTTGCTTTTTAACGTGTTTTATGCATTTTTCCTTGTGGTTTTGACACCCATTTTTCAAGCATTACGGGTTAAGTGCCAACATCACTCTGCACCGACATTTGCATTAGCCCTCCAATAAGATTGGCAATCATTTTCTACCCATCCTGTCTCTCCTCTGAGTGTGATGTCGGCCAGATCCAGTGGTGCTGCACTGCGCTCTCCAGATAATAATGATTATGTTCACCTTCTCCCAAAGATCACTGATCACATCTAGCTTTTCATGCAGTAGTAATTCACTACATAGTGGTGCAGAACCAGTCCATCTGTTTGCCTGTTTATTTCCCAACACACCAGCATTGCCCAGAGAACAGATTCAAACCATGCTATGTGAGTAATAATAAAAACAGATTATTAAACCAATTAGCACCTGACAGGTGATGCAGTCAGTATCACATTAGTTGCTTCACTGCTGCAGCTATCGACAGTCTACATTTATCCAAATAATTGAATCTCTCTTTCCAGTTGGTGACTCCAAGTGTCCGTAGACCTGCCTAGATATTATCTGTCTTCTTGGTCTCCCTCACGGTCTACTCCCATCCAACTTCCATGTGTAGTTTTTCTTGTTTATAGATTTTATGCTGAAGATAATGGATTCTTTACATTTATCTGTTCATTTCTTTTGAGCAATACTGACTTTGGCAAAATGCTTAGCAAAAGCTTTTCAAGCTTTTTATATAGACAATTCAGCAGCTGGTTGATGGTGTGGTCAAACATCACTCCAGATACCTTTATTTCCCAGGACATTTCCTGATACCTACTTCAGACTGGGTTGACCTGGCAATGTTTATAACATAGCTCAGTGTTATTTTTTATACTCATTATATTTAACTGAAAAACAAATTAACGAACGACTGTCGACAGAACACCTCTATAACTTACATCAGTTCGCGTAAATGCACCATGATGCGTCCAACCATTTGCTGTATTCTGTGCGGGACTGCGCCTCATTCCCAGACCAGCCATGGCCTGTGGTGGGGTGATGGAGGGTTGGGCTGCATATTTCATCGTCCCCGCAGTCTGGTAGCCAGCGTAGACCTCTTGCTGCATGGCAGAGTGCTGGCCCATGTGGTACATGTCCGTCGTGTAGTCTGGGGGCTTGCCGGCACTTCCTGCCGCACCTAGCATAAAAGAATGCAAAATATTGGCGCTGTGATTTCCATAGGGAAAAAACATTATGTCAGCTGGTTCTTATTTTTGAGAATGCTCAAACACTACTGCTTCTTCTTCAGCATTCTCAGCCCATGCTGAATTTATCACCTACCTCTCTCCATCTGTGTGACTGACCTTTTCATTCTCTTGGTGAGCCTAAAGGTTTGTGGGGCTGCCTTATACTATTTCTTCTCTGCCTCCTTGGTCTGCTCAAAGTATTGGTAAAAATTACTCTGCCATTACTGGGATTGAACCCAGAGAAATGTCTTGGCAAGCCACAGTAGCTAACAACTATACTAACGTGGCACCTGGGAAGTGAGATTTAGCACATTATTAAACTTTTTCAGCCCCAAGTAGATTTTTGATTTAGTACAATAGTTAACTTTTTCAGCCCAAAATAGATTTCTGATTTAGTACAATAGTTAACCTTTTCAGCCCAAAATAGATTTCTGATTCAGTACAATAGTTAACTTTTTCAGCCCAAAATAGATTTCTGATTTGGTACAATAGTTAACTTGTTCAGCCCCAAGAGCTCTGTAGACCTCTGCTTAAAAAAAAAACACTGCTTGGTTGTGACTGAATTAAACAGACACCATAAGATAAAAGTAGTTCCAGCTATTAATTATATCAATTGTCACCCTAAGTATCATCATCAAGTGCCTTGCCGACTGGCATAGGCGACCATGCCCCTACCACAACATACAATCTCCAACAGCCTTTTAAGTATTCTTCTGTACAACGACATTTCCGAGGCCTCGAGACATTGACTGGCTTGTTTACTATTGTCCAGGATTGAGAGTCATACATTAAAACTGGCTCTACACTAATATATGATTATAATAATTATATACAAAGGGGTTTTAATATATGAATTACTTACGATAGAAGACAACAGAGTATTGATATTATCTTTGGAATGACAGGGGAATAAATGAGTTGTTTGTCTGCCTGGTCATTAGAGAATGGTCATCATCATCATGTAGCAGGTCCTTTGCAGAACATCGCTTCCACTGTGGTCTGCCTGATTGAAACAGTCTCTCACAGTTCTCCCAAAACGTGCACTATCATATTCAAGCAGTCACTTGTATCCTGTGCCCATCTTCCTGGTACCACATCTTCTGCTATTATTGTTTGCAATCCGCCATGGCGCTAGATATGACCACAAAATATTTCAATTTCTGAGGCAAGATGCTGCTCATTATCTTCTCTGATGTTCAGATAGACAATGGTATATTCTCTTTTATTTTATACTAAAATTTATTTCTATACTGAGCTGACAATGAATGAAAAGCCATGGAAATGAGATGTCTGAAAAGGACGGCACAAGTGATCAGAAGAGATAAAACAAGGAGAAGGTCATAACAGAAAAAGTCGGTACATAACCAATTCAAAATTACATTCAAAGACAGCAAATCAAAAAGTAAGCCAACTCAGAGAGAATGCCTGTAAAGCCATATGATACAAGGTATACACTAAAAGAGGAGAATTTACGGAACACAAGGCAGACCACGAACAAGATGGAAAGATAAAATCAGAGAAACTCTACAACAGCACAATGTCTCTATGGTCGAGGTGGCCAGATGAGCAAGGAAGCAGAACATTAGATCTCCTTCGACATCTGCAGCGGTAAAAGTGGAAGTGAAGAAAAAGAATCAATCAAATTTACTTGGATGATCTGTATATTAGAATAAAACAAGCATGGAGCATTTACTATAAATGTCGATATGTCACAATGACAACAACACTGAATGACAACCCTCCTAAGTAGAGAGCAGAATGAGAAAAGGACAATACCCTACCTAAGCCCATAGGGTCGGGCTGCATGGTTCTGGCAGCAGCTGAGTACGAAGGAATGCTAGCCATGGCTGCATCTGACGCTGGATCTGCCTGGTTGTGAATGGGTGTGATCTGGCCTTGCTGAGAGCTTCTGAAACAAATGATGAACAAAATGTCATCTTCCGAACTTGATATCGCTGCTATTGTTAAACTGATAGTTGAGTCATGTCATCTTCCCAACTTGATATCGCTGCTATTGTTAAACTGATAGTTGAGTCATGTCATCTTCACAACTTGATATCGCTGCTATTGTTAAACTGATAGTTGAGTCATGTCATCTTCCCAACTTGATATCGCTGCTATTGTTAAACAGATAGTTGAGTCATGTCATCTTCACAACTTGATATCGCTGCTATTGTTAAACAGATAGTTGAGTCATGTCATCTTCACAACTTGATATCGCTGCTATTGTTAAACAGATAGTTGAGTCATGTCATCTTCACAACTTGATATCGCTGCTATTGTTAAACTGATAGTTGAGTCATGTCATCTTCACAACTTGATATCGCTGCTATTGTTAAACTGATAGTTGAGTCATGTCATCTTCACAACTTGATATCGCTGCTATTGTTAAACTGATAGTTGAGTCATGTCATCTTCACAACTTGATATCGCAGCTATTGTTAAACAGATAGTTGAGTCATGTCATCTTCACAACTTGATATCGCTGCTATTGTTAAACAGATAGTTGAGTCATGTCATCTTCACAACTTGATATCGCTGCTATTGTTAAACAGATAGTTGAGTCATGTCATCTTCACAACTTGATATCGCTGCTATTGTTAAACAGATAGTTGAGTCATGTCATCTTCACAACTTGACATCGCTGCTATTGTTAAACAGATAGTTGAGTCATGTCATCTTCACAACTTGATTTCGCTGCTATTGTTAAACAGATAGTTGAGTCATGTCATCTTCACAACTTGATTTCGCTGCTATTGTTAAACAGATAGTTGAGTCATGTCATCGTCACAACTTGATATCGCTGCTATTGTTAAACTGATAGCTGAGTCAGGAGTTGAACATAATTGCTATGTGAGCTGGAAGAATAAGAGATGTAGATCTGATTTTTTAAGGTTTTATCTTTTCTGTGCAAGTTCCAGAGGCCCATTTTGTGGGGGGAAATAATAAACAGATCCATTGCCCTCCTGAACCAGCATGTCGCAAGAGGCGACTATTAGGGATTTACTGAAATCAGATGTACTGGGCCAAAAAGTGTAGTATCGTAGGCTAGCTGTAAACCGCAACACAAACTGACAACCTCCCTTTTGAGGATAAACACAAAAGCTTATGAGTGAGACAGCCAACCTTCCAACAACAATCTCTGGTCACCCCTTACAACATGGACGGCAGGTTATATACTGTCATTGGGTTTCTTCGTTTCCTTGTGAGTGACATTAACATGTTCAATTAAGATAAGGAAGCACTCACTTGACTAGAGTATTGGTGCACACAATGTACTCCACTTCGTCTGTGTATGGATTCTGGAAGCTGAAGCTGCTTGTCCGCAGCCAAACCCAGTCCAGGTTCGAGGCACGGAACCTATACATCATTGACATCACTTGGCCTTTTAGTTTCAGCACTAGGGAAGGAAGCAAAAACCCAATCATTTATGAAAAATATAAAATATGTTAACTAAATAGTGGTTCTGAAGAATTAGAACGCTTCAAAATTCTAACAACTTCAAACCTGAACAAAATTTTCAAGCATATTTTGCCTCCAAACTTGAACGCCACCTTGGAAACCGAATGTCTTTCAGTAGCCAGCCATGAGCTACAACACGGAGCCACAGATGCTTCAGTCTGTTTTTAATGCGCTGTGCTAAACAAATCCTTCTTGGCTTGTCATCTCCTACAATCTTTGCAGCTAATTTGACTAATTTTGCTTATTATTTTTTCTTCTATAAAACAGTGAATTAGTTACTGGGACAATTAGTAGAAGTACTTTAGAGTGGCTGCTGCTTTGGAGAGCTGAGCGCGCATGGGTATGCCTAATGTGCAGTGACATCAAGTGTGATAAAACATAAAATAACATCTTGTAGGAAGTCGGCAGTCCGAAACCCAAGTTCAAGGTGTTTCCTTTGTGCCAAAGAACTGTATGGCTGTTGGGTGAACAGTCGTTAACGAAGGCAGGCAGGTCGTTGTAGGGGCGACGCCTGCTGGTGGATGTAATGACCTAAATCCCTTCCCCAGCTAATAATGAGGGTACTGCTGGGGTGACCGTTTATTAACCCCATATAATGCTTCAGGTCAAAATGGACGCTAGGCACGGCCACCTTTTTTTCCCCTGCCAGACGGTGGCCATTGCATTTTTGCTCCATTTGTAGACTGGAAGGTTATAGTTTTGTCGCCCAGCTTCTGAGCTGAGTGCATGGCGTTACACTGTGAGCTACGTGTATTTTTCGTTGGCACAGGAGCGGAGCAACTATGGGGTGACCCGTTTGCTATGAACCTGAAACTAGGATTACCAGATTACCAGCTACGGCTGGTTTAAAAAAAATGTAGTGTTGAACAACAAATAAAGAGAGAAGTTGTTAGAGCAACCGTTACCATTTTTAAAAAACTTATCGCTTACAACATGAAAGTGGTATCCTCGTATGCATGCTAATTCAGAGTTTTTGGGGCCCTAGAACAGATTAGTTTCCGTTATTTCAACTTGAACAATTTAGAATTTAGTTACTGTCTCAGAATGGATTATGTTCCAATTCTGAGGTATCGCTGTAATATGCAGGGGGACGTAACAATATCTCACCCTGTTCAAAGGTCTCCTTCATGTGGGTCTGGTCTTCTGGGTGGTAGAACTCAAAGGCAAGTTTACCAAGCAGTTCCTGTGGTTGGTACCCTAGCACAGGGGTCACCCTGGAGGACATAAACGAACAAACATACATGCTAGTAAAACTGTCAGAATGTGTTTCTGGCAAGTGTTCTCAACAAACTTATGCTTCAACAGGTTTACTGGATGCAAGGAGAGATCATAGCGTTAAGTGTCTATTCAGAGTCTACATGCGAATGCTGGCACTGTTGTCGATGTCGACACCTGTCTTCCCAGATGACAGTTATAGTGTGCTGTGGGTGCTACAGTGTGCTGTGGGTGCTACAGTGTGCTGTGGGTGCTACAGTGTGCTGTGGGTGCTACAGTGTGATGTGGGTGCTACAGTGTGCTGTGGGTGCTAGTGTGCTGTGGGTGCTACAGTGTGCTGTAGGTGCTACAGTGTGCTGTGGGTGCTACAGTGTGCTGTGGGTGCTACAGTGTGCTGTGGGTACTATAGTGTGCTGTGCGTGCTATAGTGTGCTGTGGGTGCTACAGTGTGCTGTGGGTGCTATAGTGTGCTGTGGGTGCTACAGTGTGCTGTGGGTGCTATAGTGTGCTCTGGGTGCTATAGAGAGGCAAGAGAACAACAGCTTATGGTGATGGCCACTCTGACTAGCAAGACCCGTCCAAATATAGAAAAGTTTTCCACAATCTGAGCATGGGATTTCAGGACAGTTGCCATCACATGTATATAGTAAGTTTCTTCTCAGACACTCGGCTTTCTGCAATCTTTTCGTCTTTTATTCTCATTCACTTTTTGATTTTTTAAAGTCCGCACAACATGGTCCATAACATTTCGTTCCCGCGAATTTACATCAATACCTGTATCATTCATGTCCCACTTGCACACATTTATATATCGTATCACAGGCCTGCCTCAATATTTTCTGTATTTCGCCCCAGAGGATGTCCATAGGGACTCTACCATACTGTTTTCTCCAAGTGTGGCCCAGCCACTGAGCCTTTAGAGACTGAGCATTAAGAAAACTGTTGTGACACAAGGAATACATACAGAGATATATGTACAGAAAAAAACAAAAGAATCCTTTAATCACTACTAGTGTAATCAGTACATAATAAGTCATATTTGTACAGATAAATCAACACTTGATGCCTGATATGGTCAACATAACGCCAGCCATCTTTCCTTCCTAGGACATTTTCTGGTACCTATTATAGACCAGGCCAATCTGGATGCCAAGGTCAGTTATTTTTTTTTTAAATCAGTCCATGGGAGAATTTTAACTCAAGGTCTACTTGTGTGTGGGCGATGTTGTGTCTAATATATATATGTGTGTGTGTGTGAGATGTGTGTATTGTGTATGTGATGTGTGTGTAATGCATGTGCTGTGTGCATTTATAACTTTATAATAAATCTAAATTGATTAAATTAATAAAAATGCCAGGTCTATTTGTGTGTGGGTGATGTGTGTCTAATGTGTGTGTGTGTGAGAGAGATGTGTGTGTAATGCATGTGCTGTGTGCAATGTGTATGTATAACTCTTTATAATAAATCTAAATTGATTAAATTAATAAAAATGCCAGGTCTATTTGTGTGTGGGTAATGTTGTGTGTCTGATATATGTGTGTGAGTATTGTAAATGTGATGTGTGTAATGCATGTGCCGTGTGCAATGTGTATGTATAACTTTATAATAAATCCAAATTGATTAAATTAATAAAAATGCTTGACCGAAAATAAAATTAACCCATGGCTGTTGAAGCAAGAAAACAACAAAACAAAAAAGACTGACATATGCCTAAAACTGAACTGATAGAATGCTTCCTTAAAAAGAAAGATAGTGATGTGTTTGTCTGCACATCTATTAGTTCAGAAGGAAACAGACAATCTGGCATAAATATTTATGGGATAACAGTATTCTTTTTTCGGTTACTGTAAAATCTGATCCTGATTGACGTATGCCTAAAACTGAACTGATAGAATACTTCCTTAAAAAGAAAGATAGTCATGTGTTTGCACATCTATTACTTCAGAAGGAAACAGACAATCTGGCATAAATATTTATGGGATAAGAGTATTCTTCATTCGGTTACTGTAAAATCTGATCCTGATAGAATCGCCACTGACCTTTGATCTACAAATGTGAACTTGCCGTCAATGCTGTGCCGGGATATAAACTCAGTGGGAGGGTTTGGCCCCATGATGTCACTGCAGTTTGGGGTGTTGGTGACTTGAAGGCGACCAATGGCAACCAGACAGCAGTGACTTCCTCCTTCATCTGAGTCACCCCGATCTATCTGTACACCCGCTGTGGACACGTCCAAGGAAAAACATTAGCCAATATCTATCTAAACAGGTTTAGCTGATGATTCATTAGATATTATAGCTTCCCCATGTGGGTTCTGAGGCCCCATTTTCCGCTGGGGTGGGTAGGGGTACAGACCAGCTGCCTCCCTATGGAGCTTGTCCTATAAAAAAAAAGTGACTAATTAGGGATTTTCCCTTCAAAGTCGCAGCACATCTGCCGGAGAGGCAAGGAACCAACATTAACAATCAGAAAAACAGATCTGTAAAACCGATGTGTACACAAAATTACAGTTCTACAATAAGATTAAAGCCGAGAAGTGGACAAACAACTTTAATTTTCTGCCAGAGTTCACAGCTGGTAAACACTAGGAACAAGAAGAAAAAGATTACATGCTACAGAATGCTAAATAAATCAACACGTGTTTGGTTCAAATTAGCCAAACATTCAGGTACGTCTTCTAGATTTTTGTTCATACACCAATTATCTGTCAATCATTATAATAATGTTCCATCACCCAGCTAGCGAGCTGAGTGCTTGGTGCGACACTGTAAGTTAAAAATTTCAGTATGAACAGGAAGAAGCAATGGTAATATAGTATTAAATAAATGCTTTCCACCCAAGTGAAAAGCTCTGGGAAAAAAAACACTCACAAGCGGGTGGCCAGTTCTTGACATATCCGGTAATGTGTACGACAGCATAATGATGACCATCCGATGCCGGACCTAGTGTGTTTCTCTGGCGCATGCGTACTGTATGGTTTGCTGTCATGGGATCTGACTGAACATTTCCCATGCGTAACCGACATATAAAGCCCCGACGTGATCCCATACAAAGACGCACTGATGCTGTAAATGAAACAGTCGCATAAAAATTAAATTGGTTGGGGCAAACAAACAAACAAAAACACAATTTCCACAAATTTATGAGCATTCAACTATAACACAAATCATCACGCTGCAGTTCCTTCAAGAATATTGTTTCGTTTGTGGCCTGCTGGAAAAGCTGTCATTTGCCAATTCTTCTGCCTAATGTTGTCATGCCTAATAAAGTATGTTTTCAGCTGGAACTGCTCTTCTTCTTCTTCTGCCTTTCTATCCCCCAATGGAGCATAGGCCCTCAACCAACTCACGCCAAGTCGTAATAAAGTATGTTTTCAGCTGGAACTCCTTTTCTTCTTCTGCCTTTCTATCCCCCAATGGAGCATAGGCCCTCAACCAACTCACACCAAGTCGTAATAAAGTATGTTTTCAGCTGGAACATGGCACAACAGAGTCTTCTCCTGTAGATTTACCGGCTGTAAACTGCGGCTGAAAGTTCTGGGTGTTCTTCTACCACCAGACTTTAGTCTTGTTACAGAACGTGAGTTTTGCGTGCACATCCATTTCTCACATGTGGCTTATTTGTATGCAGACTCTTAATTTCTTGACACTCAGGCAGATGTTCTTGGCTTCAAAGTAAGCCCCTAAATTGCCAGCACTTACGACATGCTTGATAGGGAGGTTTGGGTCTCCTCTTGTTTTCCCCAAAATGAGTCCTTGGAGCCTACACAGCGAATTGATATAAACACATTCTTTATATAGTATTTTGATGATTTCCTGCAGCTTTCCACATCTAAACTAGTGAAACAATCTTTCTGCTTGTTTTGGTTAAAACCTAGACCATAATACTTTCCCGGGCCAAACTTTTTGTATCCTACCGTGTCATCAAAAGTTATGAGGAGATACCGAGCACCTGACCCCGTTGTAAAATTCTGTTTAAATCAAGATCTGGTTGCTACACCCGTCAATCTAACTGTTTCTTAGCCAGCCTCCAACTTTTTTATTTGTGTAGTATGCGATAAAGGGCAGGTATCGCATACCTGGCAAAAGTATCTAGTGTGATTATACTTTAACCACAGACGCACAGGTTTCCTAGCGGACAATCATGATGACTACTGGGCCACCGACAGGAGAATACTGAGATAGCACTGGTACACACAGGCGACATTGTACCACCAACACTGTTACCACAAAGCTTGAACACAAATACTTAATAAAATAGACCATTAAAAGTCATCTATGCTGGTGCTTCAGTGGAGTTTATTCATTGACAAACGCATCAGGACGATGAATTGGAGGCAAGTGACTGAAAACTGTCTCTGTCTATTTAATTCTGCCAAGTATACAGACTGGCAGACTCAAAAGGCGGCACCTAGCCTTGATGTTAGTCTATAAAAAAGATGCACACAGCATATGGTCCTTCTCTTGGGGTCTCCAATAGTCTATAATAAATACATTTAGCATATGGGCTAATTCCTGGGGTCACCAGCAGACTATAACCGCAAAATTGAAAATGAAAAAGTACTGCTATAAAAAAAACTGTACAGTTATACAAACAGTCACCGGTACTGCCCAAAATTATGAAATATAATCAATCACATCACAGTGGTTAGATAAAGTGTCCAGATCTCGCCATCTCGGCCCCACAACTATCATCACTGATAGCATTCAGAATTAATACACCAAATTCCACTTCCACAGTTCAAACCCTCTAGGGAAATAAATAAATACATATTATAACGAACAAAGGTCACCCACGCCCACTCCATGTCACTGACTCTGACACTGGCTTATCTCCAGCGGCCTGTTACAGTGGTCAAATGTGGGTCTCCCAATCACTGTGGATGTCACTGTTACCCATTAATCTCTAAAAACATTTTGCAACTTTTAAGTAGCCTGGACCTTTTGCACTCGCCTCTGTCATCATCACCATCAAGTGCCTTAATTGACTGATGTGGGCGATCATGGCTCAGACCTCTGAAATACTTCAATACCGAAGTGAGTTCAGCACACAACAATTTTACTGCTTCCAGTGCTGTGGGGCAGCTTCTTGCTCTTCTGGCCACCTTGGCACAATGTACTATTGCAGAGTTTCTATGTGTTCTTTTCCCATCTTGTTCTTGGTCTACCTCATGCTCTACATCCCTCTCCTGTTTTGGTACCTTGTATGGCACGGCGTCCGAAAACAGTGTCTATATGTGAGTAAACCATTCTGTCTGCTGTCTCCGTATGTAGTTTAAACTTGGTATTATGTCGACCTTTTCTCCTATAATTTCGTTCCTGACTTTTAATTTTTCTGGTCATTGCAACAGACTTTCTCAGACATGTCATCTCCATAGTTACTAGTTTTAAGATGGTAAGGTCAGTACATTTATATGAAGCAAAAGGTAAAACCAATTTTCTGTCACTAACATAAAAGAACTTGTCACATCACAATGACACTGCAAGTCAGCGAGTAAGGTCAAAATCCTTTATCTGTTGACTCAAGCTCTGTACTTCTGACATACACACCTTAAAAATCCAAAACAGTATTTAATCTCTTTTACTGACAGTTATTTATAAACTGAGCTGCACAAAATTGTCATTAATCTAATTAGAAACAAGAACAACTATATATGTCAGTGACTCACACTGGTGTCCCTCTTTCTTTACAGTGCCAGCTGAAAGAAGAAAACATAAGTCACACATCAGTTCTCTAAGGTTCACTAAATGTTCACACAAACAGAAACAAACTGTGACTAAAAACAAGGACCTGCCACAAAAGATTTACTGACAATAAAGTACATAAGGTGTTACGCAATTATAAAAGTTCTACATGTAAGAAGGAATATATCCCATCACCATAATCATGTAGCAAGTCCTTTGAAAAGCTTTGCTTTCCTCAAAGCCAATCAGAAAGACTGAACTTTTGTCAATTCCTTTGTCTCCGACATTTTCATGTCCTTGGTATCTTTGATGTTCTGTGTCCACCTTCATGTTAGGTAGGCAACCCTTGCCCTTCATGTTAGGCAACCCCTGCCCTTCATGTTAGGCAACCCCTGCCCTTCATGTTAGGCAACCCCTGCCCTTCATGTTAGGCAACCTTTGCCCTTTATGTTAGGCAACCCCTGCATCTTCTTTTAAACACCAGTACACCCTTTCCTGGTCTAGTGAAAACAATTTTAAAAAAACATATTTGTTTCTGACCCATTGTACTTTTTACAAGTCAAGTTTTCTTCAATGTTCAGATTCTGTAGGGTGCCAGTATTTTTTTATACAGTGTTTTAAGACTTTTTCTATGACATTTAAGTTCAAAAGCTTTGGTTTTATTTTAAGTGATTGCAGAATTTTTCAGAATCACAAATGTGTCGGATATATCTTCTTCTTCAACATTCCGAGCCCTCAAGCTCATTGCTGCAGATATCACCCAGCTCTATTCATCTCTGTGGTTGGCCTTCTCTTTCCAGTTGGTGACCCCGTTTATAAGTCTGTCTGGATATTACCTCTCCACCGTCTTCTTTGTCTGCCCTTGAAGCCTCCTCTGCAACTATGTATAACTTTACACACTACATGAAACTCCTTACCCCGGTCCAGGTCACTTTATTTGTACATTTGTACTGACTCCTGCAAGCCATCAACAACAAACAGCAGGTCATTTACAAAATGTCCCTCTAGTCATGGGACGCCTTAAAGTCTCTTCCTCTAGACAATTCTCCAGCCCTGTGTGCTTTCACAGCCAATGTATCTTCAATGTCTTGTATCCACATTTAATGGGGTCTGCCTCCGCCTTGTTTTCCGGAAACTGTACCCCCTATTAACGATGCCCCCATGATGCCAAGACATTTAACATAGCCAAAATACCTAAACCTCTATGACAGGATGCTGTTTATGAGCCAGTTCTCCTCAATGGTCAGATCATGTAGGTTGTCAGTGTTTTTCTTCTTCATGATCCTTGGTATCTCAATAATTTTTCTACAGCATTTCAGTATAAAAGCTCTGATGTCTTCTTCAATGGCTGACAACAAAAATCTGAGTTTTTTTTTTTTTACTGAAATACTACAGAAACTGAAAATAAATCTATAAAATAGAAATTCCAAAAATTGTGTCTGCCCTACATACTAAAATTAACTGAACTAATAGAACGTACTATTACATCTTCCCTCAATTAAAATTCAAATGTGAGCAACTATCTGTAGACCAGCCATTCACTTGGCTGAAATTAATAAAGTTTTTGTGCTGCAACTCACACATAAGCCACAGCTTTGTGAAGTACAAAAAGTAGGCAGCGAATGAAATCTAAACTCTTTAACAAGGCTTCAAAAGCCTTTTGCTTTGGTTTGGTTTCTAACACCGACCGTGGGCTGCAGCAAGACACAGCTGGATTTGAAAGTGAGTCTCCTATCAACTGCGCTAACTCGGCTACAAAGGCCTAGCTACAACTCATTATTAAGTTAACAAGACCCAGAGGTAAATGACCAGACTTACTCTTGAGGTCCAGAATTCTGCCCGTGTTCTGTGACTCTGTAGTGGACAACTGTTCTCGAACTTTCTCTACATCATCGGGGTGAGTCAGGTCGTATAATGTTGAACCAAACAGGTCACCCTAAAAGAAACACCCACATTCTCATATGACTGAATTTAATTATATTTGCAAAGTTATACACAAAACATTAATTCTTTGCTGGCATAACTAAGCTAGCCACAGTGTGGAGGCTCTTCTTCTTGAAGAACTACGAAGCAATACAAATATAACCTAAAGCAATCTTGATCACCGACCTATCTCCTTTAAGACGAGACAGAGATGAATGATATGGAGAGGGCATTCAAGAAATGGCAAAAGATGCACTGGTTTAGCATAGGTTAGGTTAGGAATTATAACAAATGGGGGACAATGGGCAGACAAGGAGGAAGGATGGGGAGAAAGAGGAGAAGAAAAAGTAGAAGAAGAATGTTCATTCCACTATTATGCAAAATATTGGAACTGCCAATATTGACCACTTTGTGTGTCTGTGTGTGTGAGGTAGGGAGGGAAGGGTCTTTGAGGCTGAGGATTTACAGCCTGACAGCTACTACTGTTATCATGGACTGTGCAAGTTAGGATTTTAAATAACCCACAGAAAAAAAAATGCACGACCTTGGTGAAGATTCTGACTTGAGTTTCCCACATGAAAGCAAATGTTTTCAACCATTCTGCCAGCTGTTTCTCAAGCAACATGTATCAGATCTAGTTATGTAACTCAGCGGTAGGCATGTCCGATCTTGAATTGTATATGTCAACAGGTTGTTTCTTATAGTAACATTATATCCGAGACAGTAAGCTATATCTTTCGGGAGACCTCTTCTCCAATAACAATTTTGCACGGCAACAGCTTTACAGGTTTTATCATCATCATGCAGTGCTTTGCCTACTACCATGGGCATTCATGCTTCTCCAGAATCTGTGATCTTTAATAACATGTATCAGTTCATGTGCTGACATCCCTCCACGCCATGACAAAAGAAGCCAAGAACTGTCATGCACTGTCTTTATTTCCACAAATCTTTGCAGTGGTCACAACATGTGAAAAAAATGACAGATTGTTTACAAGAGGTCTACTCACTGCAATTTCAAGCTGCTATGGAAATTCTGATTTATGCCTCTTGCACAAAGGCAAAACCCTTTTTCTTCTTATTCATTCACCCTTATAAAGGGCAACTGACATAGTTTTATGATTTACAGCAAGACTAATACATGTTTCTTTCTGTCCAACAGATTTGATTTCATTACACTAGTACTCATAATTAATCACCATTTACGGCACGCTTATTAAAAAGCAGCAGGTCTATTCTTCCCCCCCCCCCAGTAGAGCCCCAGAACCCACACGGGGAGGACCCTGTCTACCACAACTATATAACAAGCCAAGGTAGCTTTTCTCAGGGATCAGTGGAGACCGAGGACCCTGTCTACCACAGCTATATGACAAGCCTAGACAGCTTATCTCAGGGATCAGGGAGACATGTCACATTATTAGAAACCAAAAACGAATTTTCCCAGTACTGTACTAAAAGTGAATTTATGAGACAGAGATGGACAGAAAAGCTTTCAGAGAACCATCAACATAACTTGAAAATTCAATTTCACAAGAACATATCAAAAGGATCGGTACACTACCCGCAACCTCTGAAGCAATGCTTGCCACTCTGTGTGGAGTGCGCCTGCCTCCACCTTTCTCAACATGATGAGTCAGTTACATGTGTGTACAGCTGGCTCTCAAGCCAGCGGAAGGTTGCAGTGACTGCCTTCACCTCCATTTGCAAACTAGATCCAGGGCATGCCGGTGTGTTGGAAACCAGAGAGAAGACAGAAATGGTTCTTAATCACTTGGTAGCGAACTGGTGCATGACAAGCTAGATGGTAATATGTTTCTTTCGGAGCGAATGAACAGTGCAGAGAGACAAACAGATCAACACTGTAAGAAGAGAATAGAACTGAACCCAATCTAATGTATCACTAGACTACAAAGAGTTATATTCTTGCTGTAATTACTCTAACTCATATCAGTACGTACCTGGCTTTGGTTTAAAACTGGCGTCACGGAGTCGGACATGTAAATGATTCGTCCAGAGTCACACTGGACTACAAAGAGAAATCCATCAGCTGCCTGCAACAGACAGGCCGCAGAATAAAAACCATGTTCTATAAAGTACGTGTCGGAGGTATGAAATGGGTAGGGTGGGTGCAGGTACACTTAATAATAGATACATTTTTTCTGGATGATCATGAGAACATTACACATTAGTCTTCTTCTTTACGTTCTCTTTTACCGCGCTTCATGTGTCGAGGGAGATATAAGGTCCTGCTTCGTGCTCTTCTAGCTGCTTCGACCATAGACACATCGTGGTGCTGTAGAGTTTCTATGATGTTATCTTCCCATCTTGTTCTTGGTTTACCTCTTGCGCATTAGTAATTAACACATACACATCAAAAAGAGTGTGGGAACAATTATAAGCATGTTATGTAGACCAAATGAATTTATCAATAAGATTAAGATGCTGACATATGACAGTGCATACCTCAAGAATCAGGTGTTTCAGCTCCTGGTCTGTCAGAAACGATGGTCTGTATGAACCATCACTACCGGTGTTTCCTGTACCTGTAAAGTGTCAGTACTGTCAGGTTATCCTTCAAACATCTTGATGAGTATTTGACATGTTCATAACCTAGCATACTGGATACTGGAAACAGTGTGACTCAATACAAAGAAACTTCATTACCTCACATAATATAACAAAGCACATGGAATATCTAAGTCTACATTCTAATGTAAAAGTAAGTTACTTCTTCTTCTTCTGCGTTCGACATCAGTCATGTTAAACATTGAGTCCCGTCTGGGTCACAAATAGGATTGTGCGTTTAAGGTCGCCACCGGTTCCCCATAGCTTCTCTTGCAATGTGGCTCCCTTGGGCCAGATCCAGTCTTTGTTGGGAGAGGTTAGGGCAGTACTGCAGTATGTGCTCAGGGGTCTGTCTTTCTGCTCCACAATCACAGGCAGCAGATTCTTTTATGCTGATCCTGTACAAGTGTGCTCGAAGACCAGTGTCCAGTCCGAAGTCTAAAAATTGATGTTTGTTCTTTCCTGTTGAGTTTGTTTATGCTGTCACTCTTTGGTCTGTAATCTCCATTCTGCCTTCTCTACTGTAATCTCCATTCTGCCTTCTCTACTCCCGCTTGAAAGACTGCTTTAGCGCTGTTTTGGTTCCTTGTAGCTGTGTGGTGGATGAGGTTGTGGAAGATTACTCCCAGCTTTTGCCAACTCATCTGCTCTCTCATTTCCTTGAATACCACAGTGGGCTGGTATCCACTGCAAGACCAGTTCTGCTTCCTTGGAGAGTAAGCCAATGTTGGTCCTTAGATCTGCAATTAGTTTGTCTTGTTTTTTGCTGGATAGTGCTTGGAGAACAGACGATGAGTCACTAAGTACAACAATTTGGTGCCCTCTGTGTTCTTGAGTGATGAGATGTTGGACTGCAGAGAGGAGGGCAGTTGCCTCAGCTCTGAAGTTAGTGCAGATGTCACCTGCTGGTAGAGAGAGAGTTTCTGCTCTACTGCTAGGGGGTTTAATGTATATTCCACAACTCCCCTTTCTGACTGCGTCTGTAGCAGAGCAGTCGGTGAAAACCTGAGTCCAAGTGGTGTTTGGATACTTCTTATCAAACATAGCAAGAGCCAGGGTTCTCTGTTGTGTCTCCTCCTGAGCATCTTTTGAAGTGATTCCAGGTACCTTTAGGACTACATTTGCTTTCTCTGGCTTGCTTGTCCATGGTTCTGGCCTAAATTTTTCGCACAGTGCAACATCTCTTTCAAGCAGATCTTGGTGCTGTCTGTACAGTTCTCTAGCAAGGTGGTTGGGGCTCTGACGCTTCAGTCTGTTTTTTGTTCTAAAGTAAGTTACAATACAGCCAATATTTTTTAATATCTCCCACAAAAGCTTTCATACTCAACACTTGGGAGTTTTGGTAGCATACAGTTTAGTTGCGAGCCTGTTCACTCAAAAGTCCTGGTTTCAAATCTGCATCGAGGTATATGTTTATTTATTGTTTATTGACTTCTGTTTCCAGGCATAGGATAAAATGAGCATAGGATAAAATGAGCATAGGATAAAATGAGCATAGGATAAAATGAGCATAGGATAAAATGAGCATAGGATAAAATGAGCATAGGATAAAATGAGCATAGGATAAAATGAGCATAGGATAAAATGAGCATAGGATAATTCCCTGGGAAGTGAGCACATCACCCAGTGAGGGTTGAATGGACTATACAAACTGAGTGTAGCATCATATGTCCCATGTGGAAGCCACCGCGGTCTAGCTGCTCCCCTGCAGACCCATGGCTGTTGGTTCAGGCCCTGGCAGAGCCACACTTTTTTATTTAACAAACTGTTTGCCACACACATAAAAATGACTACCAAAATATAATGAAACTGTTTAACGCATTTACTAACCTCTGAGCCACACAATAACATGTGTTGAAACTACAAAATAAATAACATGTAAGTTCACATCTACTTAAAACAAGAACTCACCACGCAAGGTTTTCATATGTGACACAGCCATACGTAAAATGGTCAGCTTGTCAGGTTTACGGGCCAGTGTGCTGCATGTAGGCACCATATCAGAGAGCTCATTTATGTAGGCTGTCATCTTGTTTCTCCTCCGTCGCTCAATCTCACAGTGGCTCTCCCTGTGTAACCAACAAACAAAAACACAGCAGGTAAAGTCTTCCTGTTATTGTGTCATTTTTTGAAGCCTAATAAAGGTGAGGACAGGACCTTTTCCCGTGTCTTCAGCTGTACTGGGCATACAGAACTAGACCTATACTTGATAGACCAGCTAGCACTTGGTGGATGATATGATCAGCATCCCACCCGCTGCCTTTGCTTCCCATGACTTTACTTGGTATCCATTTACAAAGTAATAAGGAAAAATATTTCATGTTTTCTTCTAATTCCTTGCTCACTTGTTGGATCGACCACGTCTGTCTACATTAGCAGAGAAAGAGAGGGGGGAGAGAGAGAGTTAAACAGAGAAGACAGAAACAGAGATACTGCAAACCTTTAGCAAGATTACATTATAAGAGACTTACCTAGCAAAACGTTCTTTATCTGCACCTTCAGGTCCTGTTCCATATGACCCTCCTTGACTGTCTTCATCATCTGAGCTGTAGAGGACAAATACAACTAAGTAGTCACAAGCCTGTTGATATCCTTGACAGGGTGTTGTAGAACCAACCTCAGCATTTTTGGCTGTTATGGTTTTTCTAGACAATTTTTACATTCAGTAGTTTGCCACTTTTTTTAAAGCGGTTAGCTCTCGTTATCGCTGTTGAAATCAATGCAAGACGTTCTGTTGCCAAACTGCCAGCAGCTGGGATCAAACCAGGCATCTTGGCATCATGAAGCGCCACCTAAGCCACTGACACCGACTATAAACTAAGTATAAGTAGTACAGTTTATTTATTTGCCTTATGACATACTAGAGATGTGATGGACCAAACTGCATGTCTGAGACATTATGATCACCTTTAACCATTTGGAGACTGGAGAAATGAAACGCATTCAGAATGAGGCGATGCGAACTATTCTGGGATGCACAAAAGACACACCAGTTGTGTGTATGAGACATATCTTGGCTGTGTCGATTAATTGCTGACAGACATCCTATACTGCAGGCTTAGTACTACTATCTGAGAGTGGCAAGTGATAAGGGACATATCCTGTAAAGGGAACATGACAATGTGAATGGTAATAAATTAAAGAGGGGTAGATCCTAGATGGCCCAGGTTAAAAAGACAATTAACTTTACCGGCAACATGAATGAGATTAGCAGAGGAGCTGCACAGGTAAATGTACTGGAGGGCAGAGAGGAGCTGCACAGGTAAATGTACTGGAGGGCAGAGAGGAGCTGCACAGGTAAATGTACTGGAGGGCAGAGAGGAGCTGCACAAAGTGGTAATTACCTTGGGACGAAAATGCAGGTTATCCGGGGGGGGGGGGGGGGGGGGGGGGGGGGGGGGGGGGGGGGGGCATGCAGAGGTTCAACAGCTGATAGATGACTCTAGGCCAGGAGATGTGATTATATACAGTGATGGGTCAGTGACCAGGGGCAGAAAAATTGGATGGGGCTTTGTCTCAAAAGCATGGGGGAAAAGGATGATGAAGGAGAGCTTGACATATGACATTACCAAATCCAGCATGAGAATGAAGGTGGAGGCACTGACTACAGCATTTCAATCGGTGGAAAAAATCTCAGCCATGTATGATGTCATAGTATTGGATTCACAAAGCATGCTCAGGAGGGTGAACTCAGGTTTTCTTCATACAGAATGGGTTACATAAATTCAGAGGTCGCATGTGATGAGTCACGTGGATAAATTTGCCCAGGCTATTCAGGTGTGTATGGGAATAAAAAGGCAGCTAAATTAGCTGGACTGGCTCCACTTGGAGGTATACTGCAATTGCACAAGGCAGGGGTGATCTCTAACCTGTGAGACAAGGCAAGAGGTGAAACGGAAGATACTGAAAATCCGTACTTGGAGAGAATGATACAGCTAGGAGCGACTGTGGGCTCTGGGCGCCACTCGAATCAGAGGAAAGGCAAAATGAGTAGTTAACCAGATGATATAGGGTACCATCTGTTGCTGTCTGTTGAGGAGGAAGATGGAGCTAATATGGCCTTGTCCTAAATGCTGTTAGGTAGAATCTTTACCAAGAAGACCAAACTGAACAATTTGTGTAAATTTTCTGATGAATGAAGCCTGAATAAGTCCTTTTGGAAGCAAGCCCATGTAGGTCCTGTAGAAACCTCTGGACTGGTACACGGTTCTACTCCTTTTTCTGCTATGTTTTGGTTGCTATGATGCAAAAGTCCTTTTTACCATTGTTGGGCATATGTAACATTCAACCCACCCCAATAATTGATGTAAAATTAAAGAACAAATTTCTATGAAAGCTGTCACTGAAGAGCCCACATGTGCAAGAAATGCAAGAAACAATCTGACTGAAGAAATGCAAGAAACAATCTGACTGGCTGTTATGAAAGCCTGTAAGCCAATCTCAAGGCTTGTATAATCAGGCCGATGGATCAGCACATTTGTCTTTTGGGCAATTTTGCTGTTTGGCCGATAGCTCGGCAAGTCATCTTCAAAGGGTTAAACTGACTGCTTCAACGTTTCCAGAATGGTCTTAACTATTTAATAAGACCTGGTTACAAAGGTATTTTTATCACCTGGTCTTTTCACCTTTTAGAGCAAGATAATACTCAGAAACACCATAGACAAAATAGCGATGGCGAACAACATGGAGATATTTTCAATATTAAACCTTTAGCAACACTGCAAGCTGGGTAGTTTAGAGAACGCGCAGCTGAATTACTGCATGCATTAGAATGGCACGGGAGACTACAGAAATATGAATAGACTAGGTGAGGGCTGTCAAAGACCTGAGGTCCTGCAGGAAATGTCAAAACTGTACAGAAATACTGTTAATGTAGGTTTCTGGATAAATATTAAGCAGGATCATTCCAGAATGATTAGCATGTGCCCGGCCATTGAACTGCAGAGAGGATCAGCTAAGTAACTAGGGAACAGTGGCCACCAAAGACACTTGTGCCTATTTTTACTCTCGCCACAACAAGTTCTTGCTGTGATGAGTCGTGAAGCGTTGTAGGCAGCCCAGGAGTCTTTCTGGAAGAGTTCAGTTCTGCATTCATTAGTTGCATGATGTGTGCACTGCTTTCATGTACTTTTCAGAGTCTTTACCTATGTTGTACTTATTGCATGATGTGATATTATTCTGGATTCAGATTTGTCAGTGTCCAATCTTTTCAAGTACTTTTAGATTGGATTGTGTGTGACTATGGTCAGATTAATTACTGTGTTATATTTCGACTATGATAAGTTTGCTATCTAGTCTGGGGGCTTTTTAAGTGGTGAGGAGGTCAGGCCAAGTTGTGCCTAGGTATAATTATTATTGCAGTGGAAATCAAAATTTCTGTTGCCTCACCCCTGAAGTGATGTTGGATGGTCGTTGGAGCTAGGAACGAACGAACTTTCTAGACCCATGCAAGCCAACATCCAACATAAAGTTACTTCAGAGTGTCTTTGATTATGAGGGGATACCCTAGTAAAGGCATGCGACAGACGCATCATGTGACAATAACCCTACAAAATTAATAAGGTCTTTTTAAAGGGTCACTCTTAAGCTGCAGAAAATGGCAAGGATCAGAAAAATTGGCTTCAGTGGATATCAAAAGTACCAACAACAAAAAAATACTTACTCTTGTCCACTTTTCCTTTTCCGTTGCTTTCCATCTAGAATATAAAACAAACCAAGAAAGTTATACATTCTGACATTCAGCACTGACGGACTGCAAACTGAACATTTCGTAAGAGCATATGCAAAACATTATTAGCAAATGTATTATATCCAAGTTTTACCTAACTATATTTCTTCGCATTTTAAGTTCTCGTTTGACCTGTCCGTTCTCGGCCTATCCTTCTAGCCTTTAGTCCTTCTGTCCATAATCTTGACAGACTTTCAGTTCACATGTGAGGTAAACTTTTCATAAAATCCCCTGTTATATGTCCATCTATGAATGTTATTTGCTCAGCTGTGTCAGTCTACTTGCTCAACTGCCTTTCGCTTTAAGTATGGCTTTTATAAGAGTGCTTTGGTTAAATGGACAGTGTGATTAAACTGGATGGCTTTCAGATCCTTAGAAACATATCCAGAATCAATAATGACAAAGACAGGTAAAAGTCCAGCTAAATTAAATAGGATAGCCAAAGCTAACTAAGAAGTTCATCAGAAGTAGCAAAATAGCAGTGAAAGTTAGTCACATCTAAGGAGAGGGGAGTGCAGCTGATACATTATTCTGGGGGCCAATGGGGCCCATGGAGAGGAATAATTTTAATAAAACAAAAATTTTTAAAAAGAAAAACAATGCTGGGTATGTATTGTGTACTGTGCTCCATATTTTGTTTAACAGCCTTGTACCTATCCATTTTTTTAATTATATTTGCCTATACTATATACGTTTGAATGCCATTAAAAGCATATACCAAGATGACTAAACAATTAACTGTGACATTAATGATTTATGTGTCCATGCATTGGTGGAAGGCATATTAGTCTTGTTCCAGCAATAAATAATCCTCTTGGTGTCTGTAGTTAAAGCAGCAAGCAGTAAATCGGCTCTTCTCCAAACTTCGTCCCCATATCATGGTGGCCAAACAAATACCCTAAAAGGGCCTCAGTCATGTGTAAAATGCGGAGTGCCTGCCGAGGAACAAATCGTGGCAAAACTAGGACTGCCTCAGAATAACGGGAAAATATTATAGAGGGCAAACAAATATTCTAACAGGGTCTCAGCGATGTTAATTGGGGACCTGTTTCCGCGTGGATGGTGGGCTAAATAGATGGATGGGACTCACAAGCAGCAGCTACCGCATCTCCTAAAGCTTCCTCCATTTTATTTGCTCGTGCGCGGCGTGAGGGATACTCTCGGCGGTGGTGGAGATTGTGGGAAGTTATAAATTCGGCGGTGGCGTTATAGTCCCCGGAAGTGCGCAATAGACACATGACTGAGGCCCCGTTAGGGTATATTTTCCGCCTCAATAATATTGGACGGTTATTCAGCATCTCCTGCAGCTTTGCTCGTGAGTCCAAGCCATCTATCTAGTTTAGCCCCAATCCACGCCGCGCGGGGGACTCGTGGCGGTGGCGGTAGTCGCCGGAAAACCGCAAATTAAGTTGCAGGAAGTGCAGAATTGACACGTGACTGAGGCTCGTAAGGATATTTTGTGGAAGCCATCTTTAGTGCCCGTTATTCGGAGGATAGCTTATTATAATATGTATATGATAAATATGAGCAGCAAAACAATTACTGAATTAGGAAGGTCATACACACTGAAAGAGATTTTCAGAATAAATGTAAAGTGATGACAAAAACTAACAAGATTAATTAAAAACAAAACTATTCATTAAATACAAAATTAAGACACTCAAAAACTTCTTTAAAAAGTAATTACTAATTAGTCCAGCAAATAAGTTAGTTAAATAAGCAGACTGGTTTGTTCAGTTCCTCAGATAAATCACAAAGTGACAACAAAGATCGTCCGAATTGAACAAACAAACACATATAAAATAGTAAAGATTCTAAAAGATGATGATCTACTACACACAATCCAGGTGGCTCGATAAAACTTGACGGCGAGTACAAGGGAATCTTTGATCCTCCCTCCCGCTTGAACTACTAGAAGAGCACAGCAGAGCAGACGAGATGGCCATCCCAAGGCGCAGACAACAAGAATGGTTGGGAAACTAACTTTCAATAAAACTCCACCAACAACGCAACACATGTAAATATCTCAGTCTTACCGGATCCAGATGGCCCAGGCGATAACGTTACTGCGGCCATTTATTATACTTGTTTTCCCCGATGAATTACTTAACCATAAAACGGCACTAGTAAATAAATTCAATAAACTAGAGAATCATCCCTGACAGTTATTGTTGTTGGGATTCGCGCAAACCGGAAGTGGAGTAAATTTAGCACAGAATCCCAGCATGCAGTGTAGGTCTGTCACGACATTGTTGTTGATACACGTGGCTCTATCCTTGCTCTCTCTCTCTCTCTCTCTCTCTCTCTCTCTCTCTCTCTCTCTCTCTCTCTCTCTCACTCTCCCTTCTTCCCTATTGTTGCAAAACTCGAGCTTTGCATGCACATCCGTTTTACAGATCTGGCTTAACTGTAAGGTCCTTGCTTCTTTCTCAGTTCATGCAGATGCACTCCGACGGAAACCCCCAATTATTCGACTCTTACGACATGCCTGGTATTCAGGCAGTGGGTCTACTCCCCCCACCACCATTCACACACACAGGTAGCCATTTAATTCTTTGAGGTTGTTAATTTCGTATCCTATACTGGACGTTGTAGAATCAGCCACAGCGTTTGTTTTCACTATATTTTATGTTCAGTAGTTTGTCATTGGAATCGTAATGGTCGGTTCTCGATACCATTGTCGAATCAACGCAAATCGGTCTGCTGCCAAATGCCCGCAGCAGGCATCCCAAAATAACAAAGCACATTCGTAACTAGCTGCTGACAATCAGCCATTATTTAAACTTCCATCTGGAGAAAATCCTGGCGTTAAGCAGCCACTAAGTGATCCCGAATCCTGGCGTCAAGCAGCCACTAAGTGAGCCCGAATCCTGGCGTCAAGCAGCCACTAAGTGATCCCGAATCCTGGCGTCAAGCAGCCACTAAGTGAGCCCGCATCCTGGCGTCAAGCAGCCACTAAGTGAGCCCGAATCCTGGCGTCAAGCAGCCACTAAGTGAGCCCGAATCCTGGCGTCAAGCAGCCACTAAGTGAGCCCGAATCCTGGCGTCAAGCAGCCACTTAGTGAGCCCGAATCCTTGCGTCAAGCAGCCACTAAATGAGCCCGAATCCTGGCGTCAAGCAGCCACTAAGTGAGCCCGAATCCTGGCGTCAAGCAGCCACTTAGTAAGCCCGAATCCTGGCGTCAAGCAGCCACTAAGTGAGCCTGAATCCTGGCGTCAAGCAGCTACTTAGTGAGCCCGAATCCTGGCGTCAAGCAGCTACTAAGTGAGCCCGAATCCTGGCTTCAAGCAGCTACTAAGTGAGCCCGAATCCTGGCGTCAAGCAGCCACTAAGTGAGCCCGAATCCTGGCGTCAAGCAGCCACTTAGTGAGCCCGATGGTGCTGAGATAATTAGTCGACCCCTAATCAGTCATCTTTAACGACATGCTTTTGTGGGGGAAAGGGGTCTATCCTTTTTTTTCCACAAAATGTGACCCCGGAACCCAAAAGGGGATCGCTTATATTTGAATTATTTGAGGTTGTTAATTTCGCATCCTTTACTTATTTTACGTTGTAGAGTCAACCCGTCGATCCTAGCTGCTATGGATTTGACAACAGTCCGCCTTGCGTTGGTTTTGACAGTGGTATTGACAGCCGACCGTTGAGAAGCAATGGCAAACTGCTGAATTTAAATTTGCAGAGAAAACCCACAACAGCTGAAAATGCTGAGGTTGGTTCACCAACGTCCTGTAAAGGACACGCAACCATAAAATCAACCCCAGCGTTGTGTGTGTGTGTGTTTTTTTTTTATGCTGTTTTGTTTTACTACGCAATTTTACGTTGAAGTAGTTTGCCGCTGGTAACTTAACGTTCAGCTCTCGATACAATTGTCGAATCCACGCAAATTTGTCTGGTGTCTTATGTCCGCAGCAGACATCGAAATAGGCATCCTAGAATTACGAATCGCGTTCGCAACGCCTAAGCCACAGGTGCCGTCAACCAGTAATTGTTTTAAGTCTTTCGATCTGGATCAGTCTTAGCGTATGGTAGCCGATAAGTCCGACCATGCTGAAATACAGTTTGGGCGGGTTAGAAGGGGTGAAGCTAACAAGTGGGGGATTATTGTTTGTAATTGTACCATTGATAGTTTTTAACCATGTGTTGATGAAGACTTTCTAGTCCCAAAATTCATTTGTCATTCGTGATTGTGATAGTGTGAAGCCGACTCATTCTATTTCTAGCAGGGATTTAAATCTTTTCAAACAGTAGGGTCATAGGCGCTGGAATGTGGGAGCTCAAGTTGCTTGACCTCATATCCCTCAACTGTGGTGTTGTCTTTGTCAGGCTACGGCAGCGGTATCAGATAGATGTGCACCCACACTTTGTCGATGAAGGTACTGTCATTGCTGTTGTCAGAGATGTTTGTCAGTTCTCCCATCTCCTCTCTGGAATACTTACCAATGTAAATTGAGTTATGAGTTTGATTATCTTCACAGCACTCCGGAAACATCAATAGGTACCCAGATTCCCCTATCGTCAGCGTCGTGGGTAATAGTGTCAGTCCTATGCTGGTTGACAAGACTTCGTGTGCGTCCGGTGTTCTTCTCGTGCTTGGCTGTGCCGATATTTACTCAAATTTCTCGTATTCTTAGCAGTGATGAGAACACGTTGCTTCCAAAATCCTCGGAACGTCCTAACTCTCTAAGGGCATTGACAATGTCTGCGTGATCCATGGGCCGGCCATCTTTAATTAATGCGGCACCTGCCAGTCTATCAGCTCTTTACCAGTAATACTTGCATGCCCTGGGACGAATATGAAGGTAACTGCACACACAGGAGATTTTTTGCAATGACTCACACAACTGTCAGCGTAACCAGCCTGCCTCGACCCGCCGGATCATGCTCAAAGAATCACTTGGCACACACACGTGGGAAAAGTCCTGTGATTTTAGCCAAATGAAAGCCTGTGTCACCGCCATCACCTCCATCGTCATGCTGCTGGTAGTCATGGAGAAGGCACTGCTGGCTTTTTGGACTGTTTTGCCTGAAGAGCGAGCTGTAAATGCCCATGCACTCTTATGTCCTCGTATAACGGACCCGTCTGTGAGCGCGCATATCTCGGCGTTGACAGCAGAGGTATAATGCTCCAGATAACTCATATCAAGCGTCACGACACAGGAGAATTTGAAATTGGGTGCTTTAGACGCTGGTATCCACTCCTCACCTGGATGGATATCTGTAAGGCTGCAAACCTACATGATGTCATCCTCTGCCCTACCCAGCCCTAATTTGCCCCTTTTAAGCCTATTGCCTTTTTTCCTAAAGAGCATGTGGTGCAAAGGGTTCTTCAGATCTGAGTTTTTCTTGAGGTATGCACGAGCCCTCCAGATTTTGATCTTGTAGTTCATGGTAGGGAAGTCAAGAAGGTATCTCATTGCTACACATGAGGTGTCTCCAATGCACCTCAGAATAATGGGCATTGCTTCGTTATGCACCTTCTCAAGTCTTTCAATCTGAGTATGGCTGACAGTGAGAAAGGCTAAAGTATATTCGATGGGAAAAAGGAAAAGGCCCTGAACAGAAGCAGCCTCTTCTAAGTATTAGCGACGGCAAGGACCCTCATTGCTGACAGGCGTTTGCGTGCTTTAGTTGTAACATGGTCATGTTCATTGAAGGACAGCCTGCGATCAAATCTCACTCTGAGGTATGCCATCAGATTTGTTCTCGTCAAAATTTCCTGGCAAATGAATATCAAAGAGTGTTGATCATCATCATTATTGTCCGTAAACAGCGTCAACAGCTGCTATCAACGACTGTCTGGTAGTCCCCCACCCCCTCCCCCTCCAACGTTGACTGTCAAATGCAGTTGACTTTTTGCTGCATACCTCAGACCTGTCCAGTTAGTCAAGCTTTGAACTGTTTTTGTTTCCACGAACACGACATAGTCTTATGTTTTCAAAGGTTCAGTTCGACTTTCTAGCTGCGTGATCAGTGTCCTAGTTTCTGCAACATACAGCATGATTGTGTATAAATTATATTAGATTATTCTCATCTGTTATGTGTTGTTTATCTGTCTAGCTGTCAATAATTGGGGCATCTTGTTGCAGATAGTTGAAAGATAAAAAGTATTTAAATTAAACAGCCTTTTGAAACCATCACACTTATCTCAGTGTAATGGCTGGCAATTTGCTAATAGTTTTGAGCAGAACTTTTGTTGCCGTAGTACACTGATTATACACACGTAGTTCTCTTCCTTTCATCCGTTCCGATGAGGAGGGACGGATAAGAGGAAGAAAACGACCTGGGTACAATCAGTGTGCTACAGGAACCGATAGCATCTACAACTTGAGACATTTACTTATGGGAGACGGAGCATCTATGGGTATGCCAGGTGTGCTATAATGTCGATTCTTAAATCAGAGTCGTTATGTGTGCAAACGTAGCTGCACTGTTTGTTTAACAACTGATTATATGCACGTCGTTCTCTGCCTCTCATACGTCCGGACCCACACTCAGTTTCCCGTTCACACATTCTTACACATGTTTATTTTTTTTTAAATCTAATCTCAAGTCTTCTGTCAACATTTGTTCGTTTATGATCTTCATAATATCTTCCCTGTCCAGTACGAATGATCCCGTAGTTTTCGCTTTTGAAACCAGACAATCCACTTTTTCATTTCCTGACACACTTGGATATCCCGAGCAGTATCCTGCAATGTTAGCATACTGATGCTTGGTATCCACCATGACACATTACTCCATTTTGAACTTTCGCAAAAAAGACTATTTTTTTTAAACTAAACTGAAACAAAACTATTTAACCTTTAAAAGAATTTTACGTTTCTATTGAATGTTTTAACGAGTCGAGACCATAAACAGAACTTCGACAGACTGCGTCCTATTCGGTGCTGGCTCAAGGCATAGCTAAGAGGGTGTAGAGGCTATACACTCGCCTGTGAATCTAAAGGTTGTAGGTTCTTTACGGAGCCGGATTTTTGGTAAAAATAACATTCGCTCCCATGTCGACCGAACCTTAAATGAGTACATTCGTGGGAAGTAAAGGCTGCCGACGTGATGTTGAAGACATCACCCACCAAGTGGCGATTGGTTTATAAAATATAGGTCCAACCCTATATGTCCACTATACCCAAGGCGTGGAAAAAGAATCCTTTACTTTTAACTAAGCTGCGTCTTAGGACCTATAAATCTATACAGGCCCCGCCCACTCCACCCCCGCCCAATGTATTGTTTTTGTAATAGACCACAATATATTTTCGTCATCCATATTCTAAAAGGCGTGTACGTTTTGAAGTTTTCTGAGATTAGTTGGTGACACGGCCTTCTCTGTATACAGAAGGACCTGGTTGGTGACATTAAAAACAGTAAGGTCTTGTGGGCTATAAAAAGCTTAGAAAAAGACGAATCCACAGTATTATGAATAATCGCTGTTTGTGTTGGGTTTCTGCTGCGTTGTCTAAAGTATATATTTCGATCAAATGATGAACGGAAGATGCTTATCAGTGAATATGAGTTTCGTATTTAATCTTTCCTGAATAATTTTTTAATAATTGTGCTTAAATATTATTTAATTTTATTGTCAGCCATCTAGTGAGAATGCAGACAGACCAGACTAAATATGAGACTTTTTTAAGTAAAACATCTGGAAGGAAGGCGAGAAGAAGACCAAGAAAGAGATGGATAAATGGTGTAGATGAAACCTGCAAAAAGATGAACAAATCCATCATTCAGTCCACCAGAGAAGAGCAAGACAAATACAGAAAACCACGACACTGGGCTACAACCTGGTATCAGTGAGACGAGAAAACCACTACACTGGGCTACAACCTGGTATCAGTGAGACGAGAAAACCACTACACTGGGCTACAACCTGGTATCAGTGAGACGACAAAACCACGACACTGGGCTACAACCTGGCATCAGTGGGACGACAAAACCACGACACTGGGCTACAACCTGGTATCAGTGAGACGACAAAACCACGACACTGGGCTACAACCTGGCATCAGTGGGACGACAAAAGAAGAAGATTGTCAGCATTCTCCGTATTATGAACTAAGACTGACAGTAAGTTGACAGTAAGTTACCATTTAATGTAGGAGTTGGGGGGGGGGGGGGGGGGGGGAGCTCAGTTTCACACTGTAATTATGTGATGGAATGTCTATTTAAAAAAAAAAAAACACACACACACACACACGTGAAAGACTTACTTACATCAATAAATGTGAAATAATAAACGAAGGCTAACACAATTCCTTGAACAGTTTGCTTCGTGAAATATTTATTTTTTTCTAAACTGCTTACACGTGCAAACTGATCAGGCCTTGCCATTGAGTCTGCAGGACTATCATCTAAAGGGTGTGAATCAAACAGGTACAGACACCGATCAACCGTACAACCACATACAGTGACTACAAGTTTGAAAGTAGGGGTCGTCACGGGCCAGAGTCCAAGCATAAGAAGAATATTTATTAAAACAATACAACCGGTAATCTTCTTCGATCCTTCTGATCCGCGGGACACTTGCTAGGCCTCCACGGGTCGGATTTGGCCAGTTGAGTAGCCCTGCAGCACGGCCTCCTCTAGTTATATACAGAGGGACCTGCCCTGCTGTAGTCCAGTGTGGTGGGTTGTGTATTCACCATTTCAGAGACCTCAAAGGTTACGACAACAAATGACAGGACGGTTCAGATGATAAATACAAATGACTTAATCTTTTGAAAGGAGTAGAACACGTCATTTCTAAAAATAGAAGTGTTACTAATACTAATAAATACTTCACTGCCTCATACACCTCGTGTGTTGCATTTTTTCTTTATGTCCTGCATGTACAAATTTGACACGTTTATTAGTCTAATTTGACTAAGTGAAGTTGAATATGTAATATCTTCTGTCTCTTTTACAGTAACACTATTACAGTTTGTTGAAGTTGCTGAACAAATAAGAATCAAGAAGTAATAATAAGCAGTAATGCAGGATACGAAACAAAAGAAAGTGCTAGCTTTCACAAACTTCCACGTTGATGGTCGGACCGGAAGTTTACAAGCAAGCTAAACATAGTTACAGGAGTCCAGTCACAAACTGGGGAGGCGGGTACCACCCTTGGCGCCTGAAGTGTGTTTTGTTTACGTTCTTACCTTCACTACCCCTATTAAAAGTAAAATATACATGGGCACACACTTACGTGTGACTAACACCCATGCTAGAATCTTGAAAAGACGCATAACTTTCAGTTAAAGTTTCACCATCGTTATGAAACCCCTGCAGGAAGGCGTTTGAGCTGTTTGTTTTGGAAACAAGTTCTGCATCCTGGTCAAAGTATAGGTCAAGGGAAAGCCCCTGGGAAACATTAGGGATAGGGACCCTATTGTGACGTGTTCATATCTGAGCTGGAATCCGTGACAGTTTGTGAGAGACGGAGGTTAAGCTCGAGGGAGGCGGGTCGTAAACACAAAACATGGAGTTCGATACCCCAGTTGATGTTTTAGATCTACTTTTTGATGACGCTAGTGGCTTGTTGAAAGATGATTTCATACATATGGACACTGGGATTAACAAACATGGATATTTTGGGTTGACTCCCACAGAACACATAAATGGTACATACAACATCAACTTTGTAAGTAAATAAAGTTACCTAACGTTTTTGGATCATTTAAGATTTAACTTATACTACTTACCATTGAATGATTATTGTACTCTGACTAGTCTAGTGTGGGCGTGACCATGACTAAGTTTCGCGCTAAAATAACACAGCTTGACTGAAACTGATGCAACACATTGTTGACTGACCACAACTGCGACTCAGACAGTTTGCGTTGTCAGATTAAGTGGCTTTTAGGAGTACAATTAGAAATAAACCACCGTTTTTAGGCAGCAGGGAATTATATTACTGTTCATATTTCTAAATATTAGAATCAGGATATCTTCATAAATGGCATCTGTTTTTCATAGCACCATTTCTTTACTGTCACAACAGCTCACTGTTGGCAGTTTATTGGAATCCACATCATTTATACCATGGAGTGACATATATGTAATATTATTATTGAAATAATGCCATTTGGCTCAATGCCACTTAATGAAGAGTATTATAATAAGTGTTTACACTAGTTGTTACCCTGTGCTATACTGTACTAGTTGTTACACTCTGCTAGTTGTTACCCTGTGCTAAACTGTAAAATTGTTACCCTGTAATACACTGTACTTGATTTTATCCTATGCGATACTGAACTAGTTGTTACCATGTGCTATGCTGTACTAGTTGTTACACTGTGCTGTATTGTACTAGTTATTACCCTGTGCTATACTATACTAGTTATTACCCTGTGCTATAATGTACTAGTTGTCACCCTAAGCTATACTTTAAAGTTCTTACTCTTTTTTAAAGTACTAGTTATTACCCTATGCTATACTGGGATTTTTTCCGAATAACGGTCCGAAATTATCGAGGCAGAAAATATACCCTAACAGGGCTTCATTCACATGTAAATTGCGGACTCCCGCCACCGCCAAGAGTATCTCCTGCGCTGCTACACGCGGCGTGCTGTGGGGCTAAACTAGATGGCTGGGACTCACAAGCAAATAAAATGAAGGAAGCTGCAGGAAGTGAGGTAGCTGCTGCTCGTGAGTCCCAGCCATCTAGTTAAGCCCTAATCCACGCCGCTGCGCGCGGCGAGATACTCTCTGCGGTGGCGGCAGTCGCCAGAAACGGCAGTTTAAGTCACCGGAAGTCCACAATTTACAGGTGACTGAGGCCATGTTAGGGTATATTTTCAGCCTCGATAATTTGGGACCATTATTCGGAAGATAGCCCTAAACTGTACTAGTTGTTACCCTGTGCTGTCCAGTACTAGTTATTACTCACTGCTACATGACAAGGCAGATGTGGTCAAGGCCCTTTGGGTAAAAGCAACTGAATCAGTAGAGAAAGAAGATTATTATGGCATGGAGAGAATGAGGCACCTGGGTGTAACCAGAGAGTCTGGCCGGCTCACTATGCTCAGAGGAAAGGCAGGATGGACATTTAACCAGATTGTGACTGGTACCGTCAGTATTGGAACTCTGCGCTGGCTGCTGAAGATGAGGACAGAGCATGTGTGGGAATGCCCCAAGTGCTGTGATGTCAATTCTTGACTCAACTCCATTTTATATTGTACTCATTGTTTCCCAGAGTTGTACAGTACTAGTTGTTACCATGTGCTAAACTGTAGTTGTTACCCTTTGCTATCATGTACTTGTTATTACTATATGCTATACTGTACTAGTTGTTACCCTGTGCTATACTGTAGTAGATGTTACCCTGTGCTATACTGTACTAGTTATTAACATGTGCTATAATTTACTAGTTGTTACCCTGTGCTTTACTGTAGTAGTTGTTACCCTGTTCTATACAGTACTAGTTATTACCATGTGCTATAATTTACTAGTTGTTACCATGTGCTATACTGTACTAGTTGTTGCCTGTGCTTTACTGTACTAGTTGTCACCCTGTGCTGTACAGTACTAGTTACTACCCTGTGCTATACTGTACTGGTTGTTACTCTGTGCTAAACAGTACTAGTTATTACCCTGTGCTATACTGTACTAGTTGTTACCTGTGCTTTACTGTGCTAGTTATTACCCTGTGCTTTACTGTAGTAGATGTTACCCTGTGCTATACAGTACTAGTTATTACCATGTGCTATAATTTACTAGTTGTTACCATGTGCTATACTGTACTAGTTGTTGCCTGTGCTTTACTGTACGAGTTGTTACCCTGTGCTGTACAGTACTAGTTATTATCCTATATTATAGTATACTGGTTGTTACTCTGTGCTATACAGTACTAATTATTACCCTCTGCTATACTGTACTAGTTACTACCACTTGCTGTACTGTACAAGATCTTAACCTGTGCTATAATTTACTAGTTGTTATCCTGTGCTGTACTGGTTGCTACCCTGTGCGATACTGTACTAGTTGTTACCATGTATTTAACTGTATTAGTTGTTACCCTGTGCTATACTGCATTGGTTGTTGCCCTGTGCTATACTGTACAAGTTGTTGCCCTCTACTATTATATAAATTATTATTTCTATTTTGTCTCTATAAAGTTTTCTGAAAAGTTTATAAAAAAAAAACTTTGAAGGGCCTTTTTTAACACCAGTGGCTCATGGGACATATGATGCTAAACTCATATTCTCATCAACCAGTCGACCCTCGACAAGTACCTTTACCAACTTTACTTATCAGGACTTTATTGGTACCAATTTTAGACTGAATGTATCAGGTTTTCAGGCAAACATCAAGCTGCTGGGGATACCAACCTGCAACACCTAACGGCACAAAGCAGAGTATTGACAAAGGGGGGGGGGGGGGAGGGAAGAATGAATGTCTTCTTCTTCTTTTTCTTCTGCGTTCATCCGAAGATGTAATTGCGTTGCGTCTGTTAACAACATGGCTGCGATATTTGCACCTTTCGGCCAACACATCCGACTTCTGCGGGCATTTGTTGACCGGGTTAGCCTTCCTGGTTAGTTTCACGGGACCTAGCAGTCTCACTGTTGTGTGGTCATCTTTGTTTCTCCGGTCACAGGTGGTGACCCAATCAGGCTGGTCCAGAGAGGCCACATAATGCTGATCAGCCCTCAAGAGAAGGTAGGGGCAGAACATGAGCATTCCCCGCCATCCAAGGAGGCTTCCACATGCTGTTTTCAGTGTGCTCAAAAATGTAGAAATTTTATATTTTCTGTTTTTAAGTTAAAAATGCATGTAATTTTGTTTTGTATTTTTCCTAAACATGTAATCTGCATGCAGAAACTTTTGGAGGACTTTAATAAAATTTTAGTTGAACATTTCTATTGAAATATCTTTAGGGTGACTTAGATCTTCTGAGTGACAACTTATTTGAGGACCTCATCCAAGCAGCGGAACCAAATACTTTCCTGGATGGAGAATCTCCAGACAGAAGCACAGCTTTCCTTTCAGACCATGACTACCTTGCACACAAGTCACCCAGCGAACACAGTGACAGCGGCATATCTGTCGTCTCAGATGAGTCACCCTCCATGTTGAGACTCAGCACAAGCTCAGACAAAAATGCCACTGAAGATCAATTAGAGCTCTATACTTCATCTGAGTCTTCGCTGACCTGTAACGGTCAAGTTGCAAGTTTGTATGATCCTTCCCTGACCAAGGTAGCAGATTCAAACTTTGATTACACAAATGATGAAATATCTGACACTTTTAATGAATTTGGTCACACAGCAAAGGATGATGATATTTCTATAGACTTTGGTAAGAACAAGGAAATTTTCTATTATTTAATTTAAAGTTATAATAGCATTTTAAATGGGTACCAAATAAAGTCCAGGGAAGTAAAGGTGGCTGGCATGATGCTGACCACATCACCCGCCAAGTGCCGATTAGTCAGTAAAATTTATGTCTAGCCCTATTTGCCAAATACTCATGAAAGTGTGGAAAAAAATCCTTAACTTTTTTTAAAAAACTTTATCATAGCTTTATATAAACATAATTAACATTTATTGTTAGAAAGTTACTGCAGTTGTTCCAAAAGTTTTCTTTTTAAGCCTCTAAGTGTACTTTTAATTTAAAAACTCGTTGCCATTATTTATCAGATCTTTGTTTTGTTTAAAATTCATAACTTTGACTGCTGATTCTGTGCGGTTATTCTAGCATCTTTATTAGAATTCTGCTTGTTTGGTCTTTACCCTCTCCACTTTTCCCTTTTTAAAACTAACCTCTGTTGGTCAAAATAGCATTGAGAAACAGTTGTTCCCAAACAATTTTGGGAGCACATATTTGCATGAAGAATCTATGGCAAAGCACTAGTAAATTAGTTAAAGTAAAAATCTTGAGATCATGCATTTTTCCTAAGGCAACTTATGCTGGTTCTGGACTCTCACTCAGTCATTGAAGAAAAAGATTGGAGCTTTTGAATTGAAATGTTATAGAAAAATTCTTAGAATACCATGGATCAAGAAGAGGAAACAAATTGACATTCTAAACTAGTTGAACATCAAGGAGAACTGGCTCATAAACAGTATCCTGTCTTAAAAGTTGAAGTATTTTGGCCACATCAAACGTCATGGTGGCTTGGAAAAGACGATGATGGAGGGTGAAGTTTGTGGAAGGCGAGGCAGGGGTCGACCACCGTGAAGATGGATACAGGACATTGAAGATGTATTGGCATTGAAAGCACATGATGCCGGAGAGCTTTCTAGGGAAAGGGATACTTTCAGACGTGTCGTGAAGAGAGGGACGTTCTGTAAAGGACTTGCTGATTGATGATGATATTTGCTGCAGTAATTTCTATTGCACCATATATATCTGTTGCTTGTCCATCATTGCCAGAAGGACTGTATTGCCATATGTAAGTCTGAGAGTGGGTTAGAAGGAGGCAAAATATGCGAGTCTGCAAACACTCACTTACCATCTGATAATGTATAACAAATGATGCACAAGTTCAGGAAAGGTACATTTTTAGGAATCTGTCCAAAGAACTTTGCTTTTGCCTTCTCATCAGGATGTTTTGGGAATGTGACATTGTCTGCTCATTCCAGACAGTGCTTTTGTGGCTTGCTTGGGCTTTGTTGGGGTGATACCTCTCTGCAAAGTTTCTGACATCTATTTGGTAATATTTCCTTGATTACTGAGAGAAGTAAACATGGGAAGCTTGCAATGGTTTGAATCATTTTGACTCATACAAGTTTTAGCATACGAGTTATATTTCAAACAAAGGTTGTACACCAAGAAAAACTTCTTGCATTTAAACAGGACATATACAAGGTTGAACATAAACCAGAGCATACATACAACAAGGTACCATTGTATATCTTTTATTTTTTGTTTCAGATTTTGATAGTCTTGATTCAGACTTTCAATCAACGCAAGTTCACAGTCAGGGGACTCAGTCACTTCTGGTTCTTGCTGAGTCTAACAAGCGGGTTTTCTCCTTGCAGAAGACTAATAAAGGAGATGGGACCCTGCCTTACACAATGAAAGATGTGGACCCAGGTGTAATAAGTTGTGGAAATGTAAGGATTAAATCATTGTAATAATATTTAAATAGTAGTACAGCAGTAATGGAAGGAGTAATTTAGCCTTAAATGTACCCGAGATGGAAGGAGTAATTTAGCCTTACATGTGCCTGAGATGGAAGGGGTAATTTAGCCTTACATGTACCCGAGATGGAAGGAGTAATTTAGCCTTACATGTACCCGAGATGGAAGGGGTAATTTAGCCTTACATGTACCTGAGATGGAAGGGGTAATTTAGCCTTACATGTACCCGAGATGGAAGGAGTAATTTAGCCTTAAATGTACCCGAGATGGAAGGAGTAATTTAGCCTTACATGTACCTGAGATGGAAGGAGTAATTTAGCCTTACATGTACCTGAGATGGAAGGAGTAATTTAGCCTTACATGTACCCGAGATGGAAGGAGTAATTTAGCCTTACTTAAGCTAAGATGCAAGCAGTTATTCAGCCCTAAAGTAAACTGGACTGGAATCAGGAATGTAGCCTTTAAAGCTGGGACAAAGACAAACCATTAGCAAATGAAGTGAGATATCTGGTTGTATTTGCTTGTTTCATTTTATTACCACCTCTATCATGTCAAGTGTTCCTGCTGAAAACAGACATTTTTACTATCTGCTTTTGGGTTATAGTAGGCATTAGTAATTTGAACCTTATTGCTTAGACTGGCTTATAACTGAGAATTATGTATCATGTAGTACAATAGTCCTCAGGTAGGAATGCTTGCATGCAATATGAGCCACATGTTTTACTTAACCTTTTTTTTTTCTTTTGTAACTAGAGCCAGTTTCAGAGAGGTTTGGTACATTTTGGATGATCCCTCACTAAGTTCCACTATACTAAGATTTAGTTTCTTCATCTTCAGCATATCAAGTCGTCATGTTCATTGCTGTAGATATCACCCATCTCCATTTATCTCTGTGATTAGCCTTCTTTTTCTAGTTGATGACTTCAGTGTATGTAGGTCTGTCCGTATATTAGCTCTCCTCTTTCTTCTTGGTCTGCCTCATGGTCTACTCCTATTTGACTCTTTGCTGAACACAATTTGTGCCACTGTTATCTGTCATTCTCTCTATCTGCCCCTGCTTATGCAATCTCTTAGTCAACAGTTAATTTATTATTGTCAAATATTATTCTCTTTGGGTGAATGATGACCAGAATTATTTTTTTTCAGTTTCCAGAACTCCATCTGTCGGATGAAGAGAAGGAGTTGCTGGCCAGAGAAGGTGTTACGCTTCCTACCAATCTCCCTCTGACTCGTGATGAGGAGCGTGTCTTAAAGTCTGTCAGGAGAAAGATCCGAAACAAGGTAAATTTTTCAAGCCAGTATAACATAAGGTTTTGACATTTAAAAGTCAGTCTGTTCGTGTGTTTATATAGTTTTATACCATGTCCTGAGACAAATAATATGATGCCAGTCAAGAGTTTGCTAGACATCATTCAACTAGAACTGTGGGTCGTGATCTTTCGTGGGTCGAACAACCCTCTCACAAGGGTGGCCTAAGACCATTGGAAAACCTATATTGATTGCAGTTATGAAGTCGCAACAAAAATAATTGTATTATTGGGTGTCGCCAGAACATGAGGAACTGTATTAAAGGATCACCACAACATGAGGAACTGTATTAAAGGATCACCACAACATGAGGAACTGTATTAAAGGATCACCACAACATGAGGAACTGTATTAAAGGATCGCCACAACATGAGGAACTGTATTAAAGGATCACCACAACATGAGGAACTGTATTAAAGGATCACCACAACGCGAGGAACTGCATTAAAGGGTCGCCACAACATGAGGAACTGTATTAAAGGACCGCCACAACATGAGAAACTGTATTAAAGGATCACCACAACATGAGGAACTGTATTAAAGGATCCTCACAACACGAGGAACTGTATTAAAGGGTCACCACAACATGAGGAACTGTATTAAAGGATCACCACAACATGAGGAACTGTATTAAAGGATCACCACAACATGAGGAACTGTATTGAAGGATCGCCACAACATTAGGAACTGTATTAAAGGATCACCACAACATGAGGAACTGTATTAAAGGATCACCACAACATGAGGAACTGTATTAAAGGGTCACCACAACATGAGGAACTGTATTCAAGGGTCATCACAACATGAGGAACTGTATTCAAGGGTCGTCACAACATGAGGAACTGTATTAAAGGATCGCCACAACATTAGGAACTGTATTAAAGGATCGCCACAACATTAGGAACTGTATTAAAGGATCACCACAACATGAGGAACTGTATTAAAGGATCACCACAACATGAGGAACTGTATTAAAGGATCGCCACAACATGAGGAACTGTATTAAAGGATCACCACAACATGAGGAACTGTAGTAAAGGATCACCACAACATGAGGAACTGTATTAAAGGGTCGCTGCATTAGGAAGGTCGAGAACCACTGAACTAGAATATCTTCTTCTTCTGTGTTCATCCAAAGATGTAATTGCATTGTGTCCGTTTACAGTATGGCTGTGATATTTTCACCCTTCGGCCAACACATCCAACTTCTGCGGGCATTTGTTGACCGGGTTAGCCTTCCAGGTTGAACTAGAATATTAAATTGAGTCTTCGAATCTGTGGATGAATAAACAGAAAAATTGGTCATTTATTTGTCGAACAGTAAATTACAGAGATTCTGAAGAGACTGGGAATGAAGAGAGAATAGCCAAAAGAAATTTAAAAAAAAAAAGAGATACAACTGAAATATTTTAGCTATACTATTAAAAGACACAACACTGTTTGTGTGAAAACCATACTGGATTGAAAAGTCAAAGGAAAGAGAAGGTCAAGCTATGGTAAATGATTTACATGTGGCAGCAACAGAGATGTACAGTTTGAATAAACTATTACTGGAAAAGTTATGCACAAGACTGGCTATGGGATGATGTGTTTACTTATGTTTGATATTCAAGAGTGTAATGGAGGTGATAGGATAGTGAATAGAAGATTGGCTCACATTAACTTCACATGCATTGGCTGTATAAAAAATGAATTAATGTCTTTATCACTTTCTGACTAGATTTCTGCGAAGGAAAGCAGAAAACGGAAACAAGGATATGTTGAGGGGCTCGAACAACGTGTCAAAGTGTGTACTCTAGAAAACCGTGACCTGCAGAAGAAACTTGACACTCTGGAGAAACAAAATATGTATGTACATTGTTTATTTATTTTGTGTGACTGTGATTAGCCATGTGATTACCATGGTATTTTCAAATTTATTAAGCATTCTTTTTGTTTGCACAAAGCGGAAGAGTTCATTTTCATTGTTACAGCTTTAGCCAGTTTCAATTTAAGCACACATCTATTCAGTATGTGGTAAATAACTCTGAAGACATGATCCTTATCAACTAAGTGCAAGTTTTTGATGGCTCAGCTAACATTTCTTAACTTACAGGCTTTGAGCATGTAAACAAAAAGACCACATGATAAATTTGACGTTAACATGGTAATCGCCTGGCTGATATTGAATTTCTGTCGGAGAAATCATTGTAACTTTGAATATTTCAATGAAAAGGATATGTGTTTGTGCTTCATTATTTGGTGACTTAACTCTGTAGTAATGCGTCTGATGAGATGCATCAAAATATGCCAGGCAATAAATTGTACACAGTATTTGTTTATGTCTGGACTACTTGAATATATTTGTGTCCTTTCTACATGAATAGACAAACTATTTTATAACAAGTGAAAATTTTCCTCCATGTTAATCATGTATTTCTTTTTCATTCACATTTGAACATCAAGATAATGTGTATGATTCTGTTACAGGTCTTTGATGGCTCAGCTAAAACGACTTCACTCGGTTTTTGGGAAATCCAAAATTCCCGCTCAAGCTTCTACTTGTGCAATGGTAAATTCTTTTGATGTGTTTTCCTTTAAAAATATATAATAAATTATACAACTGTGGCAGAATACACTTTTTATTTTTTTCTTCTTAGCTTTCACTGGCTGCAAACTCCTGTGGAAAGTTTTGGTTGTTTATCTACTTCTGGGTTTTGACCTTGTTTGAGAACTTTAAATTTGCTTGCAATTCTATTTTAAAGATCTGGCTTAATTTTATGCAGACACTTGGTTCCTTGCCTTTCAGGCAGATTCATCCCGACCTTGAAGATAACACCCCTAAATGATTATTTCTCTCCCCCCCCCCCCCCCCCACCCCCAGGCATGGGAAAGCATGTTACTATGGCCCTTATGTGAAGAAAAAAATAGTAACAGTTTGTCCTGTCAGGCATGTCATAAGATGCAACTGAGAAGGGTTTGTTTGGGTTGGCTACTCCAGTCACAAGTCATGATCAATTCACCTGTGTAAGTGAAGCTTTAATGCTGTTTAAAATAATGTATAAATTTTTTATAGTGTTGTGCTGTTTAAAATGTTATTGATTATACGTTACTATTTTGTTATTTATTTTTATTTCATTTTAGTAAGTATTCCTTGCTCTCTTTTTTCTAATAAGCTTTTATTTTTGTTTCTGTTGCAGGTTTTGATGCTGTCATTTGCGTTGTTCCTTGTTCCAACATTTAATCCATTTGGCTCCAGTAGCGAGAACCACAGTACAGTGTCCTCAACAAATTCACCAGTCAGGGGTCAGTGTATGTTATTGTTATTTTTATCTCTTTGTTTGTTGATTGTTCAATAGCTTTTGATTGCTCTAGACCTGTCATAGGGATACAGGGCTGAGGGTACATTCATGGATGTATTGTTTCATTTTTATTTTGAGAGTTCATGTCGAATCGTGTGTAGTGTCTACATTGTTCGCCTTCCCCTTTTCATTGAGCTTTTAAATCACATTTCTTTGATTAATTTTTTAATTTTCATTTGTTTATCTACTGCGTCCATGCAGTCTTCTACCTTTTTTTTTTTTAACTGGATCATTCTATAGTTTTGATTTCAAACATTAGAATGTTATAATTTTTTTTAATGTTGTTCTACCATCTTTATTAGGAAAATATAGAAATATAAACAATTAGCTTTATTAAAAACATAATTTTAAAAAAAAAACATTCGTAATAGCAAGCATTCATCAGTAGGCAAAAACAAGAAAAGGTAAAAAAATAACTGGAAACATAAAGGAATTTAAATAACTGCATTAAGGAACAGTAGTGCTGTTTGTTTTGTTTGTCAAAATAAGATTCCGAGGAGTGTTTGGCTGAGTGGTTAAAATGTTGTGCTCTCCCATGAAAGACCTGGGTCAGAATCCTTGGTAAGATGATAGACATTTACTTCTGTTGGGAGCAAAAAATAAACATCCCAACTTTGACACTAAACTTAATTTCATGCAGTGACTTCGACAGGTGTTCCAGTCTCCTTCCATGGATCACATGGAAAATCTCACCATAGTGCCAGATTTTGTAGAAGTATCGAGAATGTGAATATATACCACAATTACACATACAATAATTATACTTTTGTGAATAGGTTTTCTAATTTTAAAACAGAGCATGGCCAGCTGTCTGTTTGGTCTCTTTAAAAAAAATTAATTTCACAAATAGCCCTTTCTAGATTTGTTCAGTGATTGATTGGTCTTTTCAAGAAAGTTTTCTGTGAGATGAAGTATCCAGTCTTAAGCTGCAGTACTCACAAAGTATTAGAATGTGCAAGGAATTTTTAAATGAGCATTAGCATCATTTGCTTTAATATTCTCATCACCTTTGAATTAACAACCAAATCATTTCATCAATAGGTCTCTTTTAAAAAAAAAAAAAAAAATAATTGACATTAACCTGTCATTGCTGCCTTTTTTAATATATGCCTTGAGGCATTTCAGGAGTAGAGAAAAGAAGGGAAGTGTTGGACAGGGGGTTAGGAGTCCTAGGATGTGGGGCCACCTGGCTACAGGAGAAAATTTCATCTCTTACCAAGGATCGAACCTCGATGTCCCACGTAAGGGCCAGTCGACCAGCCAAAACTCACCGACATCAGCATTTGTACAAAATCCTAAATGCTGATTAAATGCTAGTCATTTGTTCTGTCATTCGGCTAGGGTGAATCTGCTATTTTACATTTAGGAACTTTCCAAACTGCATCTTAATGCAGTCTTCTTCTGCATTCTTGTGAAGATGTAATTGCATTGTTCCTGTTTACAGCATAACTTTGATATTTGTGCCTTTTGGACTTTACATCTGACTTCTGCAGGCATTTGTTGACCAGGTTAGCTTTCCTTATTATTACAATATTAAATGTGTGCCATATTTATTTCCGAAATTTATATTTTTTTTTAAAATCAGTTTTCTCTATAATTTACAGTTCTGATTACATTTATTTCCTGTAGGTAAAGCACGCAATTTACTTGAGCATGATGGGACTGGTTCCACTGGCAATGATGATGATGATCCATATGGTGTTAGCCCTCGTCCAAGCTCCCCCTGGGAAGTACAGACTCCAGTACTAGCATTAGCTGGCAAAAAGAGAGAAGTTCTCAGGCAAGACGATGCATCTTATGTGGAGCCAGACATTGCTGACCTTGCCAAGAAAATATCACCAGTGTTAGCAGGAGATATCCAGTTGGACTTGGCCAGTAGAGTTCAGGATTATACTACTGGTGTTAACAAAAATTACACTGAAAGTGTTATTACAGATCAAAACTTTGCAGACAGAAACTCTGAAGTTGCAGCAGAAAGCTAAAGCTGACAGCAGAAGAAAGGGTATCAGTGATCACACAGTTTTTGGTTCTCTTGTTTTTATTTCATGTTATAGAATTTATATACAGTTGAGAATTTATCTATTTTTTTGTTGTTATTATTTTTTTATATATAAGGTTATAATTCACTCCCAAATGTGGCTTGTTTTGATATGAATTCACTAGTTCTGATCACTTTGCAGCCTAAATTTAGATAATCAGTAAATAAAGTTATATAATTTTGGTCAGCTGCCAGCAAAGAATATGTTTATATTATCTTTGTACTTTTTTGTTGTTTTTGTTTAAGTTGTTTACCGTAGTTTCTGTAATTATTTTATTAATTAAGGTGTATACGGTTCAGATTAAGTAATCTTTCTTCTTTTTTTTTTGTCTCTGGGTTTACTCTTAAAATGATGCTGTGTTGTGTTTTACAGCTAAACTATGTTATATGTGCTTATCAACCCAACAGATCTGATTTCAGCAAACCCCTATGTAGTCTGCTTGTACAGCCTGCTTGTACAGCCTGCTTGTACAGCCTGCTTGTACAGCCTGCTTGTACAGCCTGCTTGTACAGCCTGCTTGTACAGCCTGCTTGTACAGTCTGCTTGTACAGCCTGCTTGTACAGCCTGCTTGTACAGCCTGCTTGTACAGCCTGCTTGTACAGCCTGCTTGTACAGCCTGCTTGTACAGCCTGCTTGTACAGTCTGCTTGTACAGCCTGCTTGTACAGCCTGCTTGTACAGCCTGCTTGTTAGCAGGGAAGTGAGTCTGTTCTTTGGTCCCCACGATGGGGCTCTGGAACCCAAACAGGAAATTTCACTTCTTGCCGAAACTGAAAACAGTTCTCGTTAGACTATTTGTATTTCAAGACGTTTACCATATTCGTCATAATAATCTGTCTGTTCTTTGTGAAGTCTTGTTTTTTCTTCACATCGGCTGAAAGTTCTGGTTGGTTGCTTATCTGTGGACTTTTGTCTTATTCCAGAACCTGATTGTTGCATGCATACCCATTTTACAGAGATACAATCTGTTGGTTCCTCATGCACTGACATGGAAGGAAGCCCTCAGTTAGTCAACTGTTATGACATGCTTGTTTGGGAAGGCAGTGGATTTATTTTTGTTTTCATCACAAAGGGACCCCAGAACCCACACAGAGATTTGGGAAGCTAATTATCTTATTCAGACTGATATTTCTATTCTTTGAGAAGTTTACTGTCATTATTAGAGTAATCTGTCTGCTCTCTGAGAAATGTACTGTCCTCTTTGAGGTAGTGTTTCTGTTCTTGAGAAGTTCTTTATTTTCATTATAGTAATCTTTTCTTGAAGTTTATTATCTTTGATACATATTAATAAGTATGTATTCTTTTTTTTTTTCTTTTTAAATATTTTTATCTTTTGAAAAAGTATGCAGTCCTTGCTAAATAAATCTTGGTTTTCATGAAAATTAGTAATGCACTATAAAAGTACTGATGTGTTCCGACTGTAACAGAATGATAAACATTAAATGTTTGGACTACACAAGAATGACGAACACTGGATGTCCCAACACACATGGTCAGTCAAGACTATCAAGGGGCCAGAAACGTCCCCAAAATAAAGAGTTACATTCTGGTCACTAGCAGAGATTTGACACTGTCTTTAAGGAAATCAGCTTGAATGATTACTTCATGTTTATGATGGGGATTGTTGATTGTTTTAAAGAGAATCAGCTTGAGTGATTGCTTTTGAATGATTGCTTCATGTTTATGATAGAGCTTGATGATTGTTTTAAAGAGAATCAGCTTGAATGATTGCTTCATGTAAAAGATGGAATTTGATGATTGTTTTAAAGAGAATCAGCTTGAGTGATTGCTCTTGAATGATTGCTTCGTGTTTATGATGGAGCTTGATGACTGGTTTTAAGAGAATCAGCTTGAATGATTGCTTCATGTTTATGATGGAGCTTGATAATTGTTTTAAAGAGAATCAGCTTGAATGATTGCTTCATGTTTATGATGGAGCGTGATGATTGCTTTAAAGAGAATCAGCTTGAAGGATTGCCTCCTGTTTAGAATGGAGCATGATGATTATTTTTTAAGACCATAAACTTGAATGATTACCTCATGTTTATCATGGAACTTGATGATTGCTTGAAAGAGAATCAGCTTAAATGATTGCTTCATGTTTGTTATGGAACTTGATGATTGCTTGAATTACCTGATGCTTATGATGAAGCTAGATGATTATGATTGCTTACAAGATAATCCACTTGTTTGATTGCCTTTGGGTGAAGTAATGATATGAACTCTGAACATTCAAAATGTACTGTGAATGTATGCAGCCTCAAAGGCTGTTTCTTCCTTGACAGACAACACTTGAGTTGAGTTAAGAACTGACATCACAGCACTGGGGACAGTCATGAAAAAGTTCCAGTATGCAGTGGTACTAGCAGCAGTCTGTTAGTTTGTCTGTCTTGCCTTGCCAGGTAATTTCCTGCTACTGTTTTAGACTGGGGTCACATGGAACCACAGATTAATGATCAAAGTCCACCTTGATGGGATTTAGTGAACGAAGCCCATCCTGAAGGGTTTTAGTGAACAAAGCCCATCTTGAAGAGATGCATCTGGGCCTACATGCAAGCATGTTAGCCACTTCACTAACGTGGATCGTTGTTTGCATATACTTTTTAGTAATTATATATAGAATTTATTATATTCACAGAGGATGTCTCATTTTGAGAAACGCAGTATTTTGTTTGTTCGTTGGCAGTTTTTAAAGTGTGTACATAATGTTGAATAAGAAATATTTTTAAGATGTGTGTTTATATCGCAATTTTTACATGAGTTAAATATGTGATTGTTACTTAATACGGATTTGATATGTTTATATGGATATCATAATGTTTATATGAATATCATAATGTTTATATGATTATCATATGTTTACTTCATAGACAAGACTAGTAGCTTCAGAATGTATGTGGCCTTTCAAAATTTCATACAGATTGGTTTGCCAAAAATTAAAATATAATGTCTGCTGAATGGACATTTTCGAATGCAACGTAATTTTTTATTTTATTTCACAATTTCTAAATTTGGCTGCGCTTTATTCATGTCCTTGTGTTCTGATGATTATTTGCATATGTAGATTTTGGCAGGTCAGTGTAACTTACATTTGTGATACACATCACAGCTATGTTATGGAAGTTTTGTTGTTGAATTAAAACATTGTTAACAGAATTTTGGTTTCATTCATTTATTATTTAATTCTCTCAGTTCTTGTCATCATTGGGGTGAACGGAAATGAAAGAGCTGACAGATTGTCTGCAGTAGTTAGTCGAGGAAGAATTATAAACGGCATACATAATGAATGTACTGCATTCTAAAGACACTGAGACAAAGAAGTCATAGATGAACCACCAGCTGGAAATGGATATTAAACCAAGACAAGCATGTGGAAACCATTTGTAGGGAAGAAGACATGCCAACCAAATCCTACTGGGTACGTTGAGCATGAAGACACTGAGATGGCTGCTGCATCTGAGGATTGAGCATGAATGGGTCAGACCAATGTGCTAGAATGTCGATATAGACAACAAGTTATCATCATCTTCATCACTCTATGACATACTCTGTCCTGAGCATTGGTTTTCTCTTTCTGGCTTTTATATTGTACTTGGGCACAGGCCCTGGCTGAAGTCACGCCAAAATGTTCCATCTGTTGCCATCTCCTGCAGCGTCCTCAATATATCTTTATTGCTGTTTCTCGTGTGAGGGGAGCCATGGTAAGACGCCAGACGCTTGCCTGTCAACCTGTAAGTCTAACTTTCAAATCCTCACTGAGGCAGCTTGTTTCTTTAGAATTGACGCTGGCTCGTGGATCGACCCAGCCTAATGGAGTACTAGGTAAATGTCCTGTAAAGTCAAGGTGACTGTAGTAATATCGACCGCATCACACCTGGGGTGCCCACTGGTCTGTACAAACATAGCTCCACTGCCTTCTAACAAATATGTTGTCAATGGCAACTAACATATACTTTGTTATCTTAGCACCTTATGTGGATTTCTAATTTCTCAACAAACCGACAATGACAGAAAATATTATCTTCACAGGCTCTGTAATACCCAGAATAAATAAATCAAGAATTGACATCTTGCACTCAGGACATTCCCACACATGCTCCGTCCCCTTGTTCAGTAGCTAACAAAGAGTTGACATGCTAATAGTACCAGCTGTAAGCTGATTAAAAGTCTGCCTTTGTTTCGACATCAGTGTTGATTATCTTCCAGAACCTCTAATCATCCCCGTTGAATTAGTCTTTCAGTGTATGGATTCTCTGGCTGTTCTGTTGCACAGTCCATAGAACAATAGTTCTCAACCTTCCTAATGTTGTGACCCTTTCTTACAGTTGCTTATGTTGTGGCTACCCTTTCATACAGTTCCTCATGTTGTGGCTACCCTTTCATACAGTTCCTCATGTTGTGGCGACCCTTTCATACAGTTCCTCATGTTGTGCCGACCTCCAAACATACAATATATTTCCGATGGTCTTTGACAACCCCTGTGAAAGGGTCCTTTGACCCCAAAAAGAGTCACGACCCACAGGTTGAGAACCGCTGGCATTGAACCTTCACCATGTCCACTTTATGAATAGCTTACTGGAGAGAGGAGAGGTAGCAGTTAATCCTTCAGCCTGCTTGTTACCTCTCACACCTGAATATCCTGGACAGAGAATCCAGGATATGCTCCTGATATAAATAATGTTCCTGATATAAACAATGCTCCTGATATAAACAATGTTCCTGATATTTATAATGCTCCTGATATAAATAATGCTCCTGATATAAATAATGCTCCTGATATAAATAATGTTCCTGATATAAATAATGCTCCTGATATAAATAATGTTCCTGATAAAAATAATGTTCCTGATATAAATAATGTTCCTGATATAAATAATGCTCCTGATATAAATAATGCTCCTGATATAAATAATGGTCCTGATATAAATAATGTTCCTGATATAAATAATGCCCCTGATATAAATAATGCTCCTGATATAAATAATGCTCCTGATATAAATAATGCTCCTGATATAAATAATGCATCTGATATAAATAATGCTCCTGATATAAATAATGCCCAGGAGACACAAAAAACGTATTCTACAATATTTCAAATCTTAAAAGTGTGGGCTTTTTTTGCTCATTTCTGAACAACACAACTCCATGGTTGAATAACTTACTGCTATCCATGGAATTTTATGAGAAAACGATTATAGGTGGTGAATAATTAACTTATGACTGACAAATATAAAAGTGTATCAAAGCCAGATTCTCCAAGAATAACCTTGCGAGAGACATTGATGAGAGGTACCATGCTGGTTTGTTCACATAATATCAAAATAAAAATAAATGTAGAGCCTTGTATGAATTATAAGGTCACAACAGGAGACTAAGTAAATGAATAATGTTATGTAATATGTTATTAGTATTAGATATCCAACTTTTACATTTTTATAACTTTTTATAACACTATCAGACAGTCGGGTGAAACATGAACAATTGAAAATCAAAAATTCCAATTCAAAACTATCTATGTTTAGCTTATCACTTACTCAGCTCACTTTCTTTCCTCCCTCCTCCCTCCCCCACTCTTTCTCCATAGAGTCACTGCAATCAATACCTACAATCTTGCCATTCCAAACAGCTGCTACACAAGCAATTGTAAAGTTCATAAGGAGCTCAGGTAAAATGTATTTAGACAATTGGGAGTAATGGCAACAGGTGGGACAGAATCACACAATGCATTGATAAACAGAGAAATGGTTTTAAATAACTTAAAGGATAGAAAGAATTTCAATAATCAAGGCAGGCTGGAATTTCAGTAACAACTTGTCAGAATAAAAAATTTTAGAATAACTATTTTAGCAGTAGTTACAGTAATAGCCTTTTGTAAGTTAAAATAACTATCTGGGTCGTTACAGTAAAAACGTTTTGTGAACTCTTGTTCTTCATCATTCCGAGGCTTCTGCTAGTTATCTCTGGTTTTGTTAAAGAAAAGGTTAAAATAACTATCTGGCCAGAAAGTACAGAAAAAACTGCGGCAGTTTAAGTGGCAACTGTTTGTCGTGTGTGAAGAAATTGTAACTATCTGAATGAAGATTGGTATCACAAGAAGAAAACTGTTTAAAAGATATTTAGACATGATAATTTAATCATTCTTTTTGTGTCATGCAATACTCATATTCTGGAACAAGACTAATGTACATATAAAGATTTAAAACCGAAAGAAAAGTAAAAGAGAGAGCTTCATAATATTACAAACACAAACGAAACATGCTCTACGAGCATACAACGAACAGCACTACTGCCCTAGAGCAAGAGGCAGACCGAGAGTACAATGGATAGACAATATATCAGAGATCCTGAGGCAACACGGACTAACAACAACACGTGCAACACACCTGGCCCAGGATAGAAAACTGCGACTCCCCACTACGCTGTGAGGCAATTGTGGACAAGACAAGACAAGACAACGAAACATGAACGTTGCGGTTAGAGACTAAAGTACAGAAATGGGCAATGGGTGACTAACAGGAACTTTGCCCTGCAGTTTACAGCTGGTGAATGTGAAGAGAAAGAAGAAGAAGATACATCATTTAACATCTAAAGAAGTCAATTAAGATATTCGTAACGGCTACGCTACACCAGCCGGGGTAACATGCAATACTGTCCGGCTGAGAATGCATTGTCAATGCGATTTATACAAAGGGAAAAAGTAAAAGTGCTAATAAACATCGATAATATGACATCACCATTATCAAGCGTCTTGCCAATTGATGTTGTTGATCACGCTTATCCACATCTTGCGATCTCCAACAGGATGTATCGGTTCGGTTGTGAACATCCTAACATGCAGTGACAGAGGGCTGCCAAGAGGCTTCTCTTCTCATCTTTACACAGTTTCTATTTTCATCAGTCTTTCCAGATGTAACATATTCCAGTTTTTATTTTCTATTAGAATGCTATTCTCTATCTGTGTGGGTATGCCCTGGACCATATTGGGGGGGGGGGGGGCATACCCACTTCCCCTAACAAGCACTTCGTAAAAATAAACTACTTAGGGGTGTTTTCTTCAAAGTCGGAGTGTTTTTGTTTGATAGGCCAGGAACCAACAGTCTGCATACAAGCAAGTCAGAAATGTAAAACGGATGTATGCACGCACAAATTCTAGAGCAAGACTAGTTCAGAAGTGGACTGCCGCTGTCTAATCCTTCATACCTCTCTCTGTCTGTCTGTCTGTCTGTCTGTCTGTCTGTCTGTCTGTCTGTCTGTCTGTCTGTCTGTCTGTCTGTCTCTCTCTCTCTCTCATCTCTATTCGGCACATCTCTCTCTCACTCTCGTAAGGTTTCTTGGACGTCCCCTATCCCTCATATTTCTTTTTTTTTGATTTCGTGATTTGAGTGTCTGTCCAGTATTCCCGAGGCACATGTTGCAATTTTTTGCCTTTCTCAACAAAGTTTTCGCCGATACTTGTTCAGGTTTCTTGGACGTCCCCCTATCTACAAGCCTCATTTATGTTCGTTCTATATCTTTTTACATTATTACTGTCATGTGTTAAAATTAAAGCGAGTAGTCTTTAACTTTTCTTCCCGAAATAGAAATAATGAGCCCATTATGTTGTCTCACTCTCTTAGTATTGACTCTAGAGGACAAAAGGGGCTGGGTTGACAGTGTGAGAACCGCCGCCAGAGATTTATCACTAGCATGGCGATAGCCCTTGCAGCAGAGACAGAAGCCTTCTTTATTTCTTCGCGACAAACAGTTTGCCACCACTAAGGATAACATGCTTTTATTCGACATCGAATCTACAAGCATGGGGTTTATTATTCCTGTTAGTATTTAGTATTGTTATTATTAACAATAACACATTTAAGAACAGAAGAATATATAGGCATATATAGATTGTATTAGTAAAAGCCATAATAATTAATGGTACTTGAATTTTATACTACCACATCTTGTCGGCTTCGAGATTTGGTAGGGAAATCCACAGAACGTTCAATTGTATAGGGAAGTTACGGTTAGGCTTATTAGTAGCTGATATTTATTTAACACTAACTATAACCCGCCATAACATGGTACTGTCCAGGGAAACCCCTAGGGATCCCTAGGACCTCTCTATGAAATCTCAAAGCCGACAAAATGTGGTCGTATAAAATTAAAGTACCTAATTAATTAAAAAATCAAATAGTAACATCTCAGATGACTTATAGTATTTCTGCCCTCCCCTGATCCATCCTTCATGTTTAAGTTGACGACTGTCCTGAATGCTAAAGTATTTACCAGAAAACAGTCTTTCTGAGAACAGCCTTATTCTGTACCAGTTGTTCAAACAGTCCCCACAACTTTCTTTAATGTTCACTAGAACCAACAGGAAAAGCATGATTATTGAGACACTTAAGCAATATTTTTCTTCTGTCACTATTGTTCATTATGGCCCCCCCAAAAATGTACCAGGCAAACTTAACACTATTTCCACAGCTCTGAGAACAGTGTCAGATCTAATTCATTCTTCTCAAATTCAGTCCACACTTAGACTCATCTGCCCATCATACAAACAGTTGGTTCTTTCCAGTCTCTTTTTATCTGTGAAACGATTTGTTTAGCCCATTGCTATTAATGGAATATTCTTGCTTCATCATCTGAACTAGAAAGATATTAGCTTTTACAAGATTTATTTGGAAAAGTGTTAACTCTTTGAGTCCAAGGAGGTTTAGCATCACAGGCCCAAGGGGTAGTCAAGAGAGACATAAAATCGGCGCATCATGCGTTCACTGGGCCTCTAGGTAGGAATCTATAACGTATGATGCGTTCCGTGGGACTCAAAGAGTTGACACACTTTAGCATCATGGGTTCTCTTGTTTTCTGACACCAGCCTCAGTCTGTAACATTGTGCACCTTTGGTGGCCAGCATTTTTTTGGATTTGTAGGCTTGAGGCTACTTTTCATTTTACAGATCACTGATGGTCTTCTACTTTATAGACAGACTATAGACAGACTGTGGAGACTGGATACCAGTGTTGCCACTTTTCTTTGACAAAAAACATCAAAAACAGAGTAAAAAAATATCTAAAAACATATAAATTTGCGTGGAAAACATCTAGAAAAAACATCAAAAATGGCCACACTGCTGGATACATATTGTAGAAATGGGACACTGAATATGCATGAGCTATGAAAGCACACAGGGCTGGAGAATTGGCTAGAGACAGAGATTTCCAGACATGCTATGAAGAGAGTGACATTCTGTAAAGGACATGATGATTCTTTGATTGATCGATAGACAAACTATTAAAGAAGAGTGACAAAATGAGGGAAAATGCAACTATGGGCTATGTCTCATGGCTTGCTCGTTGACTAGAAAACCATGTTTGACATGTTGGGCATGTCTTGTGTACACTACCTGATGCTGCCATGTTATTACCGTTGAACAGAAAAACAGTTCTTGTTGCTGGCATTTGTCCGTCTATCCCGGTGATGCTGTTCCATTGTGCTACAGTGAGAGGCACAGGAATCACAACCCATGGTGATACCAGTTAAGGCCAGGAATGAAGTTCCTTTCTTTCCATAGCACAAAATGTCGACAGTATTGTAGAGACCATTTGTTGCCCTCCAGCATGATCCCTTGCTCAGCCTGCTTTGTTAACTCCAAATATTGAATTAAGAATTGACATCACAGCACTCGGGACACTCCCTCAAGTGCTCAGTCCCCATCTTCATCAGCAAGGGAAGAGTTCCAATTCCAAGGATACCAATAACCGTCTGATTGTATCTCTGTCTCATCCTTCCCCTGAGAGTTGAGCGTCTGCCAGATCCCCTAGTAACTCCTCCCAGTGCCATTCTTTTTAGACCGTAATGATCTGTCCGCGCCTTGCACTGTTCACTTGCTTCCAAAGGGCCCTCACAATATCTAATTTATCATAAATTAATTCACCACCAAGTAGTGCAGAGCCAGCCAGTTTGTCAGCCTGCTCTTTTCCGAACACACTCTCTGACATAGTATGACCTGGAGAAAATATCCAAAGTATGCTAACATGTTAACTCCAAAAAAAGCTGATATCCATAAATTAGGAACAGCATGCTGCAGAAGCTGCCAGATCAGATGAACACTGCTCTGTTCCTCACACAATTTACTGAATATTATTATGCATGAAATAATAATAATAATAAATTGAAAAAAAAGACACATTACTCATCAGTGCTTTCTTTGACAGCATACAGATTGTTAGGCCGGCGATCTCTTGGAGCTAAAAGACTGGTAGTTTCGAGCAAGGTGCTGCTTCCAGCAATCCCGACACAGAACTGTGATGTGGTTCTTACCTTCCCAGCGAACACGGAGGATGCCACACTCATGTGGTTGTTGGCACGGCTCAAGTCTAGGGCGCCGGCACTCACAGTACATGTCAGACATCACAGCCATACAGGAATATATGGATTTTACCTAACAGCTGTCTACGAAAAGTAAGTATGCATCATAATCCTGTTATTTATTAGTCACAAAAGGCTCACATATGACATCACATATGGATGTCGGCTTTCCTCCGAATAACGGCCACAAACTATGGCAGCCAAAAACACACCCTGACAGGGCCTCAGTCGCATGTAAATTGTGGACTTCCAGTGACTTAAACTGCAGACAGGCGATTATACTGCCACCGCTGAGAGTATCTCCCGCGTTGTGCGTAGCAGGGGCTATAGATGGCTGGGACTCACTAGTAACAGTTTCCGCATCTCCTGCAGGTTTGCTCGTGAGACCCAGCAATCTAGTTTAGCTCCACGTCGCGCGGAGCGGCGCGGGAGATACTCTCGGCGGTGGTGATATAGCTGCCGGAAGTCTGCAATTTACATTTGACTGAGACCCTGTTTTTAGCCGCCATATTATGTGGCCGTTATACGGAGGATAGCCTGGATGTCAATTATGGACTCTCACTCGATCTTTGAAGAAACAAAATTGAAGCTTTTGAACTCAGATGCTACAGAAGATCCTTAGAATGCCAAGAAGAAGAAAAACACAGACATCCTACATGATCTGAATATCAAGGAGAATTGGCTCATAAACAGCAGCTTGTCCTGAAAGCTGAGGTATTTAGGCCATGGTAGGCGTCCTGGTGGCCTGGAGAAAACAGTGAGGAGACTGCACTTTCTGGAAAATGAGGCAGAGGTTGACCTCCACAAAGGTGGATATAAGACATTGAAGATCCATTGGCTATGAAAAAGCACATAGGGCTAAAGAAATTGGCTACAGACAGAGAGGCTTTCAGGTGTGCGGTGAATAAAGCAACATTCTGTAAAGAACCTGCTGGTGCTAATGATATGGCTCAATCTATTTCTGTCTGCCGAAGTGTCACGTACAGATGTCCAGAGTAACTAATCCCAACTGAATAAAGGATGGATTTTGGTTTGGTAAAGAAACACTTTCATTTCGGCTGGATATCTCTCTAAGTCTTCCAGTCTTCACCCAAATAAAAAACAAACAAAAGAAACTGTTTAAAGGGAAAGGACTGATTTCGTCGCTGTAGGTTTTATTCTGAATGGTTTGGTCTCCTTCCTCAGAGAATCTGCTAATGCACCAAGAAGCTTCGAGACATATATTACAGTTACACTTTTATGCTTTGAGGCAACAGATATTATTAATTATTTATTCCACTATTATTTCCAGCCTTCTACAAGGAGCAGAAGAACTAGGCATTTTGAAGCCGCTGAAGTCGGAGTATGGAGGAGGGATGAAAGAGTTTGTGTATGAAGATCAGGACTGTTTTGCTGGAGTTGAAGATGAGGCTTCGTTTCTTACAAGCCAGGAGAGGCAGAGCATTGTGCTTCATTTCCTCCATGAGCTTCGTGCGACTGGAGATGATTCACTGGAAGGAATCTCATTCATTGAAGGGCAACCAATAGGTAAAGTTATTTTTGTTTTCATTTATTGCAGTAATTATTTATTGATTTAATAAAATAAATAATATTTGGTAATTGGTAAGTTTGTAAATTGTTTTAGTATCTGTGATAACATAATGTACACTTGCTCACTTAACAGTGGTTTGGATTCAGTTTCAGCATTGCCAGATTTTTTTTCTGACTGGCACGGCTGTGCAGGTTTTGGTAAAGGACCACTTTCATAGCACATGGATATCACAAAAAATGGTCCAGTCTCCTTTTAAAGATCACATAAGTGTAATCCTCGCACACTGCATGAACTCTGTAGCACAGTGGAATAGTGTACATCCATGTGTACAAGAATGATAACTTGCTAATAATTTTTATGTATAGATTTGTTTTCTCAGTTTGATATGTAGCATGGCCAGCAGTCTGTTCAGTCTGCTCGTGTTTAGATGTATGCCCAGGGATGTTCTACATGAACAACATGCACATGTACCCACAGCATTTTGCCCCCTAGTCTGACAAGGTGAGGTGTCTATTCTGCTATCTCAGGATCAAGGAGACCTATGCCATTCTTTTCTTATCCGTATTAATGGACATTCTGTGCGTTGAACTAGGTATGTGTGAGCCAGCGAAGAACATTTTTATCTATGAACCATTCCATTTCTGTGCCCCCGTTATAACACAGAAAAATGTTTAACAGGATATGATTTGTTGTACCTTGCTAAGAGGTGGAATGTTTGTATTTTTAATATTGTCAATGGAGCCTCGAACGAAATATAATCTACATGTATTTACTATTTTCATTGCCACTGCTAAAGAAATGTAATCTACGTATATTCAATATTTTCAGTGCCATTGCTAAAGAAATGTAATCTACGAATATTCACTATTTTCATTGCCACTGCTAAAGAAATGTAATCTACATGTATTCACTATTTTCATTGCCACTGCTAAAGAAATGTAATCTACATGTATTCACTATTTTCATTGCCACTGCTAAAGAAATGTAATCTACGTATATTCACTATTTTCAGTGCCATTGCTAAAGAAATGTAATCTACGAATATTCACTATTTTCACTGCCGCTGCTAAAGAAATGTAATCTACGAATATTCACTATTTTAAACGCTGCTAAAGAAATGTAATCTACGAATATTCACTATTTTCACTGCCGCTGCTAAAGAAATATAATCTACATGTATTCACTATTTTCAGTGCCACTGCTAAAGAAATGTAATCTACATGTATTCACTATTTTCAGTGCCACTGCTAAAGAAATGTAATCTACATGTATTCACTATTTTCAGTGCCATTGCTAAAGAAATGTAATCTATGAATATTCACTATTTTCACTGCCGCTGCTAAAGAAATGTAATCTACATGTATTCACTATTTTCAGTGCCACTGCTAAAGAAATGTAATCTACGAATATTCACTATTTTCACTGCCGCTGCTAAAGAAATGTAATCTACGAATATTCACTATTTTCACTGCCGCTGCTAAAGAAATGTAATCTATGAATATTCAATATTTTCAGTGCCATTGCTAAAGAAATGTAATCTACGTATATTCACTATTTTCAGTGCCATTGCTAAAGAAATGTAATCTACGAATATTCACTATTTTCACTGCGGCTGCTAAAGAAATGTAATCTACATGTATTCACTATTTTCACTGCCGCTGCTAAAGAAATATAATCTACATGTATTCACTATTTTCAGTGCCACTGCTAAAGAAATATAATCTACATGTATTCACTATTTTCACTGCCGCTGCTAAAGAAATGTAATCTAGGAATATTCACTATTTTCACTGCCGCTGCTAAAGAAATGTAATCTACGAATATTCACTATTTTCACTGCCGCTGCTAAAGATATGTAATCTACGAATATTCAATATTTTCAGTGCCATTGCTAAAGAAATTTAATCTACGTATATTCACTATTTTCAGTGCCATTGCTAAAGAAATGTAATCTACGAATATTCACTATTTTCACTGCCGCTGCTAAAGAAATGTAATCTACGAATATTCACTATTTTCAGTGCCATTGCTAAAGAAATGTAATCTACGAATATTAACACTGTTTCAGTGCCATTGCTAAAGAAATGTAATCTAGAGATATTCACTATTTTTCATGTGCCACTGCTAAAGAGACTGTAATCTACATATATTCACTATTTTCATTGTGCTAAAGAAGATGTACTAACGTGTATTCACTATTTTCCTTAGATAAGTAATCACGAATATTCACTATTTTCACTGCCGCTGCTAAAGAAATGTAATCTACGAATATTCACTATTTTCACTGCCGCTGCTAAAGAAATGTAATCTACAAATATTCACTATTTTCACTGCCGCTGCTAAAGAAATGTAATCTACGAATATTCACTATTTTCACTGCCGCTGCTAAAGAAATGTAATCTACGAATATTCACTATTTTCACTGCCGCTGCTAAAGAAATGTAATCTACGTATATTCACTATTTTCAGTGCCATTGCTAAAGAAATGTAATCTACGTATATTCACTATTTTCAGTGCCACTGCTAAAGAAAATTTATCTACGTATATTCACTATTTTCAGTGCCACTGCTAAAGAAAATTTATCTACGTATATTCACTATTTTCAGTGCCACTGCTAAAGAAAAGTAATCTACGTATATTCAATATTTTCAGTGCCATGCTAAACAATGTATCTAAGATATTCAATATTTTCATACTGTACACAAGTCACACTGTGGGAGAGACTGGAGCCTTAGTTCTGTACGTGTTCAAACTGTGGGATGTTCCAAGACTGGAGTAAGTGCCACTGCTTACGGAATGTAATCTCTGTATGTTTATTGTTTTTAGTCTCACTGCTAAAGAAATGTAATCTACATTTGTTAAAAAAATATGTTCTGTGCCACTGCTAAAGAAATGTAATCTCTGTATGTTTACTATTTTTCAGTGCACTACTAAAGAAATGTAATCTACATATTTTACAGTTTTCAGTGCCCCTGCTAAAGACATGTAATCTACAGATGTTTACTACTGTCAGTGCCACTACAACTGAAATGTAATCTACCTGAATTTATTATTTTCAGTGCAACTACTAAGGAAATGTAAAAATCTGTTTCTTTACTATTTTCAGTGCCGCTGTTGAAGAAACATAATTTACATATATTTACTCATTTCAGTGCCGCTGCTAATAACAAAGAAGGTTGTATCTCAAGTCTTTCCTTGCACAACCATGAAGATCTCAAACATTTGCACCAGACTTGGGTTCGGGCAGTGTTTTCTCCACAACCTTTAGGTTTGTTACCTATATTAACGGTATCTGGTTTTATTTTTCAGAATATCTATTTTGTTAATTTCCCTGATGATATACTGAAAATATCTTACCTATGTACGCAAGTCACACTGTGGAAGAGACTGGAGCCTTACATATGTACAGTCACACTGTGGAAGAGACTGGAGCCTTACATATGTACACAAGTCACACTGTGGAAGAGACTGGAGCTTTACATATGTACACAAGTAACACTGTGGAAGAGACTGGAGCCTTACATATGTACACAAGTCACACTGTGGAAGAGACTGGAGCTTTACATATGTACACAAGTCACACTGTAGAAGAGACTGAAGCCTTACATATGTACACAAGTCACACTGTGGAAGAGACTGGAGCCTTACATATGTACACAAGTCACACTGTGGAAGAGACTGGAGCCTTACATATGTACACAAGTCACACTGTGGAAGAGACTGGAGCCTTACATATGTACACAAGTCACACTGTGGAAGAGACTGGAGTCTTACATATGTACACAAGTCACACTGTGGAAGAGACTGGAGCCTTAGATATGTACACAAGTCACACTGTGGAAGAGGACTGAAGCCTTACATATGTACACAAGTCACACTGTGGAAGAGACTGGAGTCTTACATATGTACACAAGTCACACTGTGGGAGAGACTGGAGCCTCAGATATGTACACAAGTCACACTGTGGAAGAGGAGGGGGAGAAGGTGGAATTGTATACATCAGGGATTTTCAACTTTACTCAGGAGCTGGTTGGGGAAAAGGGGGGGGGGGGGGGGGGGGGAAATTGTATACATCAGGGTTGTTTAACAAAGTTTACTCAAGAGCCAGAAAAATGGTGGTGGGGGGGGGGGGGATCATTTATATCACGACTGTTCAGCTAAGTTTACTCAATTGCCAAATTGCTGAAAATAGGGATCATCGTGGTCCAGAAGCCTGAGCCCCTGCATAGAAAGATCTTTAATAGTATAATTTGGCAATGATCTGCAGGCCACTTACTAAGCCTCTGGGGGCTGTATTTGGCCCACCGGCCACCAGTTGAATAGCTCTAGTGCGTATATGATCTGTAGTGCTTTACATTTCAGAAACATGAACTAGCAACAGAACTGATGAGTAGAATGAAAGATGTGGAACAATTTTTGGTAGCTTTAAGACCAGTGAAAAGGCCTAGCCACTTGATGATAATCATTGTTAGTGAACCAGCTGCACACACCTGTCTTGATTGTAACAGACTCACAGAGCATGTTTAGAAAAGTAAAGACAAATATGCTCATGCAGAGTAGCAAGCATCACTTTACAGGTCCCGGGTAGTTACTGTCCTTTGGATATTGCAGGTGTGTTGTGAAATGAACAGGCAAACAGACTAGCTGGTTCTGCACCACTTGGTGGTAAACTGATGCATGACAAGCAGAATCTTCTGAGGGTCCTTTGGGAGCAAGGGAACAGTGTGTAGTTACAAACAGATCATTGCAGTCCGAAGAGAATCATGCAATGGAGAATGACGAGGGGATTTGGCTGACACTCAACACTCAGGGAAAAGGCAGGATGGACATACAGTCAGACTTCAGCTGGTACCATCAGAATGGTCACTCTGTACTGGTTGCTGAAGATGGTGATGGTGCACTTGTGGGAATTTTCCTAGTGCTGTGATGTCATTTAACTCAAGTCACTCATCTTAGCTCATTATTGTTAAAATGCAGGAGAGCTTTCATGAAGTAAAGTTAATAATGATATTTTGAACTTATGTGCACAATTTTAGTATACACATAAACAGCATTGTACAACCTCTGTGCTCAATATAATTATTCATAAATGGTCTTAAATATCTTCTTGTTATCCAGATGATGTTTGCCGTTACTTTGGTGTGAAAATTGCGCTGTATTTCGCTTACTTGGGTCATTACACAGCGTGGCTAATCCTGCCTGCTCTCTTGGGACTGGGCATTTTCCTCCTTCAAGAACATAGCCAGGTATTTGCTCAAGATATAACGTCTAGTGTGATGTTTTGTTGTTGCATGTTTCTCTGGTCTAGTATTTAGTTGTCAGATGTATGTCTAGACTCGTATTTGGTTGTGCGGTGTATGTCTAGTCTATATTTAATGTGTAAGATGTATGTCGAGTCTGGTATTTGATGTGTGAGATGTATGTTGAGTCTGGTATTTGTTGTGCAGTGTATGTTGAATCTGGTGTTTAGTTGTATAGTGTATGTCTAGTGTGGTATTTAGTTGTGCGATATATGTCTAGTCTGGTATTTAGTTGTGCAATGTATGTCTAGTCTAGTATTTAGTTCTGAGAATCATGTCTAGTTGGGTATTTAGTTCTGATGTGTATGTCTAGTTTGGTATTTTGTTGTCTGATATTATTTGTACAATGTGTGTTTAGTCTGGTCTAGTCTGGTATTAAGTTGTGTGATGTATGTCTTGTCTGATATTATTTGTACGATGTGTGTCTAGTCTGGTGTTTAATTGCGCATTGTATGTCTAGTCTGGTATTCAGTTGTGCAATGTATGTCTAGTCTGGTGTTTAATTGCGCATTGTATGTCTAGTCTGGTATTCAGTTGTGCAATGTATGTCTAGTCTGGTATTTAGTTGTGTAATGTATGTCTTTTATGGTATTTGGTTGTAGGATGTGTGTAATGTCTGGTATTTAGTGTTGGGATATGTCTTGCTATTGTATTTAGTTGTGGGATTTATGTCCAGTCTAGTATTTCATCATCATGTAGCAGGTCCGTTGCAGAACGTCGCTCTCATCACAGTCTGCCTGAAAGAAACTCGGTCTCTCGACCGGTTCTCCCACCTCATGCATTTTCACATTCAAGGAGTCACCTATATCTTGTGCCCATCTTCATGTCGGTCGGCCCCTGCCCCTCCTTCCTGGTACCATGCCTTCTGCTATAACTTTTTCCAATCCGTCGTGACGCTTGATATGACTAAAATATTTCAGCTTTCGAGAAAGGATGCTGTTTATTAGCCAATCTTTCTTGATGTTCAGATCTTTTAAGATGTCAATATTTCTTATCTTCTTTGTCTAGTATTTAGTTGTGCGATTTATGCCTGGTCTAGTATTTAGTTATGCTGTGTATGTCTAGCCTGGTATTTAGTTGTGCGATTTATGTCCAGTCTGGTATTTAGTTGTGCAGTGTATGTCTAGCCTGGTATTTAGTTGTACAGTGTATGTTTAATCTGATATTTGGTTGTAAACCATATATATACTTAGTATGATATAAGATATGGCTGAGGTACTACCGTATAACAGTAGTTGGTGCTGCTTGTTCACTGCAGCATGTATTTCGTGTGCTGATACACCTCCATGCCATGCAACAAGACTGTCAAGAATCTTCTCTCGTTGTCTTCCTCTATCCCTTCTTCCACAGATCTTTAAAGTGGTCACCACATGTTCCATTTTCCCTCTTCTCATAACATAGCCGAAAAATGATGACTGTCTCCTTCTGATGTCTGTGATTAGTTGTCTTCGGGCTCCCGCAACTTTCAGAACCTTTTGGTTGCTTTTTTTTGGCTGCCCTGGGTATTTTAAGCATTGTTCTGTAGAACAACATCTCTGAGGCCTCAAGAAATTGTTTGGCCTGCCTACCGATTGTCCAGGACTCACACTGCATTGCCTTTAAATATAAGTGCTTACTTGACGAGGCCAACAGTGACTATTGTACAGACCACATTTTCCACTTTAAAATTTCAGCCAAAATATAATCACAACCTCACTTATCCGCTGCACCTTCACGAATACAGACGGATGATCAGTCGCACTTCGAGATAAATACAAAGACAATCTTTAGCACGCTGAGGTTGGCATGTTATGCAATTTGATACACTTTGAGTGTGAAACAAGGAAAAAAAAACTCTTTTCATCAGTGGCAAGGAAAGACAATTTAAATTTTAACTTTTAAGTATCTTCATTCCTTCTTTAATAATGTCACAATTTATAGCCGACTTTTCTTGATTTTCGCCGCGGCACCCCTGGCATACGCACCCAGTTTGAGAACCTCTGCTGTAATGCCTCGGTCGAGTCAGCAGGCAAAAACCTTGCCAGCTACTGTAAAACGCAACCGGGTCGCAGTTTCCCCCACTACGACAGACTTAGGCAACAGCAATTATTGTGTTAATGAGAGAGTTATTTCAGTCCATCGCAGCGTATGCAGAAACGGGTGTAGGGTAACCACTATTCGTATTTGGCCCGACCGCAACAATTCGGCCGAATCCTGAATAGTTATTACGTCCACTATTCGGCCCCGAAGCGAATATTCGGTACAGCCCTAGTAAGAAGTAAGGTGTTTGTGAGAATCTGCAGCCATGACTAGACTGCTAGAGAAGCAGTGAAAAGTGGAGGGGCCTGGCAAAAGCACTGTGCAGTGAGCTAAAGAAGGATAATAAACCAACACAGAACTGGTGTTATCAGTTGCTTCACGCTGCAGGATTTACTGAGAAGATGATTGGATGTGCAATAGGATTTTTTGGTTTAGTTTAATTAAGTCAAAGGATCGACATCATGGCACACAGGTGTAACCCATAAGTGCTCCGTTCTACTTTTAACTCAAGCCTGAGTCTGAAGAATCCCACCACAGTGCACGAATTCCGTTGCACTGGCGAGGATCCTGAAATACTTTAGGTCGATTTTTAACTCAAAATTTTGCCTGGGCAGCGCCATTAGGCTATTCTTTTGGATTTCCAACTGCCAAGGGATTTTTTTTTACATGCTCAACAATACTCACGGGCATCTGATCTTACTACCCAGAAACAAGGGGAAATTACTAGAAGTCCTCGTGAAAAAATCCCAATCTTCACCGGGGCTTGAACACGCGACCTCTAGCACTCGAGGCGGACGCCATACCTCAAGACCACTCAGCTGCCTAGGATTATTTATCAACTCACCAACTCTTACGTCTAAACCACTGCAAACTGCACAATATGTGACAGAAGTATTTGGTATCTAAGACATGATGCTAATTGTGGGCCACTTTCCTTCGGTGTTCACATCTTGTAGAATAACTACTTGTTTAGACTGTACTTATTTGACTGCTCATATTGTAAGTAAAATAAAGAACTTTTTTCCACGCCTTTAAGCATATAGGGCATATAGGGCTAGACCTAAATTTTTATAGACCAATCGGCACAAGATGGGTGATGTGGTCAGCATCACGCCAGCCGCCTTTGCATTCCCAGGAATGCACCCGGTACCCACTCAACCCTGGGTCGACCTGGGAGCCAAGGTCATTTTTTTTAAAGTCTGGCTCCGCCAGGGAGCGAACCCACGACCTTCCGATCCGCGACGAGCATCTACCCGCTCCGCCACGGCGACTCCCTGCTCATATTGTGGAACTCTGTATTTCCCTAACAATTTATCTGTGATGAATGATAGTCACATATGTTTGGATTTGCTAGGGTTCACTTATTTCTGAGTTCTGAATGATTTTTCTCTCCAGTGGTGTGAGGATCTGTGTTATGTTGGGTTTGCAGTGTTTAACACTGTTTGGGCCACACTGTATTTGAAGTTTTGGAAGAGGAGTTCCACAGAATTTTGCTACCGTTGGGGCACCCTGGAGCAGAAAGATGACATGCTGAAAGACCCAAGACCTCTTTTCAATGTAAGTAATCTCAGATAATTATTTCCTTTTCTAACATTTCTCTGCCTTACTGTTTGTTCTCTTTTGCTATCAGATCGGCTCACCGCATGTCATATGTTCATTTATTGACAGTGGGTGCAAAAAATGACAAATTGGTTAGTCACAAATTTACAAACACATCGACTAACTGTAACATACGTAAAGGAGGAATAAAGATCACACAGTAACAATTTTGTCAAGTTCATAAGCGTGGATTAACTGCAGTGCTAATGAAGAATGGCTACAAGAATGGGATTTCACAGGAGCTATGAAGTTCATGCTTTGTGTACAGTCTTATCCTGGCTGCTAGCTGTTCAGCAGAGAGACTGAGCTATAAAGAATAACCCAGTGCAACAAAGTCTATCCACTGTACTTTAACTCCAGTTTCTGGAGTTTCTGACTACTGTCCTCAGCAACGCATGGCCTCCATTGGCATACATGCACTGGTGGACAGACAAGATAATTATATGTGAAATTTCACGGAGCTACTGTGACATGGTAGTGATTGCACTTGCCTCTCGAGACCATTGTCTGGATTCAATCTCTGGAATGCCTAGGTTAATGCTTTTTCCCTGCTAGCACACCTCTTTCCCTACTGGCATACCTCTTTCCGTTTGCATATCTCTTACCCTGTTTGGTTTCCAGGGCCCAGTTTTAGACGTGGAGGAATAGAGGATGTTTCACTTCCATTTACAAATGGTGTAATGGCTTGAACACTTGGCTTTATCAGATAAGGGCAACACAAAACACCCTAGGTTTGTCCTTGTGAACATCATGCATGTTAAAAGTGCCTCAGAGAATTCTTCTGCTATTTATCTCATATTGGAACATAAGCCCTTGTCCAGCTGTCCTTATTTGCCATCTCCTGCAGGTCTTCTAATGCCCTACCCAAAATATATATTGGGAGCCATGGTGGCATAGTGGCCAGACGTTAGCCCTCTTACAAGCATGTCATAAAAGGCAACTAATTAGGGGTTTTCTAAAATCAGATATGTTGGATTGAAAAGCACATATCACAGCCTAGCTGTAAACCACAACACAACTTGCCAGCTGCCCTTTAAAGGGTGAACACAAAAGAAGAAGTATGCCTCTCAGAGTGAGCCATTTTCTTAGAATATGTATGAAAATGTTTGTAAGTGTTTATAGGAAAGAAAAGCAGGAGCAAGGGAATCTGGTAATCCTAGTTTTAGCTTCATAGCAAACGGGTCACCCCATAGTTGCTCCGCTCCTGTGCCAACGAAAAATACACGTAGCTCACAGTGTCACGCCATGCACTCAACTCAGAAGCTGGGCGACGAAACTATATCCTTCCAGTCTACAAATGGAGCAAAAATGCAACGGCCACCGTCTGAGCAAGGGAATAGACAACCCCTGCCCGATTATACAAGGACCTGAAATATATGAAGGAGAGACACTTCACACCCCAGTGTCAGTTTCTGCCACGAGACTGCCTTTACCTTTAGTGATATTTCTATCTGTATTTGTATACTGATCACATAGGTGGGCACAGGATTTAAGAGGCATCTTGGGTTGGAAAGTGTGCAAGGTGGGAGAACTGACCAGAGGCCAAGTTTCTTTCAGGCGGACTGTGATGAGAGTGAAGTTCTACAAAGGCAGACTGTGATGAGAGTGAAGTTCTGCAAAGGCAGACTGTGATGAGAGTGAAGTTCTGCAAAGGCAGACTGTGATGAGAGTGAAGTTCTGCTAAGGCAGACTGGGATGAGAGTGAAGTTCTGCAAAGGCGGACTGTGATGAGAGCGAAGTTCTGCTAAGGCAGACTGTGATGAGAGTGAAGTTCTGCTAAGGCAGACTGGGATGAGAGTGACGTTCTACAAAGGACCTGCTACATGGTTGTGATGATTTATATTATTGTAAACTCTCCACGGGTTCCGGGGTTCCATTTTGGGGGAAAGAGAATAGACCCCCACTCCCCACAAGCATATTGTGAAGCGCAACTAATTGTGGATTTTCTGAAACTGGAAGTGTTGGTTTGAAAGGCACAGATATCACCGCATGGGCGTATGCCACAACGCGCCAACAACCTTTTTAAGGAAAAATGAGGAAGAAGTATTGTTGTATTTATGATTGTGATATAATAATTATGGCATGATCTTTCTTTCTCCAGGGTGATCTAGTCAAAAGTCCTATAACAGGGCAGTTAGAGTTGTATTATCCTGCTTGGAAGCGTCTGCTGTTTCGTTACTTCATCACATTTCCAGTCATTGCTGTTTGCCTTGCCTTTGTGTTTATTGTCATGCTCTTGTGCTTTGAACTTCAGGTAATGCTGTGTGATTGTTTTGTCATTTACCAGGTACTTAAGACTATTATTGTTAGAGGTAACCAGTCGATCGATGGACAATATAGAAGTAACCAGTCGATGGATGGACACTATAGAAGTAACCAGTCGATGGATGGACACTATAGAAGTAAGCAGTAGTTGAATGGACACTATAAAAGTAACCAGTAGTTGAATGGAAGCAACCAGTAAATAGGTGGACTATTAAGGAAAAAATAATTCTTGCACGCTATAAAGAGCCAGTTTTAACATACGGCTGTGAAGCTAGACAAATAATAAACACAAGCCGAACAATATCTTGAGGTGGTGGAGATATGGTTTTACAGAAAAAATCCTTAGAATTCCTTGGACAGCTAAGAAGAGCAACCCAGATGTTTTGAAAGAGGTGAATGCTTAAAGACAACTTTTCACAAATATCAGAAAGAGACAGTCATCATTTTTTGGCCATTTTACTAAAAGAGGGAAAATGGAACATGTTGTGACCACAAGAAAAATCTGTGGAAAAAGAGACAGAGGAAGACAGTGTGAAAAGATTCTTTCCAGTCATTTGTCTTGGCATGGAGAGGTGTCAAATTATGAACTGTTACATGCAGTTGCAGATCGCAGATTTTGGAGAGGCATGACCGCCCACGCAAGGCACTTGATGATGATTTAGGATACTCTGTATATTGATGGGTGGACACAACATTGTAACAAGATCTGTTCAGTTCCTTTCCTTTTTTTTTTCTCTTTCAAATTCCTATTACGTTATCAAAAGTTTATTCACAGAAACAAGAAGTTAGAAATCAGAATGGACCAACAGTTTGGTCTGTGGACAGTAAGTTAAAGAAAATTGCAGTAGATAGATGCACAGTACAGGAGATGGAGGGGGAATTATAGAAGTGACCAATAGATGGATATTATAGAAGTGACGAGTAGATGGATGAACATTATAGAAGTGACCACTAGATGGATATTATAGAAGTGACGAGTAGATGGATGGACATTATAGAAGTGACCAATAGATGGATATTATAGAGGTGACAAGTAGATGGATGGACATTATAGAAGTGACCAATAGATGGATATTATAGAGGTGACAAGTAGATGGATAGACATTATAGAAGTGACCAATAGATGGATATTATAGAGGTGACAAGTAGATGGATGGACATTATAGAAGTGACCAAAAGATGGATATTATAGAAGTGACAAGTAGATGGATGGACATTATAGAAGTGACCAATAGATGGATATTATAGAGGTGACAAGTAGATGGATGGACATTATAGAAGTGACCAAAAGATGGATATTATAGAAGTGACAAGTAGATGGATGGACATTATAGAAGTGACCAATAGATGGATATTATAGAGGTGACAAGTAGATGGATGGACATTATAGAAGTGACCAAAAGATGGATATTATAGAAGTGACGAGTAGATGGATGGACATTATAGAAGTGACCAATAGATGGATATTATAGAGGTGACGAGTAGATGGATGGACATTGTAGAAGTGACCAAAAGATGGATATTATAAAGGTGACAAGTAGGTGGATGGACATTATAGAAGTGACCAATAGAAAGATCAACATTTCTGAGTTGACTGCTAGATGGATGGATATCATAGAGGTATTCAGTATGTGGATGGATATCATAGAGGTAATTAATATGTTTATAGATATCAAAGAAGTAATTAATATATGGATGGACATTGTAGAGGCATTTAATAGATCAGTGGACATTATGGAGGTAATTAATAGAGGGATGACATTATAGAGATAAATACATAATGTAATATTGTTATAATGGTCAGTTTGTTAAACTTTAGTGGCAGGACTGTGAGATAATCATATAATTTAGTTCTTATATATACCTTATATCAATTAGTTCTCATATATACCTTATATCATTTAGTTCTTATATATACCTTGTATCATCTCTTTTATATATACCTTGTATCAATTAGTTCTTATATATACCTTGTATAATTATTTTCTTATATATACCTTATATCAATTCATTCTTATATATACCTTATATCAATTAGTTATTATGGTTACCTTGTAGCATTTAATTCTTGTGTATACCTTATAACAATTAGTTCTTATATATACCTTGAATCAATTAGTTCTTATATATACCTTGAATCAATTAGTTCTTATATATACCTTATATTAATTAGTTCTTATATATACCTTGTATCAATTAGTTCTTATATATACCTTGCATGTGTTAGTTCTTATATATACCTTGTATCTTTTAGTACTTATGTAAACCTTGTATCAGTTAGTTCTTATGTATACCTTGTATCAATTAGTTCTTATATATACCTTGTACTTTGCAGGAATGGGTGAATGAGTTGATATGCATAGATGAACTTCCGTACGTGTTTAGTTTTGTGCCAAAAGTTCTGTTAGCTATTGTTGTGTCCATATTTGATGAAATCTACAAGCAGATTGCAATCTGGTTGACTCATAAAGGTGAGTGTATGTTTGTGATGATGTTTTCTTGAAATGAATAGAAAGAAAAGGCTATATTTTGGTGAGACTGAAACCTACAGTTACTTTCCTGTGGGTATTAATTGAGAGTGATGGTTGGGGAAAGGAGGGGGGGGGGGGCAGAATGACTTGGGTTATATTTGTGATTAGGTTTATTTTATGCTAGTTGAATTGACTAGGATTAGATTAAATGACTGAAAGGGGGTGGTGTTAAATTGTTGTAGAGGCAGAATGGCTGTGGGAAAGTCAATGGCTGATGGGGAAGGTATTATGGCTGGATGGGGAGGGGAGGCAGCAATGATGGCTGGTGGAGAAGGCAGAATGGCTGTGGTAGCGGTGAGTGGATTAGGGTGGAGGAGCAGAAGTGGATAAGCTGTTAGGTAAAGTATCTGCTTTAACTTGAGAAAAGAGTACAAATCAAAAGTTTTTATGATTACAACTGAAGCAGATAGAGGATGTTTTACTTAAATTTAGATATGGTGTAATGGCTTGAACACTTTGCTTCATCAGATAAGTGTCACACACAAAAAACACCCTAGGTTTATCCTTGTGAACATTGTGCATGTTAAAAGTGCCTCAGAGAAGGATTCTGCTATTTATCTCATGCTGGAACATAAGCCCTTGTCCAGCTGTCCTTGTTTGTCATCTCCTGCAGCTCTTCTAATGCCCTACCATGTTGGTGGCGTAGTGGCCAGACGTCAGCCCGGTCTTGGCTGTTGTTTTCAGATCGGGTCAGATTTGTTTCAAAATTGACTTTGGCTCCCAGGTCAACCCAGCTCAAAATTGGTACCAGGTAATGTCATAGGAAGTAAAGGTGGCAGACGTGATGTTGACCACATCATTCACTGAGCGCCAGTTGGTCTGTTACAATTTTGAGTGTAGCGTCATATGCCTGCAGTAACACTGAGTCCTTTACTTTACTGTACATAATATTTATTGTTGCTTTTGATACATAGTTGTGAGATTCCCGGGTACAACTCACGAAGTCAGGCCCACAAAGAGAGTGACTTCCCTTGCCAATCATCCCTGGTCGTGTCGTAGGGCCTTTCCTATGTTGCGAGGGTGTCACGTCTAATGAACGTCCAGCAACACAATGAATTTTACCCGTTGTTGTCACCGGCTGGTGATATCATGTGTTCTATATTCCATGATATGACCACTTTTAACCCAAACCTCCCTACGCCACTGTCTCAGCCTATATTCCACAACTGCATGCAGCCTATGACAACAAAGCGTAAAATTTGTTGTGTTGCTGGACGCTCACTAAGCATGACACCCCCGCAGGGACAGGCCCAACGACACTGCCAGGGATAAATGGCAAGGGCAGTCACTCTCTTTGTGGGCCCGACTTTGTGAGTTGTTCTGATTCTGGGAGCCAGTTTTTGAAATTTTTCAAAGTGAAAGGAAGTAATTATAATGACCAAGACTCTGTTCAGCTTTTTCCGCATTGCTTCTCCGTATACTGCTAGGGGGGGAATCTTTCTTTCATCTTGGTTGTGTTAGTTAACTCTAGTTTGCCGTTTAGACAGGTTCAGACCTGTTTAATTTGGTGGCTGAATTTTCTATAGGATGTTATTACTTCTTATTAGCAATAGCTGTAAGCTCTGTCAGAAAGCTCTGATTGTCCATCCACTTTTGTACCCTTTCTGTACTCGTCCACTTCTGGACTTTAACTTCGTTACGTGTAGATCCTTTTTACCGTTAGCATGTTTTTATGCATTCCAGCATGGAAAGAAACACCCCTAATTAATCAACATTTACATGTTTTTAGGGGAGAGGGGAATTGGGTCCACGCCCTCTCTTTCCCCAGATTGGGCCCCAGAACAAACATGGGGTGATGGTATAAGTAAAGGACCCTTTTCATGCCAATGACACATCAGGTCTGTGGGGCTAAACTCATATTTTACAGACCATTCAACACTTGGAGGCTGATGTTCTCAGCATCAGATTGGCCACCTTTACTTTCCAGGATATTACCTAATACTGAGTTGACCTGAGAGCCAAGGTCAGTTTTAAAAGAAAAAAAATCCTACTTGATATGTATTCGAATCCAAAAGTTTCAGACCGGTAGTTGAGTTTCTAACCACTATGCAACCGTGGCTGCCACTCCTTGGCATAGTTAAACCCTGAATTGTTTGGGGTACAAAGATTTAGAGTTATCTTTTTTTATTTTTTATTTCATATCTTTCTTCAGAAAATTACAGGCTTCAAGAATCTCATGAAACAAGCCTCGTCATTAAACTAGTTCTGGTAGGTACTGTTGTGTTGCTTAAGGTAGGAAAGACAAAATTTGTTGTTTTGGGGTCAGTGGGTTACAGCTGCTTAGATAGATGGGGGAAAGAATTTGGTTTGCTGGGTGTCTGAAAGTAGTAAAATCAACAGAGGTCCTAATTATGGAAGAAATGAATGCAACATTGAATATCTGAAAGTAGTAAAATCAACAGAGGTTCTGATAATCATAGGAGACGAGAATGCAACTTCAGGAAAAATTAAACATGAGATTATAGGACAGTATGGCAAGGGAACCAGGAATGGCAGAGGAGACAGACTGATACAGTTATGTGAGGAGAACCAACGGATTTTGTTTGTGTTTTTTGGTAATATATTCTTTCAGCCTGGACCTGGGAAACTGTGTGGAGGATAATCTTGGAGATAGACGTGATTATTGATTATAAAATGATTACAAATAGATTTAACAACAATAAGTAAATCAGTGGAGTTAACAACATGAATATGACAGTCTGAAAGCTGAAAGTGTGGAGCAATATCCACATGACAATGAAGATGAGAAAATGTGTACGAAATGGGAGTGTCTCATAACTAGAATATGAGCAGTTAAATTCAGATTACAGATATTATCATTTCTTTTCTTTCTTTTTTTTTTAAAGAAGTCATTAAACTTTGAGTGAGGCAGTGAAAATTGTACACAATTATAGTTGAGGAAAGCTTCTGACTGACTGTTGACATTGCCACATATAAATAATATCAGTTAGTTGATATGAATAATTTTTCTTTTTATTTGCAGTTTCAGTTTGTGAATTCATTTCTATCCTTGTTCTATATTGGCTTCTATCTGCACGATATGGATCGACTTCGAGATGTAAGTAGAAATGTGATTGCAGTCTCTAGTGTGTGTGTGTGTGTGTGTGTGTATAGATGGGTTGGAAAGGGGGTGGATAAGAGAGAGTGGTATATATAACCATGGGTATTCAGCAGTGAGACCTACCACTCTGATGAAATTTTCAAAAATATGCCGAATGTTAATTGAAAGTTTTTTTTTTTCAATATAGTAATTTAAAATCGTTCTGTAACATTTACTAAACTTGTAACATCATTGATATACATTTAATTGCATTGTTTCACCAAGCTTGTAGCCAAGCGTATGTTATGAGAGGTATTTCCTACAGGCTTGCCTTCCATGACCTGAAGCCAGCAGATTTCTTGTCTCTTTTAGCCTGGTGCCTACCATCTTGACTTGGCCAGCATGGAAAATATTGTCAGTATCTTTGCCACTGCTAGAATTGTTGTTTCTCCAAGTGGGTTCTGGTGCCCCATTTTAGGAGAAAAAAGAATCGTTCCACCATCCCCCTAACTAGCATGCCGTAAAGGGCAACCAATCAGAGACGTTTCCTTTTAAGTCAGAGTGCATCTGCCTTAGAAGCAATGAACTAAGCAGATCTGTAAAACAGATTTGCGCACAAAACTCAAGTTGGTCTTATCTGAAAAACGACCAAAGTCCAGAAATGATGAACAACCAGAGCTTTCCAACAGAGTTTACAGCCTGTCAACACTAAACAGAAAAAGAAGATGAAGAAGAATTATTATAGGGACATGCAAACTCTGTGTCTCCCGCTTCAAATTAAAGAACAGCATTTGTGGAGGACTAGTCTGTATGTTAACTTGTTTTTTTTGTAACTAATTCTGCATCATGCAGATTACTATCTGCTTTTTTTTTTCCTTTTTAGGATTACTATATCTCAGTTTAAATAAAATCATGTATAAAAACACTTTTATAACTTATTCAATGACATCTGGTATATTCCCTTAGCTTTTTGCAGGAATCCTACTAATATTGAATATCTATCTCTTCTTCTCCTGCTCTTCTTGCTGCTACTCCTCTTTCTTCAGATTCTTTTCCTCGTCCTTCTTCATCTCCTTCTCCTCCTCCTCCTCTTTCTCCCTTTCCTACTCCTCTTCCTCCTTCCCCTTCTTCTACTCCTCCTTCTTCTCCTTCTTTTTCTTCTTCTTCTCCTTCTTCTGCTCCTCCCTCTCTTTCTTTTTCTTCTTCTTCTCCTCCTCCTTCTTCTGCTTCTTCTTCTTTCTTCTTCTTCTTTTCTTCTTTTTCTCCTCTTCCTCCTGCTCCTCCTCTTCTTCTTCTTCTTCTTCCTCCTTCTTCTTTTTCTTCTTCTTCTTCTTCTTCTTCTTCTTCTTCTTCTTCTTCTTCTTCTTCTTCTTCTTCTTCTTCTTCTTCTTCTTCTTCTTCTTCTTCTTCTTCTCCTCCTTTTCCTTTTTTTTCTTCTGCTTCTTCTTCTCCTCCTCCTTCCTCCTCCTCTTCTTCGTCTTCTTTTTTTTTAAAAAGGTGATTGGCATTTAATGTTGGGATTTACAGTTGAGCTGCATCATATTTTTTCCCCCTTATACAAAACACATCAAAGCCTTAAATTAGTTGTCTTTCATGAAATGATTGACAAGGGACAGGGGGACAAGGGACAGGGGGACAAGGGACAGGCAGATCTATTCTTTCCCCAAAATGAGGACCTCCAGGACCCACACAAGGAGTATTTACTGGTTATGTAATTATGATTTTATTTGTATTTCCCATGCAAAAAGTCATGTCCATTATGATGAATCTGATAACTGTTTCCCTACCAAGCCATTTATTACGTATTTTTTGGAGTTAGTTAATCCACTCGGCCTGAGTACCTTGTACCCTACTCGGCTGTAGCGTTAACTTATTCTGTCCTAGTTAGTACTTAAGCTCATTTTGTCCAAATATTGTTATTATTGGAACTTTTCAGACCCACACACTATTGCTTTAAGCAGCTCCTGCTTAGTAAGTAGGAGTTAAGGAAAAACAAGTTTGACCTAAAAGAGTTGAAATATGTATGCATGAAATCTGTAAAAGGAGGGAGGTTGGAAAAATAATAAAATAAATACTAATTTGCAGCAACTGGCAGCCCTACTTATAACCCGTCAAGTGGTGGGTAACATAAAGGAGGCTCTCTTACCGTATGTTATCTGGAAGGCCCGGCTGTACAGTGTGGGCTTACGCATCGCTACACGTATGTCACCGGCTTCTGTAGAGAAAGAGGTCAGGAGAATGACAGCCAGGTCTTCACATGGACCTAAGGTAGTTAAGGATTCCAAAGTGAGCAGTAAAGATATGCCAGCTGGCAACTCAGGGAAAAACTCTGATAGCGAAGGCAGTCCCGTAACTGAAGAGGATGAGGAAAGACTACCAACTTTAACGCAGGCCGAGGTTGAAAGTGCAATGAAAACGGTGAGTTTTGTATTTTATGTTATTGATGTGTACAGATAAGATCACACGAAGTAAAATCATTACTCTTGGCACCTTTCTGTCTTTCCAGACAATAGTGTTATATTGTGCTATGAGGTAGCATGTGATATACAACCCGTGGCGATGGTGAGTGTGACTAGCAAGACTACCTACATTAAGAACAGTTTTCTCCTCTCCATAGCACTAAGCATTTCCATTATTGTAGAGACCTTATGTTACCAGTACATCATGATAACTGTTTCAAACTACCTTGTTTACTACGGAGGAAAAGTAACACCAATATTTTGGAGCGAGGCAGGCTGCAGTAGCTGCCAGATCAGAAGAGCAGGGCTCTGCTTGTCTACCTGTCAGAGCAGGGCAGCTGTCTACCTGTCAGAGCTTTCCTCGTAGACCAGCTACCAGCTAAGGCCAAAGGCGTGGTTTGTCCTGTCATAACAACGTTTTCAGGTTGTATTTTCTCATTCTAGGAAAAGGCTTGTATCATCTCCAGTGGGCTCCTTCACTCTTAGCAATGAAATAAAATCAGTGCGCCTGTTTTTTTCCCCAGTATTTTCATGTCTGTTCAAACACATGTCACAAATATCTCCTGATGCATAACAAGCTAGGTCGTGGCCTTTTAGGAGCAAGTGAACATTTCAAGAATAGATCATCGCAGTGTGGAGAGAATGTGCTGCAGGGAATAACCAGAGGATCTCCCAACACTCTACATTCTGAAGAAAGGCAAGAGGGGTATAAAAAGACTGCTACAAGTACCATTGGAATTGGAACTCTTCACTGGCTGCTGAAGATGAGGATGGAGCAAATATGGGACTGCCCCAAGTGCTAGGATGTCAGTTCTGGTCCCAACTCAGCTCAACCCCACCCAGCAGATGTCACAAAAACTTCAACTGAGGCTCATTAAATACTGCAAGTATTCATTCTTGTGTTAAAGGTTTAAGTCGAGAGCGTTGACCTCATTGCACTGGGTTATATAGCTTGGTCTCTCTCCGCAGAGTGGCTAGACACCTGCCAAGAGTGCCGCACAAAGCATGAACTCCCTAGCTCCAGCAACGATCCACAGGAATCTCAGTAAAAATTGTGAACTGAAGGGTGCAACTGTGAAATGAACCCACGACCTTCAGAGGGCACGGCAAATGGCTCGACCAATTCCCCACAGAGACTGGCTGTTGTGTATGGATTGGAAACATGGACCTTGGGAAAACTGGTGTCCTACAGTGACAGATCTGCTGTACCTGTTTTTCATAGACAGCACCGTGGGAGTGGCCAAAGTGGTGCAGTGAACTGTGACAGGGATTTTTTTTAAAAAAAGCACATTTTATTTGTCGATTTGGACCAAAGAAGTTGAAAGAGCCAATCACCTGCCAGATGTGGACGAACAAACAGAACTTTCCACCAGAGTTTACAGCTGATGAACGCAAAGAAGAAGAAGAAGAAGAACATGCCATATGTTCCTTGTTAGAGAGAGTTGGAAGAGCCAATCACATGCCATATGTTGCTTGGGACAGAGAGCTGGATGAGCCAATCACATGCCATATGTTGCTTGGGACAGAGAGCTGGATGAGCCAATCACATGCCATATGTTGCTTGGGACAGAGAGCTGGATGAGCCAATCACATGCCATATGTTGCTTGGGACAGAGAGCTGGATGAGCCAATCACATGCCATATGTTGCTTGGAACAGAGAGCTGGATGAGACAATCACATGCCATATGTTGCTTGGTACAGAGAGTTGGATGAGCCAATCACATGCCATATGTTGCTTGAACAGAGAGCTGGATGAGCCAATCACATGCCATATGTTGCTTGAACAGAGAGTTGACAATCACATGATGCCATATGTTGCTTGAGTTGGAAGAGCCAATCACATGCCATATGTTGCTTGGGACAGAGAGCTGGATGAGCCAATCACATGCCATATGTTGCTTGGAAGAGACAGAGAGTTGGATGAGCCAATCACATGCCATATGTTGCTTGAGACAGAGAGTTGGATGAGAGCCAATCACATGCCATATGTTGCTTGGGACAGAGAGTTGGAAGAGCCAGTCACATGCCATATGTTGCTTGGGACAGAGAGTTGGATGAGACAATCACATGCCATATGTTGCTTAGTAGTGAGAGTTGGAAGAGACAATCACATGCCATATGTTGCTTAGTAGTGAGAGTTGGATGAGACAATCACATGCCATATGTTGCTTGGGACAGAGAGTTGGAAGAGCCAGTCACATGCCATATGTTGCTTGGGACAGAGAGTTGGAAGAGCCAATCACATGCCATATGTTGCTTGAGACAGAGAGTTGGTAGAGTCAATCACATGCCATCTGTTGCTTGAGACAGAGAGTTGGAAGAGCCAATCACATGCCATAAGTTGCTTGAGACAGAGAGTTGAAAGAGCCAATCACATGCCATATGTTGCTTGGGACAGAGAGTTGGAAGAGCCAATCACATGCCATATGTTGCTTGAGACAGAGAGTTGGAAAAGCCAATCACATGCCATATGTTGCTTGAGACAGAGAGTTGAAAGAGCCAATCACATGCCAAATGTTGCTTGAGACAGAGAGTTGAAAGAGCTAATCACATGCCATATGTTGCTTGAGACAGAGAGTTGGAAGAGCCAATCACATGCCATATGTTGCTTGAGACAGAGAGCTGGATGAGCCAATCACATGCCATATGTTGCTTGAGACAGAGAGTTGGAAGAGCTAATCACATGCCATATGTTGCTTGAGACAGAGAGTTGGAAGAGCTAATCACATGCCATATGTTGCTTGGGACAGAGAGATTGAAAGAGCCAATCACATGCCATATGTTGTTTGGGACAGAGAATTGGAAGAACCAATCACATGCCATATGTTGCTTGAGACAGAGAGTTGAAAGAGCCAGAGATGCCATGTGTTGCTTGAGACAGAGAGTTCACATGCCATATGTTGTTTGAGACAGAGAGTTGAAAGAGCCAATCAATGCCATATGTTGCTTGAGACAGAGAGTTGAAAGAGCCAATCACATGCCATATGTTGCTTAGTATTGAGAGTTGGAAGAGCCAATCACATGCCATATGTTGCTTGAGACAGAGAGTTGAAAGAGCCAATCACATGCCATGTGTTGCTTGAGACAGAGAGTTGAAAGAGCCAATCACATGCCATCTGTTGCTTGAGACAGAGAGTTGAAAGAGCCAATCACATGCCATCTGTTGCTTGAGACAGAGAGTTGGTAGAGTCAATCACATGCCATATGTTGTTTGGGACAGAGAGTTGGAAGAGCCAATCACATGCCATCTGTTGCTTGAGACAGAGAGTTGGAAGAGCCAATCACATGCCATTTGTTGTTTGGGACAGAGAGTTGAAAGAGCTAATCACATGCCATAAGTTGCTTGAGACAGAGAGTTGGAAGAGCCAATCACATGCCATAAGTTGCTTGAGACAGAGAGTTGAAAGAGCCAATCACATGCCATATGTTGCTTGGGACAGAAAGTTGGAAGAGCCAATCACATGCCATCTGTTGCTTGAGACAGAGAGTTGAAAGAGCCAATCACATGCCATATGTCGCTTGAGACAGAGAGTTGAAAGAGCTAATCACATGCCATATGTTGCTTGAGACAGAGAGTTGAAAGAGCTAATCACATGCCATATGTTGCTTGAGACAGAGAGCTGGATGAGCCAATCACATGCCATATGTTGCTTGAGACAGAGAGTTGAAAGAGCTAATCACATGCCATATGTTGCTTGAGACAGAGAGTTGGAAGAGCCAATCACATGCCATATGTTGCTTGGGACAGAGAGTTGAAAGAGCCAATCACATGCCATATATTGCTTGGGACAGAGAGTTGAAAGAGCTAATCACATGCCATATGTTGCTTGAGACAGAGAGTTGAAAGAGCCAATCACATGCCATATGTTGCTTGAGACAGAGAGTTGAAAGAGCCAATCACATGCCATATGTTGCTTGAGACAGAGAGTTGAAAGAGCCAATCACATGCCATGTGTTGCTTGAGACAGAGAGTTAAAAGAGCTAATCACATGCCATGTGTTGCTTGAGACAGAGAGTTGAAAGAGCTAATCACATGCCATGTGTTGCTTGAGTCAGAGAGTTGAAAGAGCTAATCACATGCCATATGTTGCTTGAGACAGAGTGTTGAAAGAGCTTATCACATGCCATATTTTGCTTGAAGCTGAGAGAGCTGGAAGAATTATCACACTAGAAACTGTCATCTTCATACATTATTCACATAATTTACACTTGAAACTGTCACTATACAGTATTCAGATAGTTTTTGATAAATGATGAAATTTGAATCTTCATCTTTATGTAATCACATTTTACTAGTTGACATTTGAAACTTCAGCTTGGTGTAATCACATTGTTCTAGATGAGATGACATTTGAAACTTCAGCTTGATGTAATCACATTGTTCTAGATGATATTTGAAACTTCAGCTTGATGTAATCACCTTACTCTAGATGACATGTTGAACTGATATTTCACAACAATCACATCCCTGTGTCCAACAGTACGAAGACACCTTGGACGACTATCTGGAAATGTGTATACAGTTTGGCTACATCACCTTGTTCTCCTCCGCCTTTCCCCTGGCAGCTTTGTGTGCCTTGCTGAACAACATCATCGAAATCCGCTCGGATGCCTTTAAACTGTGCCACACTTTCCAGAGACCCTTTGGTCAGCGAGTCGCCAGCATTGGTATTTGGCAGGTATGCTAGCAGTGTTTTCTTGTCTTTGTCATATACACTTTCTTGACCTATGAACTGTGCCACTTGCGACCATCTGCACCTCCTTAGACATGACATAATACGGTATTAAGTAATCATTATCATGTGCCAGCCTGACAGTTAGTCTGTCTGACACGATCACCAGAATCACAGATAAGAAAATAGACTAATAGAGGGCAGAATCTTGAGAAAAAACGGAAGCAGGAGAAAGGGACAACATTTATTAAAATTGGCGTGCATAGATCTGTCATGCAGACATCCTTGCAGTTACAGAGAGCTGCAAAGACCAAAAAACTTGGAATGGAATGATCAGGAAGCTGTGCCAGCCCACAAACTGAGTTACATGATGATGATGGTGATGTTGCTTTGATGCTGATGTTAAGCAAGCAGCTTCAATTTGAAAAGAAAATTCAAACAGACACAGTTAGTGTTGTAATTCTTGTGTACAATGCTGGTGTCACAAAAGGAAAGAATCCAGTTTTTGTCAGTGTAGTGTCTTCATCAAAGTTGTAGCAGAGAGTTGATATTGCTTGATCTGAAGTACATTTGTTACACACTTTACACATTTGTTACATTTGAAAGTTGTCAATATTACTGGATCTGAGTTCTGCCATTGTTACATCCATGAGTCAGAAATGATACTTTTACAGAATGTACATTTGTTACATTTGAATGTTTTTAATGTTATTGGTGTAGCACGCTAAATTCACTGGGCTGGTCAGAGGCGTGATGGCACTGAATGATGATGGTAACAGAGATGTGGGCAAAAGGGGTCCATGTGAATTTGGGTGAGAGACAAGTGCAAAGGTCCACGATGGGCACGAAGTTGTGGAAGAGGTGTTTCTCTAGATTTATGACTAACAGTGGTTTGTACGCGCTTAGCAAGAACCATGCAGTTGGCCGGGGGTGTTAAGTTAGTGCCTCTCAGCCAGTCTGATCGGGCGGACACATGTTCAGATGTCTGTGAATTTTTAGCAGTAATTATATTTATCATTTTAGTTCAGTGAAAGTTTATCGTGTGCATTAGAATTTGGTGTATGAGTCGAAATGCTCACATTGTGCGGCTTTTGTGGAGACAAGGCGTGGAGGGCCTAACATTTCTTAGGATACAACTGCGAAGATTGGTTCCTGATCGTGTTAGAGGCTGACTAGTTAAAACACTCACTAGAGACTGCTAGAGGACAGTCGAGAGTGTAGTTGACGCCCCCGCTAGAGACAGGAAGAGGACAGTCGAGAGTGCAGTCGAAGGAAGAGAGAAATCTGTCTTGGGTGATGGCGCAGGGAACGTAGGATCACTAGTGAAACAAGACAGTAACTCGAGATGTCGGCAATACCTTTTATGAGTTATGGATAGACTACCGGTGACCCCAGGAGCGGGCCTGTAGGCTGAAGGCGTATGCAATGGACACGTGGAGTCAGGGCTAGGTGTTCCCTTTCATGTGACACCGCCTTGAAAGCATATTATAGTGTATAGGTGGAGTTTTAGATGGACAGTCGTCCTTTATCACCAGTTCATGCTCATCATCATGTTGTGCTGTGTCCAAATAAATAGACTGATGCATGATTAAAGAAATGACTTCCCGTTTTGTCGATGTGGTTGGCTGCGGACTGTTCTCAGTGTTAGTGGTATGACAGGACTATGAGAACTGTGTTAACCTAGTACTTCCAGGTAGGGAATCCCATTAGTCGCCAGGAGGTTGGCTCGGGGAGATGGGGGGGAGAGGGGGGGAGGTGTGGACTTTCATATACGTGTGAAGCATTAGGTATTCACCCCTAGACACTTCACCACAATTGGATCTATGTCATGCCATTGTTGGATCTGAGTCATGTCATTGTTATATCCATAGTGAAATGTTACTGGATCTGAGTTATGCCATTTTGTCATTTTACATCCATGAGTCAGAAATGTTACTGGGTCTGAGTCATGTCATTGTTATATCCATGAGTCAGAAATGTTACTGGATCTGAGTCATGTCATTGTTATATCCATGAGTCAGAAATGTTACTGGATCTGAGTCATGTCATTGTTATATCCATGAGTCAGAAATGTTACTGGATCTGAGTCATGTCATTGTTATATCCATGAGTCAGAAATGTTACTGGATCTGAGTCATGTCATTGTTATATCCATGAGTCAGAAATGTTACTGGATCTGAGTTATGCCATTGTTACATCCATGAGTCAGAAATGTTACTGGGTCTGAGTCATGTCATTGTTATATCCATGAGTCAGAAATGTTACTGGATCTGAGTCATGTCATTGTTATATCCATGAGTCAGAATGTTACTGGGTCTGAGTCATGTCATTTGTTCATCTATGAGTCAGGAATGTTACTGGATCTGAGTCATGTCTTTGTTATATCCATGAGTCAGGAATGTTACTGGATCTGAGTCATGTCATTGTTATATCCATGAGTCAGGAATGTTACTGGATCTGAGTCATGTCATTGTTACATCCATGAGTCAGGAATGTTACTGGATCTGAATCATGTCATTGTTACATCCATGACTCAGGAATGTTACTGGATCTGAGTCATGTCATTGTTACATCCATGAGTCAGGAATGTTACTGGATCTGAGTCATGTCATTGTTACATCCATGAGTCAGGAATGTTACTGGATCTGAATCATGTCATTGTTACATCCATGAGTCAGGAATGTTACTGGATCTGAATCATGTCATTGTTACATCCATGAGTCAGGAATGTTACTGGATCTGAGTCATGTCATTGTTACATCCATGACTCAGGAATGTTACTGGATCTGAGTCATGTCATTGTTACATCCATGAGTCAGGAATGTTACTGGATCTGAATCATGTCATTGTTACATCCATGAGTCAGGAATGTTACTGGATCTTCTTCTTCAGCGATCTCTGGTCATGCGCATAATCCACTGTGGGTCATAAACTGGGATGTCTTTTCAAGGTCTCTTAGGTTTCCCCAAAGCTTAGTTGTCAGTTCTACTGGGTGTTGCCATATGTCGCTCCGCAGCTCCGCCAGGAGAGGACAGTCTTGCAGGACATGTTCTGGAGTCTGTTCAGCACGAAGACACTGGCAGAGAGCTGTTTGGCTCATACCTAATTTATATGAGTGTTTATTGAGTCTGCAGTGTCCAGTGCGTAAGCGAAAAACTGTGACTTGGTCTGTTCTATTCAAGTGCCTCAGAAAATCTTTTCCGTAGTCATAACCAGTGTTGTTTTTTCCAGTCTGTTTCTGATTTTCTCTTAATGAGAGTTTTTGACTTCTGAAAAGATAGTGGCTGGTAGGTCTGTAGTTTGTTACTGCCTTCCTTGGCTAAAGCATCTGCGCTTTCATTGCCTTTGATGCCGCAGTGAGACGGAATCCACTGCAAGTGAATTTCTGCCTTATTTGACAACATAGCAAGTTCCTGTGTTTATACTTTGTAGTGTGCTGTCGGTAGGTTTGGACTCAAGGGCCTGTACAGCTGACAGTGAGTCAGTGAGAAAAAAACTATCCTGCCTGCGGTGATTTGCAGATTGTTCATATACTGTGCTGCCATCAATAGAGCTGAGAGTTCTGCCTTGTAGTTAGAGCAAGTTCGTCCGGTGGGGGCTGCTAGGGACACAGTAGTGGCATCTGGGTGTTTTATGTAGACACCTGCCCCACCATTCGTAGTTGCCTCTTTTGCTGATCCATCCGTGTAGATTCTTGTCCAGCTGTCCTGTGGGAACATGTTGTTGAGGTGTTCCATTGTGAGTGCTTTCTTCACTAAAGCGGGCTCAGCATCTTTGTTTCCCAGGTTCGGGATGGATGTTGACACATTGAGTGTCAATAATTCGGAGTCCCAGAGATCGAAAGATAGCTCTTCAGGTGTACATTGTTGGTTAAGTAGTGAAGAGAATGACTTTCCAAATTCCTTCGTTAGATGGTTTAGGCTTGTGCGCTTTATTCTGTTTTTTGTCCTGGCTGCCAATTTTTCGTGTAATGGGTGGTTTAAACATTCTCTTCATTCTTTTTTTTCAGCATGTAGAATTGCTTTTGTCCTTCTTCTTTCTTCTAAGGGGATGATGTTGGCTGCCTTTTTCATTTCTACAATAGGTGTAGATTTTATGGGCTCCCAGAATTGTACGCAGACTTCTATTTTTGCGTTTTGTCTAGTATCTGTTTATTGGAATGGGCTGCTGTTTATCCATGACGATGATGCGTATTCGAGAGTTGGTCTGACTGTGCCGGTATATACCTGCTTCAAGATACAACTGTCTGCTCCCCAAGTGGTGCCTGCCAATTTCTTCATCACACCTTGTTTTCTCATGGCTTTTTTGTTAGTTTCTAGTATGTGATGTTTCCATGTCAGACGACTGTCAAGCTTGACTCCCAGGAAGGTTGGAGTATTGGAGCGTGGAACAGCATCATTGTTGAATTTTTACTGGATCTGAATCATGTCATTGACACATCCATGAGTCAGGAATGTTACTGGATCTGAGTCATGTCATTGTTACATCCATGAGTCAGGAATGTTACTGGATCTGAGTCATGTCATTTGTTCATCTATGAGTCAGGAATGTTACTGGATCTGAGTCATGTCATTGTTACATCAATGAGTCAGGAATGTTACTGGATCTGTATCATGTCATTGTTACATCCATGAGTCAGGAATGTTACTGGATCTGAGTCATGTCATTGTTACATCCATGAGTCAGGAATGTTACTGGATCTGAGTCATGTCATTTGTTCATCTATGAGTCAGGAATGTTACTGGATCTGAGTCATGTCATTGTTACATCCATGAGTCAGGAATGTTACTGGATCTGAGTCATGTCATTGTTACATCCATGAGTCAGGAATGTTACTGGATCTGAGTCATGTCATTGTTACATCCATGAGTCAGGAATGTTACTGGATCTGAGTCATGTCATTGTTACATCCATGAGTCAGGAATGTTACTGGATCTGAGTCATGTCATTGTTACATCCATGAGTCAGGAATGTTACTGGATCTGAGTCATGTCATTGTTACATCCATGAGTCAGGAATGTTACTGGATCTGAGTCATGTCATTGTTACATCCATGAGTCAGGAATGTTACTGGATCTGAGTCATGTCATTGTTACATCCATGAGTCAGGAATGTTACTCGTTGCAGAATGTGTTGCTGGTGATGAGTGTTGTGGCGGTGATTATCAACTGTGCTCTAGTGATAACATCAGGTCTGCTGGAGCGTGTGTGGCCGGGGCTCAGCTCCATTGCCTACTGTCTCATCGTGGTTAGCATCGAGGCAAGTACTTTGTTGTGATCATCATAAATCTTTTCATCATCGTCATACCCATAGTGAACAGTTCCTGTACAGAACGTCACTCTTTTTAAGGCATGTCTGAAAGTCTCTCCTGCTCTAGCTAATGCTCCAGCCCTATGTGCTTTCATAGCCAATGCATCTTTAGTGTTCTTTATCCACATTTGCAAATGTCAGCCTCCGCCTCATTTTCTGGAGACTATGCTCTCCATCTTTGTTCTCTGCAGGACCTTGTATTGCTTAACATGATTAAATTATTTCATCCTTTGGGACATTAGGCTGTTTGTGAGCCAGTTTTTTTCGATGTTCCGATCATTGTGATCATCATGGAGTTAAATATACAGTATTTGAGATTTCATCATCATCATTCTCCCACTGTTCTGTTTTGTGTGGCACATTGGGCTGTCGGTCCATTCTCCATTTCATCCAAGTGAACCAAACAATAAACATATAAGAAGTTGCTTGGTAAAGAAGTACTTAAAAACATTCACAGCACATCCTCACGATAATGATAGGCAGTCAACGCCAAATGTGTGTTAATGTAATAATGAGTAAAATAAATAATTAATATAGTAGTTACTTTGTTTTTACTTTGAATCATTAATGTGATTGTTGAAGTAAAGGGCAAAATGCCTTTCTGTTGGTTTTTTAAAAAAAACTTTTAAAACAAAGTTGTTGTTTTTTTTTTTCTTTACAAACAGTCACTTGTTTCTAATTATCTTTAGCCAGAACATTTGGATCATTTATTAGAAGCTTGTTGTACATCTACATGCCAAGGACCAAACCTCAAATTGGCCTAATTTTAAAGTTGGACGTATTCTGAGCTGGTGAAATTCTTGACTCCTGTAAACTGCCAAGTTTCATCTGTTAATTTCTGTTTAAATATTGTATTTAGTTGTTTGTGTTTCTCATCTCCCTCTCTTTCACCATTCACACCTTTCTCTAACCTGTTATATCTCTCTGACACCTCTTATGCCTATCTGCCATTCTCCTCCTACATTCGCTCAGTTACCTGTCTCATATATTTCTCTAAAATGCCTTTCTTGTCTCACTTACTCAGTTGACATCCCCCCAATCTACTCCCTGCCATGCCTTTCTCCCGTCCATCTCTCCCCCACTCTCGTCCTGCCACCTCTTTTTCTCTTTTCCTCACCTGTCTAGCATCCTCCTTTCTTACTCCACTAACACTACTGTCATCCCTCTCTCTCTCTGTCTCTTCCCCCATCCCCTGCACCCCGCCTGTCTCAATATCTCTGCCATGCCTTTCTCCCATCTACTTTTCTTACTTCCGCTGGTAGCACGCAGCAGAAATTAGTTTGGGTGCATTTCAGAAACATTTTTGTCATTTTTTAAATATTATGTTGAATGTTTAATTAGGAATCGACATCATAGCACTCTAGACACTCCCATAAGGGCTCCATCCCCATCTTCAGCAGCAAACAAAGAGTTCCAATTCCGATGGCACCAGTAACTGATTGTTTGTGTATCTGTCCCGCCTTTCCCTTGAATGTTGAGCATCGACCAGATTCCCTAGCAACTCCTCGCAGCCCCATTCTCCTCAGACCTATTTGCGCTTCCGCACTGTTCACTCGCTTCCAGAGGAGCCTCACAACATCTAGCTTGTCATACATCAGTCCACCACCAAGTGGTGCAGAACTGGCCAGTCAGAGGGGCCTCACAACATCTAGCTTGTCATACATCAGTTCACCACCAAGTGGTGCAGAACTGGCCAGTCTATCTGCCTGCTCATTTCCTAACACATTGGCATACCCTGGAGAAAATATCCAGTGGATGCTAACTAACGGGGACCTCTGAAGTGATGCTTGCCACTCTGCATGGAGCCTGCCTGTCTCCACCTTTCTCAACATGCTCTGTGAGTCAGTTACAATCACGGCATCTGTGTACAGCTGATTCTCAAGCCAGCAGAATGCAGCAGTAACTGCCTCAATCTCCATTCTTAAACTAGCGTTTGTGATATCATATGCCAGACCCCACAACCACTATCTTTTCTAGTTTTCCACCCTGAGTCATTTGTTTTCCCAGAATTGGTCCCCAGAACCCACACTATGATTCAAGGTTGCCTGTATTTTGTTATTTGTTACTTTTGCATTATTTTCAGCATCTGATGATTACCTGCAAATTTGCTCTGTACTGCTCAATCCCCGATATGCCGCCTGCAGTCGCCACAGAGATAGCTCGGCTTGAATACCAACGCAATGAGGCCATCAAGGTGTGTCAAACATAAACAATTTCATCATGGCGGCATGCCTGAAAGTCTCTCTAGCCAATTCTCCAGCCCTAACTGCTTTCATAGCTAATGCATCTTCAGTATCCTGTATCTACCTTCTCTGACTCGTATTCCAGACACACTGGCTCCTCCATCAATGTTCTCTCCAGGTCATTGTGACATTTAACATGAACAAAGTACCCCAGCTTTCATTGAAGGATGCTGTTTATGAGCTAATTCTCCTTGATGTTTCAGTCATGTAGGATATCATGTTTCTTTTTCTTGGACCATGGTATTCTAAGAATATTTCTATAGTATTTCAGCTTAGAAGCTCTGATTTGTTCCATGACTCACAACCATAAGTTGCCATGGGGGAACAAATATATGACCTCCAGATATTTACTGGAACCTACTTGCATGTGCTCTGCCATAGGTTCTCCGTGCAACAGTTTCATACTTTCTGGTATTTTGGTCAATATTTACTGTTGTTGTCTGCATCTTTCCTTCTTTCCAGACGGTAATGTTCCATTATGTTGAAGGGTGGCATGGGAACCACAGTCCAAGACAAGACCAGTTAAGGTCAAGGATGAAGTTCCTCCACTCCCTAGCACAAAGTCTGTCCAGTGTTAGTGAGACCATGTCATGTTATTGACAGGATCCAGTCAAGTCTAGCACCCTTAGCTTCACCTTGAAGTCTAGTGGATATTTGCTGCTAGCTGGATATCTGTACACACCAGCTGGCATTTGCTTTGAGATGTGCTCAGTATCACACCACCTGCTTTTACTTCTCTGAACATTTCCTGATACCGGTTTTAGACTGGGCCAAGCTGGAATCCTGTGTCAATTTGTTTTTAAATCTGTATTTTAACATTATAAATGTTTATCTATATATGTATATGTACTCACTTAGACGATGTTGATTTAGGCCTCTGCTAAGTTGTTGTTGTTGTTGTTATCAATCCAGCGGCACATGAGCTTTCGCCCTTTGGCCCAATGCCATGTTGTGGAATTTGCATGTTTTCACAAGCTGTTCTTTTCCTCCATACAAGGTGTTCCACTTGTCTGGTCTCGGAGGGAGTAGCATTCTTCTAGTCTCGCTGAGTTTTGGGCACTCACAGAGATGATGGTCAACAGTTTCGTAGGGGTATTTACATAGCTGGCACTCTAGAGAGTGTTGTGGCTGTATTTTGTTTAGGTGTCCATTGAGTGGAGTATGTTGCGTTCTAATTCTGAAAATGGTGGTCTAGTCCCTTCTTGTTAGATGGTTAATGCTGTCATTAGGATCAGGGCCAGCCATATGTCTATAAACCTCTCTTCCAGTGTCTCCCATGGCCCATCTGTTCAGCCAAGTCTCTTTGTTTATAGCTCTTATAAGTGTTTTTGCTGTCTGTAGGGTTGTCGCTGTAGGTGGTTGTTCTTGTTTTGCTCCTTTCTTTGCCAATCTGTCAGCTCTGTCATTACCTGGTGTGCCGGAGTGGCCTGGAATCCACTGCATCACTATTCTGATGTTGTATGAGGTAATAAGCTGATCAGCATCCAGAATTATCTTGGCTATGTCAGTTCTGCAGCGTTCACTGCCCTCCAGAGCTTGAAGGGCAGACATTGAATCGGTGAAGATCACAATATTTTGGGCCTTTGAAAGATAAACATCCATTACAGTCTTTAGGTGGTATACTGCTGTTTCCAGTGCAATTATTTCAGCTTCATAATTTGAACAGAATTCCCCGCATGCATCAAACATCTCTTCAAAGATCCTTCAGGGTAACCTATGTAGATTCCGTAACCTGCTTTAATGGTAGCTTTAAATGCACATCCATCAGTATTAAACATGTATCTATTCTTTGGGGTAAGAATCAATGGTCTTTAGTGATGAGTTCGTAAGAGCGATTTGGTCGGACTGTTTGGTTTCCTCGCATACCAATTTAATTCGGACTTCTGGAGTTTTAAAGCGAGCATGTGGTGGTAGGTTTCTTGCAACATTCTGAATGCCTTGACGTCTTTCTGGGAGGTGGTATCTGTCCTGAATTTCATTAACACAGTGTAAAACCGATTTGTGCTTTATTCTTTGTTTGTATTCCCAGTTTTCTACAAGATGTCTATTAGGATGGTTACGATTCTTTCTAACGCTTCTTTCATAAATTTCTAAAGTGGCTTTTTCTCTCCGCAACCCGAGGGGTTCCAAATTTGTATGGATTTCACATGCAGCAGTTGGTATAGACTGCATAGCTCCGCAGATTAATCGGAGGGCATTATTTTGTACTCTGTCAAGAGTTTCTAGGTTAGTTTTGAAGCAGGTTGTAAGCAGTGAGTTGTTGTACTCTATCACAGAGTGAACATATCCTAGATATAAGCCCCTCAGAGTTTCCTTGTCTGATCCCCATGATGTACCTGCAAGTCTCTTTAATAACTGTATCGCCTCAATGCCTTATTCCTGATGTTTTCAATATGATTCTTGAGACTGAGCTGCCGGTCAAGTGTGACTCCAAGGTATGTAGGATGCTCTTCTTTCATCACTTGGTGTTTGTCTAACCTCAGATTAATATTCTTCCTTGCTAATTGATGGCTTTTGGTAAAGACAGTGTAGACTGTCTTTGCACAGTTAACCTTGAGTTTCCATCTTTGGCAGTACTCTGGCCTCTACTAAGATGTAAAGTTGTGTGCAGGACATGAATGATACATGTATAGAGGTAGATTTATGGGAACAAAGTAGCATGGACCGTGCTGCATGGAAGAAGAAATCAAGAAAGCGATGGGAATAAAGGAAAAAATGATTTCAGAAAGGTGGAGAGCCGAGTGTCTGAGAAAAAGCGCAGTAAATACATGTGATGGCAACATTGGTCCTGAAATTCCATGCTCTGATTATGGTACACTTTTCTTAATCCAAGTGGGTCTTGCTAGTAACACTTGCCACTGCCATTCCTACACCTTCCTGTAGCACAGTATAACACTTTAAGGTGACAGCAGAATACATACGTATAGCTTGTGTATATACATTTTTTTCCAAATCCTTTTGTTTCCTTTATTGCCACTGATGTGCTCCAGAAGTAGGATAAATTAGTCTTCTACTTCTCTGCATCTGAAACAAGCATCCACACATTAGTGAACAGATATCAGATCCGCTGGATCAGTCACCTGGCCCTCATCCTAGACCATCGGCTTCCAAAAAGAAAATACTGTGGTGAACTGCATCATGGAAAAAGATCCCCAGGTGGAGAGGAAAGATACTACAAGGACACTCATAAAACTGCTCTGAAGCCTTTTAGCATGAGCCCAGAGACAAGTCTGATCTGGAGGGAGTATATTCCTCAAAGGTGGTGCCTCAGCTTGCAGGAAAATTGAGGCAGGTTAGAAAAAAACTCGTGTTAACTCCTTCTTTAATGTCTCTTTTATCTGTTGTCCGCACTGCCCTAGAATCTTCAGTATTTGAATTAGGCTCATCGTCCATCTTTGTACTCACAATCCTTGATGTTTTTCCTTAATGGACGTTGAGCAGTCTCCTTCACTTCAGCACTTTTGATGGATGAACGAACGAGCAACAGTCTTTTCCTCTCTATATCTGTAAACATCACAGAATCTGTAGGTTTTTTCCTTTCAGCTTGCACTTCCAGAAAATTAGAATCTTCCTCTTACCTTTAAAAATAATTTTGTGACCCCGCATGAGATATCCAGAATAGTGTTTGTTTGTAGAGTCAAAAGGCTTGTGTAATTATGATGAAACAAACCGTTCATTTTATGATGGGTAGAAGAGGAATATTTGAATGTAAGGCTAAAGTTCATCATTAAAAATAGTTTATCCTCATTATTTTAACGTTTTTTTTCCCTTTAAATTTTTTTACTCAGAAATAATGTGTCTGACTTCTTTCTAATTCATGTGTTTTGTTTCAAATCGTCTAGCAACTGGTGTCCCAGATGACTCCCAACCCTTCTGGAGGAAACACATACTTAAATTTTCCTGGCAGTCCCATCGTGCGCAGGAGGAAATTAGAGAACACACTGTCGGAGCTGAGCATGAAAGAGTCAGCTCCAAACAACTCCACTCCAAGCAGTGGCAGTGAAATGCCCCACTTTCCAACAGTGATCACATCCAGCAGTGCTGCAATGAGGCCTTCTGATATCTGCTTGGAGACAAGACAAGCAAAGCCAGCAGTTCCTCCACGTTGTGTTTTACAGAAATCAGAGCATGTTCGGCCCCACTTATCATCTGCTCACACTGATGAGGCAGACAATGTTGCAGCAACTGCAGACTCTACTCTTAGCAGCCGTGATGTCAAAAATCCTCTTCCGTTGCCAAACTCTTCTGCTACAGTTGCAACATTAACTTCCCTCAACATGGCATCATGGCCAGGTGAAGTCAAGGAAGGTGATACGATGCTTCGAAAGGGTATTCAACATAGATCTGATCCTGAAGCATGGAGGAGAAGATCTGAACCCGTTGCCTCAGCAGTCACTGAGGCTGTCAGTCTCTATCGAGACAAGCCTGTAGATCCTGGGCTAAAGAAGAAAAGTATTTATGAAAACAAAGAGGATTTAAGAGACAGCTTGAAAGAGGAGTTTAAGAAGAGTAGAGATAGGTTATACCTTCGGCAAGAAATCATCAGAAGCAGAGATCGACTGAATATTTTGGGGAAAAGAGGTGATCTTCACCCACAGGGTAAGGATGAACAAATTGTGCGCTCTTCATCCACTCCTAGGATTTCAGCTACACTTGCAATGCTTCCTCCACCAGCTCCAAACACATCAACAGCAGCAGCAGCAGCAGCAGCAGCATCAGCTACAATAACAGCTAAATATTCGGCATCCCCTCGCTTCATTAGAGGACTTATTGATAGTTCCAAAGCCTTGTCCAGAAAGTCCAGGTCCTTGTCGAGTGCTGATGTTAGTGACATCAGACAAGCATTTAAAGACAGGTTTTCCTGGAGAGGTGAGCCATCGCTTGCTAGATCTGGTCAAAAGAAACTTTTGGTTGGACTTAAAAAGGAGGCCAAACAAAGTGTTGATTCTAGGGAAGGTGAAAGAAGCACAATCCTGAAAACTGATAAGGAAATTAGGCAGACTGGGGACGTGACAGAAGAAGATCATGAACAAATACTGCAACAGACAGACACTTCTCTGAGCTCTGTAAATAACTTGAATTCTGGCTCAAGCTGCCTAAAAGATGTAGATCTTTCTCAGTCAGAGAGTCAACCGGATGCCAGCACAAATCTGATAAAGTCTGCGAATGAGCTTAAAACTAGCAGTGTGTACCGAGCTGTGCGGGAGAGTGCCAGCAAGCCTCTCTTACTTCCACAGAATCTTGACCTCAAGAAAACAACATAATGAAACTTCTATTGAATCTTGACCTTATAAAAATACACAGTATACTGGAACTTCCGCAAAGTCTTGACCTTGAGAAGACAGTATAATTGCCTTCCAAATAATTTTCACTTTAAGAAAACAACATGTTAGAACTTGCGGTAAAATACAGAATGCTTTAAAATGATGTTTTCAGATTCATTTTTTTTCTTTATCCCGTTTACTTCCAATTTGTCCTACTTCTTTAATATTCCACTAGATAAATTTGATTTTCCTGGTCCTTAGATGTGGTGTTGGCCTGTTTTTTACATGTAGATTTATGCGTCAGTTTTTCTTTCCATATTCTGTCTGTGCAATGTATTCTACAAGATACAGTTCTTTGAGAGACTGTGGTCATAAAGTTGCTACAACTTGGATATTTTGTATTTTGTTTCTGTCCATTAATCCACTGCATTCATATTGTTTCTTTTAATATGCCAGCCTGCATATTTCGTCAGGACAGACAAATGTTTGTATATGTGGTAATAAATATTGTCTTGTAATATATGCATGCTGCGCTGTCGTACGGTTTGTTTCTATTAACACTGAGGTTGAGCAAAAGAGATTTTGAAAAATGGTAGAGGATTGACTTTGTTGTGTTAAGGTTTGATCTGTACGGTTTAACTTCTGTCCACAGGGGCTGGGTGTTAGCTAACCAAGAGCAAGCTTCATCTTCTTCATGTTCACCGTCTGTAAATGTAAAAGTTCTGATTGTTCTCCTACCTCTGAACTTCAGACTTCTTCCAGATTCTGAGTGTTGCCTGCACATCCATTTTACAGAACTGACTTATATATAAGCAGACTGTTGGTTCCTTGCCTCTCAGGCAGATGCACTCCGACTTCCGAGGACATCTCTAATTAGTTGACTCTTATGACATGCTTGTTGGGGAGGCAGTGTGTCTGTTCTTGTTTTTCCCACAATGGAGCCCCTGAACCCACAGGGGGACTAAGAGCAAGCACAAACAACAGAATTTGTAGCGCCAGCAATGACCCGAAGACATCCCCGAACAAATTGCACTCCTGAACCAATCAGAAAATACATTAGTGATCTTCAGAGTCTAAGGCAGATGACTTGAGCACTTCACACAAATGTTCCCTTCTTGTAGTTTTTGTACATGATCCGCCTGTTGCTAAGGGGGATGGGGGGGGCACTTCACACAAATGTTCCTTCTTGTAGTTTTTGTACATGATCCGCCTGTTGCTTGAGGGGTGGGGATGGGTGTGGGGGGGGGGGGGGGGGGGGGGCTTCGCAGTGGGGCAATTAGACGCCCGCCAGTTGCTTGAGGGTTGGGGATGGGGATGGAGGGGCTTCGCAGTGGGGCAGTTTAGACGCCCACCTGTTGCTTTAGGGGTTGGGGATGGGGGGGGGGGGGGGGGGGGGGGGCTTCGCAGTGGGGCAGTTAGACGCCCGCCTGTTGCTTGAGGGGTGGGGATGGGGGGGGGGGGGGGGGGGCTTCGCAGTGGGGCAATTAGACGCCCGCCTGTTGCTTGAGGGGTGGTGATGGGGGGGGGGGGCTTCGCAGTGGGGCAGTTAGACGCCCACCTGTTGCTTGCTTGAGGGGATGGGGGGGGGGGGGGCTTCGCAGTGGGGCAGTTAGACACCCGCCTGTTGCTTGAGGGGTGGGGATGGGGGGGGGGCTGCGGTGGGGCAATTAGACGCCCACCTGTTGCTTGAGGGGTGGGGATGGGGGGGGGGGCTTCGCAGTGGGGCAGTTAGACGCCCGCCTGTTGCTTGAGGGGTGGGGATGGAGGGGGGGGGCTTCGCAGTGGGGCAGTTAGAACGCCTGCCTGTTGCTTGAGGGGTGGGGATGGGGGGGGGGGGCTTCGCAGTGGGGCAGTTTAGACGCCCGCCTGTTTTTCTTTAGGGGTGGGGGATGGGGGGGGGGGGCTTCGCAGTGGGGCAGTTTTAGACGCCCGCCTGTTTCTTTAGGGGTGGGGATGGGGGGGGGGGGCTTCGCAGTGGGGCAGTTAGACGCCTGCCTGTTTCTTTAGGGGTGGGGATGGGGGGGCCGCGGTGGGGCAGTTAGACGCCCACCTGTTGCTTGAGGGGTGGGGATGGGGGGGGGGGGCCGCGGTGGGGCAATTAGACGCCCACCTGTGGGTTGGAAGGTCGTGGATTCAGGTGTTGACAGTACCCGACTTTTTTCAAAAATGACCTTGGCTCCCAGCCTTGAATGGGTACCAGGTGGAGTCCTAGGAAGTAAAGATGGTCAGCATGATGCTGACCACATCACCCAACAAGTGGTGATTAGAGGTCTAGCCCCATATGCCCAGTACACTTGAAGGCATGGAACAGGTCCTTTGTTACGCAGGGATTACGATTGAGAGAGAGACAGCACATATAGGAATGTTTTGAGTCTTGTGACTTCAGCAATTAAATGACAAGACTATCAATCCAGAAAAAAAAATTGTCCATCATGTATAGCAGCTGTTTCAACACAAAGCATGCAGATCTGTGGTCGAAGCTTGTGTGTAAATAGAGGCCCAAACCATTTTATTCTCAGAAACTAACTCAGCAAGCATACCCGGTTGTCTGTTATAGGAAATTAGATGTGTCAATACATACTGCCGCTACTGTCTGTGACATCTGTGTGGTGTAGGCAAGGGGGTCTTTGAGTCTGAGGATTTATGGTTGCATTGTTGGCGCTGTCACCACCAAACTGTGCAGGTTAAATTTTATTTTTGCCCCTGAAAGAAAAATTCTGCAATCTTAACTGTTCTGCCAGCCGCTCCTGATGTATAAATGTATACGCTGACTGAAAATGTGGACCTGGCGAGTACACTTGACCTGGCAGTTAATCAGGGCAATGTCATTCTTTTGTCCTCATTGGTTCACAGTAGCCTTGATATTTTATTTTTACCTAAAGCTTTCCTCATCATCTTCTCATAGGTCTGGTCAGTTCCACTGCACTCTGGTTATGTTGTGTTCATTGTTGCTGGATCTTTCACACAGTTCAGAGACCTGTGTATATTTAGAATAGTCTAAGACAGTGTTTTTCCTAAACTTTTCTTGGTTGCGGCCCCTTTTTTCAATTAAAATATTTCCACGGTACCCTAACCTAAGTAAAAGTATGACTATTTGTGTCTTAGTTAAATTAATAATAAAGCTTTTACAATATTTCATGGCGCCCCTGTGAAGAGGTTGCTGCGCCACTGCAATTTAAGAGATCGACTTTGGATAATTTTTGCTCCTCTGCGGCAGACTGCGATTCTTTGTCCCATTTTTAGAGGAATCACTGGTCTAAGGACTTGGATATTTTGACCCAGATGTGTTCACATCTGATGCAGATATTTTTCCCCCCTTATTCCCCAGTAGAGCCCTAGTCAGATTAGACTGAAAATTTTTGTCATTAATTTTAATATACAAAATAATCAACCCAAAAAAAATTTCTGGGGATTTTTGACCGAGTCTATACAAAATGTGTTCATTTTCATTTATGACCTTCAGACGGTATACTTGTTTAATTACATCATTTCTGCCATTTTATTGGCAACTTATTTGAGCATATGTTTATAAGATGTCACTGCGAAGTTGCTTGATGTATCATCACCTACTAATAAATTATAGTCTATTATTACATACGCCTAGAGGCGTTCCCTTTACTTTTCATATCTTTTTAATTTTTTTTTCATAGTTAATGTCCCGATAACAGCTTTAAGACCAAACTATGAATCTTCAAGTTCTAATGTTATTTCATTTTCAACATATGCCAGCAAAAGTTGCAGAACTACCAAAGATGTGGAACAAAAGTTAAATGCGTTTGAAATTAAATATCTGAAAAAATCATGAACATAAAATGGAATGAATTTTTTTTTAAAGTCGGGAGATAAGAGAAATGTCTAGGCAAATACCTGCATCGACTGCAATAAGATAAAGAAGATGGTGATATTTTGAGCACATTCTGAGACGAAATAAGCACAGAATTACAAAACAAGCAATAAAATGGGAAACAAACGGTCTGAGAAAAAGAGGACGTCCAAGGGAAACAATAAGGAGATCATTATTACAAGAAGCTAAAAATGTGGGGCTGAACTCCATGTCAGAAATCGAGAGAGTTGCCTGCAATAGTGTGGAGTGGAGAAAATCGAAAAGGAGCCTTATGTGACATCCAAGGGCACACAAATGATGATGATGAGTGGGCACATGTACATACTTCTCAGCTCAGAACTAAATACTAAGACTGTTTCATGGAATACAAGGCACATCCTTGGAGAAGCGAGTGCAGAATCATTAAACAGGCATATAAATGGCAAGTGAACAGAGGAGAAAAGTATACCCTGAAGAAACCACAAGATGAACATTGATGAGCGAAACCAAAGATGCCAGACTAGATTCTATCCATGATATTAAAACATCGCACAGGACTTAACAGTGGAAGAATATACTGTAAGCCCTGTGTGACATATTTGACACAACAACAGGATAATGATGAGACTACATAGTTTTAAAGATTAATGAAGGCGTATGTTATTAAAGAATATTGAAATGACATGACTAGTTAACCTCAAGAACTAGACCAGTCTTGTTTGTTTATGCTGAAGCTGTAAACTCAATAGCACACCTACATCGGATAGGTTTTGTTGACTTTGCCGCCTGCAGTTTTGATGCATCAAAGCAAACTCCAGAGCATGTTTCACTAGATTTTCTGTATCTTTCCAGTCAGAGGGAGGAAATGTGGCCCACAGGCACGACCCTGTAGGAAAAATTATTGGGCACAGATGACCGCAGATGTATCCTTCTGTTTGCGACCCATAGTTTGATAGATTCATAGCAGCCATTAATCGCAAAAGAAAAATGTTTTTGCTGACAACTGTTGTACACTTAATTTGTACATTCTTTTGTATACTTTATATTCAACCAAGTATTTAGGCCTAGGGTGCCTATTCTAGTATTCCGCTGGATATCTCCTTGATGGATGTGCTACAGTGAAGTCCTGCATTCTATAACTGGCACACTTGGCACCGACACAGCATCATGTAATAGA